TATGCCTATAATTATAAGGCCTGGATTAGAAAAGAAACAAAAGAAATTTCAACAATTGCATTATTCCACGATTTCAGCAAGTAATCTTTATGTTAGATAGACCTAATGGAATTTTTTAAAATAAATATATTACTTTTTATTCTGTTTGTATTTTATACAGTTTATTATAATATAGATTTATTATCTTATTAAGTTATTTGGTCAATTTCATTTAATAATTGCTTAGCTTATCCTGTGCTGAATTTTTAACTATATCCACATAATGGTGTATTAAGAAAACAATACTGATCAATGGACCCTATCCTTAATATCCATACATTTTTTTTATTTATTTTGGGTTTCTAAGTGTATCTGTGTTATGTATATCTTTTGTTGATTAAACTCAACTGTTGGTTTTCTTGTTGTAAAAAAATTTGCCATTTAAAATCACATAGTTTTCTATTACATTTTTCAAGTGTGAAAATAAGTTTGACAACTGAAAAAAATAACTGTTTATAGGTAGAACTAATACTTTATATTAATAGACTCTAGTAGTGTAGTATTTGCTCCAAAATTCTAATTTTGTTAAAGATATCAGTTTATATTTTATTAACTTTCTATATAAACTTTTCACAAGCAATAATATTTTATTATAATACTAATAGCGAATACTAGCCTATTTAAATAATACCCTCTAACCTCTAACAAAACTTTTTACGAACATTTTAAAACAGATCTAGATGTAGAATGTATAGGCTATATAATTATTATCATATTATCAATTTACTTGGCTATTGTTCCTAGTACTAGTACCTAGTAGTGTAGTAGTACTAGAGGATGATAATATTAGTAAAATAATGTAGTTTTACATTTTAAGTTTTACATAAAATAAATTGGCATACACCAACAGTTTAGTTTTTAATAATAGCTTTTAAATGCACTGTAAATATTTAGTAAATAAGAAAGTAAAACAAACTTGCTTAAATTAATAAAAGCATTGGATGCTGAAATATGTGAGTAAGAGATCTCAACAATTCTTTTAATTTTAGAAAGAAAGTTTGTTGTTTGTCCTTATTTTCAGTGTGTTTAAAAGCTTATTACTTAGGATAAATATTATAAAGTTTTTTATAGGCCCTATTTATTCTTACTTATAATTAAATCAATGATAGTAACACTACAACTAGGCCTAGATTCTTGATCTAATCTATCATTTATACTATCATTATACTAGTAACTATTATTACTAGATCTAGTAATACTATCCAGAGGTGTCACGAGGCAGGGGGGCAGGGGCTGCAGACCGCATCGGTTGACATCATTTAATTAGGTGTGACACCAAGCCAAATCTAGAAATCTTGATAAATTTATATAATTTTAATTAATTTAATTTTAATCTGTAGACTCTGGGTCTAGAGATCTAGATCATCTAGATTGAGTTTATTAATTATTAGGGTAATCTTTTATTTTAGGTACATAAAATCAGCCGAGACTAGTAATGTGAAAACAACGTGACTCGTTAAATTTTAGTTATTATTTTACATTTGGAGGAGTCATGTTTTGAAAGTTACAAAAAAAGTTTCAAAGTTTCTTTCATGCACCTATTTCTAAACAATTGTATTAAAACTTTACACTAATATATAAAGACTAGTGATGTTTAGGGGCCTACTAGCTCATTTACTTTAGCAGCCATCTTGTTTAAGTGTTTTTGGTAACATTCATTATAGTTAGAAATTCAGGGGAAACCACTCTAATTTACATATGGCTGCTGTTTATATCTTATCTAGTATCTAGTATTCTAGATTCTAGATCTATATAGTATATATATATATATAGATCTATGGCAAATCATGCTCGCAAACAACGCTTTTTATAGTTAATTTCTGGCTTATATTTTTATAAAAATATATATTTAATTTAGCCTAGTTAAATTTAATTTAGCCATTGATTTTGGTTTATTTTTCACAGTTATCTATAATATTTGACACAAATATATCACAATAAACTAAAAAGTAAAAACTTCTATTGAAGCCTTAACAAATTAACATTAACTAACAATGTCAAATGACTTAACAATGATTTAGATCTACAATGAGTCAATGAGGCAACTTGTTCCCACATTACTCATTACTAGATCTAGATCTATAATCAATATAATCTAGTATTGTCACTCTAGCTAGAGTCTAGGTTCTGATTCTAGAAATATAAATCTAGGTAGATCTATATTCTAAATAATAGTAAATAAGTTCCTAATTGAATTAATATTGCGAAAATAAGTCTTTTGGTTCGGGAAAAAGTTTATTTACTGCTAGGGCTTAGGGTTAGTCTGTCTAAACAGATTAGAGTAGTTTCCCTTCAGTCTTCTTTTTTATTAGGCCGAGGCTTAGCCTAGTTTAATCGAATACGGACTCAGGAACTACTGTCTAGATCTCTTTTATATGTATATGCTATTAGCTTTTGTAATCATAATACAATAATATCTACATAATTATATTTAAAAGCTTAAAAAAGGTATATAAAAAAATATCAGAGAACAGTAAAATCTACAACGCAATAAATGCTTGATTTACGAGATATTCTATTAAAGTTTTCTCACTCACTGTAACAGCACGATGGCCGAGTGGTTAAGGCGTTGGACTTAAGATCCAATGGAATTATTTCCGCGTGGGTTCGAACCCCACTCGTGCTAAGGATATTTTTTTCTTTCAAATGTTTTTTTTAGGATTGATTCATTATTTCAATATATTTTTTTAAAAATCACTTTAAACAGTAACGTTTTATATAATATTTAAAATATAATGTCAGAAGGTGTAAATCACTAGGATGAAAAGAGACCATATAACATCGCAATAAAAATATTCACTCCTACGCAGTTTCTTCCAGGCATAGAAATAGAAAAATATATGATTCATATCAATACTTTATATAGAAAATATACAGTTTAATTAGTGCCACCCACCTCACCCTGAAAATTTAAGTTCGTCCCCCGCCCCACAACCCTCGGAGAAAAAAATGTATGAAAGAAACACAGCTGGTATCGGACCAATAGGGAGTGGTATCTCCGTGGCCCGGCTCTTCAACATCACGCTATGCAACTTGGATGGGTGGGGTTCAAGTTTTGCAACTCTCATTTTGTAGTGGCGCCTGGTCTCAGAGCAGTGGCGTAGCGAGGTCGGGTGTCGCCTGTGCGGCACTTAATGGTGTCACCCCCCCCCCCCCAGAGGCGTAGCGACCCTTCCCGGGGGCAAACTTTCAAATTTTCGATTTTCACCCCCCCCCCCTCAAATTTTCGATTTGCACCCCCCCCCCCTCGAACTTTCGATTCGCACCCACCCCCCCCCCCCTCAAGTTTTTCTCTATATATTTTACTATTTTTTGCCTTCCTTGGTGTCACCCCCCCTAAATGGTGTCACCCGGTGCGGTCCGCACCCCCGCTCCCCCCCTCGCTACGCCTCTGTCTCAGAGTAAACCACTCCGGTAGGGTTGCAGAAGACTAGTATAACAAGAACCTCAAAGGTAATGTGGGCTTCCGCAGTGCCGCGTGACTGCATGTATTTATTTATTTAAAGTAGAGGAGCTCGCGATAAAATGCCAAAGGGTAATTTTAATTATTTTTTTAAAACCCAAAATAACAGCCTTAGAAAGATGTTACAAGATCTGCTGACCTGTAAGGTATCTGTCGACTATCTGCTTGTAACGCCAGAAAGAAACAAAGACTGGGCTCTGTGGGACGTATTCTCTAATCGGATAATCCAGAGTTTCTTCCAGGCATCATCCCCGAAGAAAGTCTACCCCCCCCCCCGAACGAATTGAAATTTATATAGAAAATATATACACTTTTAGCAGTGTCCGCCCCCCCCCCCCCCCCCCGAAGAAAGTCTACCGCCGCCGCCCCGCCCCCCGAAAATTTCAAGTGCCCCCCCCCCCTCCCGGAGAAAAATGTCTGGAAAAAACACTGAGATAATCTACGTTACTAGACTGACACTGATTTGATATGTAAAAACCCAAGTGTAGTAGCCAGTAAATAGACCTGCCATATAACACACTGTGAAGCTAACTCGAGGCTGATGGCTTAGTAAAAGATACATTTTTGTAATCAACTGAAGAAACCGGTCAACGGCAGTGTTTCTTCCAGACTTGTGTCTCCGGGGGGGGGGGGGGGCATTTGATATTTTTGGGGACAGTGTTAAAAATTCCATTTCGTTCGGGGGTAGACTTTATTCGGGGTGGCGGAAAATGCCGCCCCCCCCCCCTAGAAAAACACTGGTCAACGGGCGCAGGGTAGTGTGGGGTGACTTCCTATTTCCATCACGTATGATGTTGGCGGAAAAGGCGTAGCTAAGGAAGGGTGTGTGTGGCGGCCGCAACGGGCGTAAAACCCTTTGAGGGCGCCTGATTTAGATGAAAAAAAAAATTAAAACAAAGCTGATTCTGAGCAGCATTACTGAATTATACACAGTCCGTGTTAGGAAAATAGACTACTACTTTGCTTTTCCTGAATGATTTAACTGTTTTCTACATCAATTAAGTGGCATCACAATAAAAACAGGCTGTACAGTGACTAATACAAGGTGCCACCTAACTTTACAAATTGGAGGGAATGGACGTTTTTACACCAACGGGAAAAATGTAAGAGGGGTGGGGGCGTAAAACTGATAGCATGCTCCTGGCGCCAGAATTGGTCACTGCGCCTCTGCTTGGCGGCAGGTGTATGCTAAATTAGACATGTCTCATGATGTGATAAAAAAAGACAACGAAAAAAAACGTGATATCACACTTTATATTGAGTTCTGAGAGATGTAATGCAGTTGTGAATTTTTAAAAATAAAAAAATAAAGGCCTTTGCTAAAAGTTGTTGTGTATCGATCGATTATCGATAATCAACAAAACACGAAATCACATGCATCTTTACCCGCTGTTTCTAATCAATAATTAGCAGGTAACGATAGATTTTCCCGAAAATATATATTTTTTTATTAATAATCCATCGATCAATTATCAACACACTTTCTTGCAACAGGTGAGTTACTTTTGTTTCGCAGTGTACCGTCTGGGTTATGTTCTTTACCTAGTAAAAATTAGATCCTAAATCCAATGTATTGTAAGTTGTTTATTTCATTTCTAAAACTTAGTTCGGTTAAATATTAGAGTAGGTTTGTGTAATTTATTTATTTCATTTAAAAAATTAAGTTACTTGAAAAATAAAAGTAGTTTTGTGTAACAACGTGTTTTTTTTTTTTTTTTTTTTTTTTTTTTTTTTTTTTTTTTTTTTTGTTAAATAGACGCTAGATTGAATCAAAGAAAGGCCTAAAGAAAAGTTTTCAGGGAGGGAGCTTGGAAATCATGTTATTTTAGTTCATATAAAAAGCATGATATAATTATTCAATTATATTAGACCATTGACCTATTTTAGCTAGATTTTGCATAATACTTGTTTAGTATTTATAATCAAGTAAATTATAAGTTAGTTTAAAATTAGTGCACACATTTGTGAATAATATATTTAGGCTTTGTTAAAAATAAACAACATGTGTATCACTGTGTAAGCAAAGTTGGCTATTGAGGTGTAAATCTAATATATAAAGCTCAGTTCTGTATGTAATGCATTTGTATGTCGTTGGAATTGTACGATTTTAAGTGTTAGAAAAATTATCGTGCGCATTTGTCTAAATTTATTAGCTAAAAAATTACTATTGAAAGTGTTGGGAAATAATTTTCATTTTTCAAATTATAGTAATAATTGTCGGCATGTTCATTAAACACAAGTTTTAAAAAAAATATCATCTTTTACAAAAATTCTAATTATGTCTTTATTTAGTCCTATAGCACTTACTTCCCTTTGATAAATTAGGAAAAACACAATTACTTCCCTTTATAAACCCATTGCATTCCGTGAAAATAATTTACTTTTTAATTACTTTGTTTTGGTGTTGGGAAAAAAAATAATTACATAATTAGCGGGGATTGATCAAGTGCAAATGTTGTAGGTATTTTACGGATAAGCTTGGAGTATTAAAATTGTTTATTAAATTGAAACAGGCGCGTTCGTTTAAGTGAGTACAAAAGACTGAATAAGTTGGGGTACTATAGTCGTTCATTAAGCTAAAACAGGTGATTCCGCCCCGGGCGTTTGTGTTCGCGTTAGTGTTTTCTTTGTGGTTAGGTGGGTTTGCGTTAGTGGTTGCGTTTTAATTTGGTTCGTTTTTGTTCTTTCTTTTTTCGTTTTTGTTTGTGTTTTTTTTGTTTGGGTTTGTATTTGTGTTTTTGGTTGGTTTTGCGTTTGGATTTGGTTTGTTTTCGTTTGCTTTTTTCGTTGATTTTTTTTTTGTTGGTATTGGTGTTTGTGGTTGGGTTTGTTGTTAGGTTTTTGTTTTCGTTTGCTTTTTTGTTTGTTTTTTCTTTGTGTTTGTATTGGTGTTTGTGGGTGTGGTTGTGTTTGTTGTTAAGTTTTTGTTTTCGTTTGTATTTGTAATTGTGTTAGCGTTATGTTTGCGTTTTGTTGTTTTGGTTGGTTGTGGTTTGGGTGGGCAATGCCGGGTTTATGATGATTACTAAACACACAGGTAATGGTCTTTAACAGAAAGGTTTTTCACAGAAGCCAGAGCAGGGCCTGGCCGGGACGGCTAGTCTAATATATAAAGCTCAATTCTGTAACGCATATGTTTGTCGTTGGCATTTCTACGGATTTAAGTGTTAGATCAATTATCGTGCGCGTTTGTCTAAATTTATGAGTTAAAAAATTACTATTAAAAGTGTTGGGAAATCATTTTCATTTTTCAAATTAAAGTAATAATTGTCGGCATGTTCATTAAACACAAGTTTTAAAAAAAATATCATCTTTTACAAAAATTCTAATTATGTTTTTATTTAGTCCTATAGCGCTTACTTCCCTTTGATAAATTAGGCAAAACACAATTACTTCCCTTTATGAAATCATTGCATTAGTTGAAAAGCATTTACTTTTTAATTACTTTGTTTTGGTGTTGGGAAAAAAATAATTACATAATTAGCGGGGATTGATCAAGTGCAAATGTTGTAGGTATTTTACGGATAAGCTTGGAGTATTATAATTGTTCATTAAATTGAAACAGGCGCGTTCGTTTAAGTGAGTGCAAAAACTATGAATAAGTTGGGGTACTATAGTCGTTTATTAAGCTAAAACAGGCGATTCTGCCCCGGGCGTTTATGTTCGCGTTAGTGTTTTCTTTGTGTTTAGGTGGGTTTGCGTTAGTGGTTGCGTTTTGATTTGGTTCGTTTTTGTTCTTTCTTTTTTCGTTTTTGTTTGTATTTTTTTTTGTTTGGGTTTGTATTTGTGTTTTTGGTTGGTTTTGCGTTTGGATTTGGTTTGTTTTCGTTCTTTCTTTTTTCGTTTTTGTTTGTGTTTTTTTGTTTGGGTTTGTATTTGTGTTTTTGGTTGGTTTTGCGTTTGGATTTGGTTTGTTTTCGTTTGCTTTTTCGTTTTTTTTTTTTTTTTGTTGGTATTGGTGTTTGTGGTTGGGTTTGTTGTTAGGTTTTTGTTTTCGTTTGCTTTTTTGTTTGTTTTTTCTTTGTGTTTGTATTGGTGTTTGTGGTTGTGGTTGGGTTTGTTGCTAGGTTTTTGTTTTCGTTTGTATTTGTAATTGTGTTAGCGTTATGTTTGCGTTTTGTTGTTTTGGTTTTGGTTGGTCGTGGTTTGGGTGAGCAATGCCGGGTTTATGATGATTACTAAACACGCAGGTAATGGTCTTTAACAGAAAGGTTTTTCACAGAAGCCAGAGCAGGGCCTGGCCGGGACGGCTAGTGATAAACTAAATGTGTATCTGTTCAGGTAGCTTATGGACAGCACGTAAATGAAAAATGTGTACACTAGTATACAGACGGTATACAAGCAGAGGCTTAGCACCGAGGACAAACTTTCAATTTTGCGTCCCCTCGTGAGCAACTTTACAATTTGCACACCCATTTCAAACTTTCGATTTGCACCCCTCCCCCCTCAAACTCTCGATTTGCAATCCCCCCCCCCCCCCCCCATATATTTTTTATATTTATAATGCAAAACTGAAGCTAAAATGAGATTTTTATTTGTTTTTCCAACCCATTTTTGCGCCCCCTAAGGTCGTCGCCCGGGAACATATGTACCCCCCGCCCCCCTCCTTATCGCTACGCCTCTGTATACAAGTGTATTCAGGGACGGGCTGTGTCCAAAAGACTCGAGAAATATTAAAGGCGCCCCCAACCCCAGATGGAAATTTTCATTTTGTATTTTGTTCCTCATCAAAGCCCAATGATCATTTCGCGCTTGATTGAAATCAGAGCTCAAATAGGCCGAGTACAGCACCGTACTTAGTACTAGGGTCTTACCGGGATTTTTCCCCGTCAGCAAGTGGGCAGAGGCGTCGCGAGGGGGGGGGGCGGGAAGTGACACCATATGGGGGGGTGAGACTAATGCAAAAAGAGTGGACCAGTCCAACACCCAGTGTATTCATTATCATACCATCACATCACTTCTGGGGTATGGCCATGTCAGATTTTTTTGGGGTTGGTCTGCTAGTTTTGTTTACACGTCTGATTTGAAGAAATTGTAATGCTTTGTGTAAAGTAACAATTTATATTAGTGTCCAAATAAACTCACAGCTAATTACAGTTTAATGCACGAGAATGGTGTAATTATTTTTAACTTTCAATTGGACTAATATTGTTGGTACTTCAATGATCGTTGGAATTATATTTTATGATAAATATAGCTTTGGCTGGTTAGCCTGTCGTCCTTTCCGGGTCATAGGTCTCTGAGCTGTCAATGTATCTCTCTTCTGGGCTAGTCTCTCCAACTGTCCCCATGTGTATCCAATCTTCTTGGTGTATTCTTCCAGGTCACGTCTCCAGGTCTTCATCAGTGTTTCTTCCAGACTTTTTTCTCCGGGGGGGGGGGGGGGGGCACTTGAAATTTTCGGTAGACTTTCTTCGGGGGGGGGGGGGCGGACACTGTTAAAAGTATATATTTTCTATATAAATTATATAAATTTCATTTCGTTCGGGGGGGGGGGGACGAAATGGAAGAAACTCTGGTCTTCATTGGACTGCCTCTTTTTCTTTTACCCTATGAATTCCAGGTGATTGTCTGTCTTGTTATGCTGGGTGCGGGTTTTCTGAGTGAGTGGCCAATCCATCTCTATCAGTGTTTCTTGTTTCTTCCAGACTTTTTTCTCCGGGGGGGGGGGTGCACTTGAAATTTTCGGGGGGGGGGGGGACACAAATTTCCATGGGGGCGGACACTGTTAAAAGTATATATTTTCTATATAAATTCCATTTCGTTCGGGGGGGGGGGGGGCGGTAGACTTTTTTCGGGGAGATGCCTGGAAGAAACTCTGGTCTCTGTTTTCTCTGGAGGATATCTTCTTCAACTGGCATCGGCTCTAGCGCTAACACATTCCCAGCCCCATCCGCAATACAAACACCGACCCTTACCTTAACTCTAACAGCAATACCAGTTATACTAATAAAACAAAACATCCGTAGGATAATATAGGGGAACGGAGTGGTCTAGCGGTAGAGAGCTGGACTACTAACCCGAAAGTTTCGAGTTCGAATCCGGGTTGAAGTCAATAGACCGTCCCTGAGTCCACCCAACTCTGATGGGTACCTAACTCATGTTAGGGAAAGTAAAGACGGCTGGGCATAGTGCTTACCACATAATCTCTTCATATGCCGAGGTAACAGAAACAAGTGAACTCTACTTCATTTTTTTTACTTTAGGATAATATCAAACTCTGTCGCCAAACATAACGTAACGTTGTTTTTTTTTACTATAATAACGGTTTGTTTTGTTTTTACAGAACTGATTCCACAATGGTTTTTGAGCGACTTTATTTACGACTATCTAGACACCTGTCAACGATTATTTTCGTCTCGGTCTTCGTCGTTTCCACGACTTTTATTCTGACCGTCGTACAGCGCCATCTCAGGGGACAGGGCCCACAACTCGACCTGCTCCCCTTTAACCAGATGGAGCGGGCGCACGCTTCAAGGGAGATCACTCTCGCCCAAGCCAAACAAAACCTAGACATCTACTGGGCGCAGAAATCCAAAGGGGTTTCCGCTAACAACCGCTGCAAGGATGTTCTGAGCCAGGACATGTGCACCAATGTTGAACGCGATATTTTAATAATTAAAGCCATGTTTTATCCGCACACGCCGAATAAAGATGGATTAAGGTTTTTAGACGAACCGTCTTTAGGCGACCATTACCAAATTACCATCCCACCGTACGCTAAGAACATGACCGAAAAGCAACTGTCTCAACAAGTTTGTTATAAAAGTATCAGCACAAGAAACGACCCGCAACATAAGCCTGATTCAACATTTTGCCCTCGTTTGACTTCGCTTATGGGTTATATCTACAAAGAGGTCGAACCCCCGTTGGTGGTTCTCTACACCTGGTGGCCAGACCCCTTAGTGGACAAGGACAAACTCAACCGGAAGTTGGTTTTCGAAAACTATAACATGCTGCGCCCTTTCGTCAAGCCGGTTATTTTCACAGACAGTCGCGTCGTTATGGCGACGGCCAATATTTACGACTGGGCGTGTCTCCCAGTGCCAGAATACAACCAAGAAGGCGTCCCTGTTTTCAAGAGCATGTCCCGCGAAATCGTCAAGAACTTCAACGGGACGTTTTACGCCTACGCCCGCGCCACCACCGTGTTTGACGTCACGTTTTTGGAGACGTTACTGGCCGTCAAAGACAAGCTGGTCTCGAACATTCTGGAAGAGAAGAAATCCGGCGAGTGGTACCAAATCAGACGCGATTACAAGAAACCGGTTCTTATTTACGGAAACGCGATGGCGTACGCGAAATTAGGATCCGTGCGTGATTTGCTCGAGCTAAACGCTGTGGCGTACTCCAAAGGAAATTTGACCTGGGACGACCCTAAAAAGGGGTTGGTGTACTTTGCGTACAGAAACATCGAATTCGAAGACCTGCCGAACGTGATCGTAGATGACGTGTACCTGACCCCTTTCCTCGTGGCAAGGTCGCGAAGGCTAGGTCATGTGGTGCTGGAGACGACCTTGACGACCCTGGCGGTGTACACGGAGAAGAACACGACGGTGACCGACTGGGGGCGGTCCTTTATAAAAACGAAACCACGTGACCCGCTGTACAACAAGCGATTGGCCGAGACGTACTTGACTTCGATGAAAGGTTTCGGAAAAGCCAGCTCACTAGTAGGGGGTTACACAAAGTTTTCACCCAAAGATGGGAGCGTTCTTATCAACGGAAATACATACTAAACCACCAATCATTGAATCCATTTTTTGAGTTGTCTCAATGCTCTGCGATAGAACTATATAAATAAGTTATCATAGGTAGGTTTTTCTGCCGGTATGGCTGTTAGGGCTTATACTTTGGATGCTGCGCAAAGTCTGGTTAGTGTCAGAGGCGTAGCGAAGGGGGGGGGGGGGGCGGGGGGACCTATGTCCCCGGGCGCTGACCTTAGGGGGGCGCCAAAATGGGTTGGAAAAATAAATTAAAAGCTTGAAGGGGTGTGCAAATCGAAAGTTTTAGGGGAGGGGGGGGGGTGGGTTCAAATCGAAAGTTTGAGGGGGACGGGGGATGCAAATCGAAAGTCTGAGGGGGGGGGGGGGGGGGTTCAAATCAAAAGTTTGTCCCCGGGCGCCGGGAAGGATCGCTACGCCTCTGGTTAGTGTCAAGATTTGTGCTTTTGTAGCTATTGCATCCGAAGATCTCTTCGTCAACTGTAGCATCAATATTCAAGTTGTCTCAATGCTCTTTGATAGAACAATATAAATAGTTTATCATAGCTAGGTTTTTTCTGCCGGTATAGCTGTTAGTTTTAGGTTTATACTTTGGATGTTGACCATAGTCGGGCTAGTGCCAGTATTTGAGTTATGGTAGCAATACAGTAAATAGCTTTTTCAAGGTCCTACCGGAGAACATAGAAGTATCAAATTTTGTTATAAATTTAATCAGAAGCGTCGAGAGGCGGGATCGGGGGGTGCGGATCGCACCGGTTAACATCATTTAGGGGGTGGCAACAAGACAAAAAAATAGCAAGGTATATAGAATAAATATGTTTTTGACAGTTCAATGAATGGTAAATTATAGTTAAAGTTAAAAAGTATTTAAAATACATAATGACAATCCTGACAAAGGAGAGGACGTGGGGAGGGGGGAGGGGGGTAACACCATGATGTAAACATGCAAACTATAGAGAAAACAATGCTACACAGCTGAGAGGCGTAGCGACCCTTCCCGGCGCCCGGGGACAAACTCTCAATTTGGCGCCCCCCTCGGGAGCAAATTTTCGATTTGCACCCCCCCCCCCTCAAACTTTCAATGAACACCCCCCCCCCCTCAAACTATTTATAATTTGTTTTTCCAACCCATTCTGGCTCCCCCTAAGGTCGGCGCCCGGGGACATATGTACCCCCCCCCCCTCTCGATACGCCGCTGACACAGCTGTATTAACATCGATAAACATCATTAGTATTAAATGGGTCGACACCAAATGCAAAGTTTACAGAGAAAAAGGGGGATGGAGGGGGTGACACCATGACGTGCCGCATCGGATAACACCCGACCTAGCGACACCACTGACTTTAATCATTCAATAGAATGTATTTATTTTGCGTTAATAATAATAAATGTAAGCGAGGAGTTGTGGAACGCTAAAGATACAGGTTCAAATCCGAATGAGAAGTTTGTAATATCTGAGGTTTGTTAATCTTTTGGCTTTTATCAAATCAGCTTTCATATGCGACATGGAAATTGAAACTGGTAAACTCTACTTTACCAACACGAAGTTCATCTTTCTGTTGTTTTGTGTGTAGTTGTGCGCGCGCGTATGTGTCTGTGTGTGTGTGTGTGTAAGAGAGAGAAAGAGAGAGAGATGATCCGACACATCGATCTAACTAGTAGAGATTACTAGTGGTATAATTCAGATGTAAACAACGTAATCCACGTAAACTAAACAGGCAGTTATTTTTCTCTTTTGGATTATATAATAATTATATTTTTTTAATACCAACAGACATCAGCTGTTAGAGTGTTTTTTTATTTCAGGAGCAACTATTTTAAATTAACTTAAATTAACCTGCACTAAAGGCCAAACTTGTAAAGTTTATAATCTACTATTATAAATTAATCGAAATTTTATGACATAATATCCTCATATGTAGTTGATGTAGACTACGGTATAAAAAGTTAGCTAATAAAAGATTAGCTTCATACTAAATCCAAAGTATCTGTTAGTTAAAACTGCAAAAGAATAAATTGAAAACGGACTAGCTAGAATCAATGTATAATTTTTTAAAGAAAATATACACTTTAAATAGTGTCCCCTCCCTTGGAATCATCAACCGCACCACCATGTTCACCGAGGAATTTTCAAGTCCCCCCCCCCCTCCCCTGGAAAAAAAAATGTCTAAATGAAGCCCCGATCACATTAACGCTGAATCAATGCGTTATCGTGGCGTCGCTTTACGATTCAGTAGACATGAAAACCAGAGGCGTAGCGGTGGGGGGGGGGGTGCGGACCGCACCGGGTGACACCATTTAAGGGGGGGGGGGGGTGACACCAAGGCAAAAATTAGCTAAATATATATAGAAAAATGATAATGTCACTTAATTAAATGATTAATTAGAGTGAATTAAATAGTCTTTTAAAAGCAGTGGACAAATCCCGACACGGGTGGAGGGGGGGGGGGGGGGGTGAAACCATGACGTAAACCTGCTAATGATAAAGAAAACATGCAAAATCCAGCTGAATTTATAACCGAATTTAGATACAAATCATTAGTATTATCTGAGCATAGTTTAAAGCAATCACCGTGGGGGTGGGGGGGGGGGGGGGGTTACATCAACTCAACGTTGCAATATATACCTGAGGAAAACGGTTTGGTTGAGAATCGTAATAAGCTATATGTTAATTCATGTATGAGGTGTGTGGGGGGGGGGGGGATTTAATACATCCAGAAGAAAAAATGTGAATACATATACATATGCGTATACACATACTTACAAGTGTATATGGAATATATATATATATATATATATATATATATATATATATATATATATATATATATATATATATATATATACATTTTTTTTTTCTTACTGGGGGGGGGGGGGGGAATGACACCATTAGGTACCACACCGAGTGACACCCGACCTCGCTACGCCACTGATGAAAACTTATCCACGTATCTCAGATATCTACCCTGACTACGATATCTGGATGACACTGTGCTGTCAATTTTTTTTCCATCTGATAGGCTACTTAACGATCGATATTCTTCACGTTGCTGAACTTTAATGTCCACAAGCAATCAATACACACGATAGATAAGGATTACCGCGTTACAAGGACGTGATTGATAGTTTTATCGATTAATAACTTTAATAACGCAATTCAAGGGAGGTTATAAATTGTGATTCAGGGGACATAATAATACTTAGGCTAAGTCGTAAAATAATCGGGGAAAAAATTTGAAAAAGAAAACTATAGTTTGAGAATTTAAAAATAATATCTAGTAAACTGAGTCTTGTTTATTTGTTTACATTTAAAATAAAACGTTGGAGTCTTGTTTATGTGTTTGTATGTTTTTAGATAAAGCAAAACATGAATGTGTAGACACACTGTGTTGTTATTGATTTTATTCTTCAACTTCCCGTGTCCTATGACTTCCGGTCGGTACTTAATATATATCAGCGGAAACACAAGAGAAACTAATGAGTTGCTGCCCACTAGTACACCCCTCTCTAGAGCAGTCAGCAGTGTCCAGTTCTCCGACCCCAGGTAACGCGTCAGATCCACACCACTGACTATAAATAGCGTTGCTGTCATTATCACCAGCCCTAGTGAAATACAGGTTTCGTGACAATATCTAAAAGTTGTCTTAGAGTAACGTCATTTCGAATAACCTATGACTGCCCATACCCGTGCTTTTAGGTAAAAGTTATTACCAATACCCCAGCTTTAACATCATTGCCTATATCCCTGCTTTACAGTAACATCATTGCCTATATAAATGCCTTACAGTAAATCATTGCCTATATCCCTGCTTTACAGTAACATCATTGCCTATATAAATGCCTTACAGTAACATTATTGCCTATATCCCTGGCTTACAGTAACATTTGCCTATATAAATGCCTTACAGTAACATCATTGCCTATATCCCTGGCTTACAGTAACATCATTGCCTATATAAATGTCTTATGTGAATCCCTTACAGAAACATCATTGCTTATGCCCCTGCCTTACTGAAACATCATCGCCCATAGCCTTGCGCTACAGTAACATCACCGACCATATATCTACCTTGGAGTAACGTCATTACCCATACCCCTACCTTGGAGTAACATCATACCCATACCCCTACCTTGGAGTAACATCATTACCCATACCCCTACCTTTGAGTAACATCATTGCCCATACCCCTGCCCTACAGTAACATCATTGCCCATACCCCTGCCTTACAAGTTACAGTGACATCATGGGTTTATTCTCGACTAAAAATAACTTCATTGGTCACTAACTTCATTTATGTCGCTCCAATCCATTAGGTAAAAATAGTCCTTTGATGACAAAACTTGCCGTTCTTTAGACCTCATAAATCTCTTTTTTTCTGGCAACACAATACAAAGTCGATTATTTTACCAAGTCGCTTGTGATCATTGCCACATTGGACTTTATTTAGTCAAATCTATATACACTCAGGCTCACATTTTTATTATATTGATTTTGAACTCATTTGTAAGTCCAAGTCATAGAAACTTCCTCACGAAAAAAACCCATTCACGTATGACTTCTAGATATTTGGCCACCCAATCATTTCCCATAAAAATACACACGTTCATCCAATTAATCACCCATTCATTACTAACACTCAACCATTCAATCACACACTCGCATTCAAACACTCACCATTCAAATCAATCATCGATCTGATTGAATTTATCTACCTTCAATAACAGAGTCTCGCCCGTTAGTTTTGTTTTTCTTTCATTTTCCTCAACCAATTGCCCGATTGCTTTGAACCTTTCACACTACAACGGAACAAACCATTTCAATCGGAAATTATAATTTTTTTTTTCAAGCACGCTGCCACCTAATAAAAATTATTGATTTATCGATTAATTGAAGATTAGGTTATTCATAGTGATAATTTGTTTTCGCATTTTTAAGGAACGTTGGTGTCGGGTGGCGTTTTAAATTCTGAGATAAAAATCAATGAAATAAATATGCAGGGGTTGATATTTGCTAATGCATGGCTTAAGAATAATTTTTTTTTAAAAGTAGTAAAAATGTATATATTGTGTCACTTTTATTTTTGCATTCTCTTCACATAATAATTCAGTTTTTGTGTGTGTTGAAGTGGTGAAATTTGAGCGTTTCGAAACTTAATGCAAAGCGGGCATTTGAGAAAGGATAATGGGAACTGTCATGGGAAAAGGGTAGTTTAATGAGGATATGGTCGTTATATTGGGAGTATGTAGTGTAATAAAGGTAGGTGCAGGTGAAAGCTGTCTGGGTAAATGGAGCTTGCAGAGGCGTAGCGAGGGGGGGGGCGCACCGGGTGACACCATTTAGGGGGGTGACACCAAGGCAAAAAATAGCAAAATATATAGAGAAAAACTTGAGGGGGGTGCAAATCGAAATTTTGAGGGGGGGGGGGGGGATGCAAATCGAAAACTTGAGGGGGGTGCAAATCGAAAGTTTGAGGGGGGTGTAAATAAAAAAAATTGAAAGTTTTTCCCCGGGAAGGGTCGCTACGCCTCTGGGGGGTGGGTGACACCATTAAGTGCCGCACCGAGTGACACCCGACCTCGCTACGCCACTGGGAGACTGGACAGTATAATGCAGTGTTCAAATAAGAAGTAATAGTGTAAATAAAAGTTTGCATGTTAGGGTTATCAGACTAGTTAAAAAATAAACTAAATAATAAATGATATAATTAATTCGACTGTTGCAGACATCCGTGTTAATACCCCGTGAATGTAAGAGACGTAAGAGTCAGTCGAAAATAGTTTAGAAAGGAGGAAATGACCAGTTCAAAAAATGCCCGAAAAGGAAGTGAATGCTCAGTCAAAAAATGTGTAGAATGTGAAGTAATAATCTGGCCAAATATTTTAAGAAGTGGGGGGGGGGGGGGGATAGTTTTCAGTCCAAAATTGGAAAGGGGCTGGGGGGGGGGGGGGGAAATGGTCTGTCAAAATGTGTAAAGGAGAGGAAATAGTCGCGAAAACGTGTAAAGTGAGAGGTAACGGTCAGTTCCAAATTGCGTTGAAGGGGAGGAATATATTAGTCCAAAAATATGTGTAAAGAGAGAAAATAATCGGTCAAAATATTTGTGGAGGAGCGGGAATGATCAGTCCAAATATTTGTAGAGGTGAGGGAATGATCAGTCCAAATATTTGTAGAGGTGAGGGAATGATCAGTCCAAATATTTGTGGAGGGGAGGGAATGATCAGTCCAAATATTTGTGGAGGTGAGGGAATGATCAGTCCAAATATTTGTGGAGGGGAGGGAATGATCAGTCCAAATATTTGTGGAGGGGAGGGAATGATCAGTCCAAATATTTGTGGAGGGGAGGGAATGATCAGTCCAAATATTTGTAGAAGGGAGGAAATGATCAGTCCAAATATTTGTGGAGGGGAGGGAATGATCAGTCCAAATATTTGTGGACGGGAGGGAATGATCAGTCCAAATATTTGTAGAGGTGAGGGAATGATCAGTCCAAATATTTGTAGAGATGAGGGAATGATCAGTCCAAATATTTGTAGAGGTGAGGGAATGATCAGTCCAAATATTTGTAGAGGGGAGGAAATGATCAGATAAAAAGTGTGTATAAGAGAAAGGAATGACCAATCACAATATTTGTGGACGGAAGGGAATGATTAAACTGAAAATGTATATATAAGGAGAGGAAACGTTTAGTCCAATAATGTTTAAAAAAATGTATTGAAATGAATGAGTAATTTTTTTCGGTTCAACGTTCTTTCTAATCAAACGTTAATAATTAACACCCGCTGTCCTTTGACCTACTTCAAACCTTAACGTGTTAGTGTCGAAAGGTCCGTTCAATATTTTTACCTGAGCTTTGCCCTTTGTTGACACCTTACAGATGTGTCAATGTAAAGTAGTGCCCCGAAATTGTGAAGGCCGATTTGTTTTGACGTTCTTTCACGATAACATTTGTATATCAAAAGGCTTTTTAATCAATCTTCAAAAGCCATGTTTAAAAATAGCTTGCATTTGAAAAGGGATTAATAAGAAACAAACGCGTCGATGTATTTATAGTATTCATTTGAATAATGTGAATATAAGAGGAATGCAGCAGTTTTAAAAGCCGAGAGAGGACTGGTTCTTGTAAAAATGTATTTTTAGAGTTTTATTCTTACCATGGCCATATTATTAATAATCTTAATTCTTAAAGTTGGCAGAAGGAAGTGTAAGAAGTAACAAAACCTATTGGACGTGACGGTCAGTAGGGCAGGTGAAGTAGATTTCACTTGATTCCGTGACCTCGGCGTGTGATCAGTATTCTGCACAGCCCTCGCGAGAGTCTGGTACCGATTAGAGCTGAGTGAACTCACCGAGGTCCAATGGAGTCAACTATGGGATCCAAAAACACCCGTGTAGTAGTAAACAGAGTTTCTTCCAGGCATCTCTTCGACTTCCCCCCCCCCCCCCCCCCACGAAAAAATTCTACAGCCCCCCCCCCCCCCGAACGAAATGAAATTTATATAATTTATACAGAAAATATATACTTTTAACAGTGTCCGCCCCCCCCCCCCGAAGAAAGTCTACCGCCCCCCCCCCCCGAAAATTTCAAGTGCCCCCCCCCCCCGGAGAAAAAAGCCTGGAAGAAACACTGGTAGTAAAATATAAAACATCTCAAGCAGCTCACACATGTGTCTGTGTTAAAACTGTAGACTACCTTCCAACAAAGTTAACATTATATTAGGCAGAGGCGTCGCGAGGCGGGAGTGGGGGATACGGACCGTACGGGCAGAGTTTCTTCCAGGCATATCTTCGGGGGGGGGGGGGGAATTTCTACCGCCCCCCCCCCCCCCCCCCCGAACGAAATGAAATTTATATAATTTATATAGAAAATATATACTTTTAACAGTGTCAGCACCCCCGGAGAAAGTCTACCGGCCCCCCCCCCCCCGAAAATTTCAAGTGCCCCCCCCCCCCCCGGAGAAAAAGGTCTGGAAGAAACACTGGTACCGGGTGACACCATTCAGGGGGTGACACCATGGCAATAAATAGCAAAATATATAGAAGTTTAATTAATGATTAATAAGAGCGAATCCACCTGTAGCCTATATATATATATATATATATATATATATATATATATATATATATATATATATATATATATATATATATATATATATATATATATATATATATATATATATATATATAGCAGGTTGACATCCGACTACAAGCATATGTGGATACAACAAATCTACAACAATCATACACAAAAAAAAGGTAAAAGGGTAAAAGCGTAGTATGCAATATTCTAAATAAATGAATACTGTCTTTTCATTTAAAACTATTAGAGATAGGCCTACTTTATCAGCTAGATGTCAAGAGATAGTATCTATATATTTAGACAAAATAATATTTCGAGATGGTCTCCGGTATACATATTTTCATGGGTGAATGTTTTCGCACCCTTTCTCCACCCCCACCCCTACTTCACCCCACCCCTAATGACCATTGCACTATATATTAAGGGAACTAAAACAGAATGTGACACTATCTACATTGGCCACTGCGTGAATTACTTTCCTCTCATGTGGGTGTTAGATTATGAGTAAGAGTTTGGTTTCCGGGTTGAGGGTTAGTGTTAGGTTTGGGGTTAGTGTTAGGTTTGGGGTATATGTTAGGTTTGGGGTTAGTGTTAGGTTTGGGGTTAGTGTTAGGTTTGGGGTTAGTGTTAGGTTTGGGGTTAGTGTTAGGTTTGGGGTTAGTGTTAGGTTTAGGGTTAGTGTTAGGTTTAGGGTTAGTGTTAGGTTTGGGGTTAGTGTTAGGTTTAGGGTTAGTGTTAGGTTTAAGATTAGGCTTAGAATTAGGTTTAAGATTAGGGTTAGTGTTAGGTTTAAGATTACGGTTAGTGTTAGGTTTAATAACTGTATGGAAATACTAATCGAATAAACATCGTAAATACGGTAGATGGAGTATCTTTACCAATGAATTTTTTTTGGGGGGAGCAGTAATGTCTAAGCACCCTACCCTTCTCGCCTAAACGAAATCGCATATATATATATATATATATATATATATATATATATATATATATATATATATATATATATATATATATATATATATATATATTTATACATATATATATATATATATATATATATATATATATATATATATATATATAATTTGTTTACAAAATATATACTTTAACCAGTGTCCACCCCCTACCCCCCCACCCCCCTGAAAATTTAAGTCCGCCCCTTCCGCTCGAAATTTGCAAGTGCTCCCCCCCCCCCCCCCTCCCTTCTTATTACCAACGGAGAAAATAGTCTAAAAGAAATACCAATTGTAGAGAGAACAAGATTTTCCATCTTGTGTGTATCTTTCAATTGTGATTGTGTGCTAGTTATCAAGAATACGATCTCACACAAATAGTAATATAACAGACAAAATAACACTCGCTGAAGTGACTTATTTTTAGACCCCCTACCGTATATTTTTTTTCGATATTAAGACGCAGGTGTCGGATTATTGATTTCATGCTTCGATAGTTCGATCTACATTCAAAACACAATTGTATGGAAGTACAAGAAATGCCAATAAGGGAGGTGGCGTTACATGCTATTCCTTTACGAGTTGCCGTTCCTGTCGGGAGTAATGCCCCTTGTTCTGCCAGGTACGTTTTTAACACAGCGGGCCAAATTTACGCCCCGCGGGTCAGCTGATTGGTTGCTGGGTAAACACGCCGCGTCGTGTACCAGCTTTGTGGCGGAGAGTATTGTGCCATTCGTTCGTTAACTGGAGGTTTGGTTTTTGTTTTCAAGAGAACGCATGTATTTGTTCTCTATCTGTTTATTCGGACACTGATTATTTGGTATAAATCATCATGGTATGTACATAGTATTTTGAGTATATATATATATATATATATATATATATATATATATATATATATATATATATATATATATATATATATACCTATATATATATATGCCTATATATATATATATATGTCTATATATATGCCTATATATATATGTCTATAACATATAACATATAACACATAACATATAATATAAAAAATAATATTTGTTGAAACACATATAGGATGAAAACTCACATGTGGTCATGCCCTAACTTAAAACATGCATAAAAGAATCCATTAATTTTCGTTCAGGGGAATTAATTTCGTTATTCTCTATCATGGAAGATGGTTTGTATACCAGCTAAGTACTTTAAACTAAAAGTCTTACTAATTACTTGGTTAAATATTGCATAATACCTGTCTTGTTGCATCACATCAAGCAGCAATAATATTTATTTAGTTTTAATTTATAAAATAACTCAATTGCGAATAGCCAACCCACATTATTTTTAAATACAATAATCTTATTTTTAGTCCTTTTCCTATTAATCATAATTAAAACATCCGTTTGTAAAAATTGCCTCTAAAATTGTCTATGATTTAAAAAAATATTTTAAACATTATTAAAAAAGAATCTATAGGACAATAGCAGTGGATATAGCTGTATAGTATAAACGTATGAAATGTTTTATCTAACGTGTCTCTTTTACCTCTAAATATTGATCCATGCTGCATATAAATTAGATTATCTTTTTTTAGTCCTAAATTTATTTGAGCTCTTGTTATAAGTACCTACCCTCACACCCAACCCACCCCACGACAAAATATGCCCCTTCTATTTTTTTCCCCAGGTTTTTTGTTATTGTTCTTTTAGACTTCCCCAGAATTAACTCTCCACAAGTTAAAAAATAATTGAAATTAGACGTTTTGAATTATATAAATACTATAAGTATTCAATTTTCAATTAATGAAAGTAGATGTCAGAAAGAAGTATTACTATTGTATTTCTGTATCAGTCCTCACAACCCGAAGATGGAACCTGTAATACTAAAGCGAACATGGCAAGACATACTGACGCTGTAAATTGCATGTCTGAAACAATATTTTTTTAAAGAAAGAAAAATCACAATTTTACAAGACATACTGACGCTGAAAATTACAAAAACACATTATCACATATCGTCATAAAATCTAGACGTCAACTGATACACATTTCAAGAAATATGTCTATGATGCTCACAAATCCCCCCCTGAGAACTGACTGGAATATACGAATAAATGAATCATTCGGTTTCCAGAAAAATGTGCAAGCAGAAAAATGCGCAAATATAAACTAATTACACGAATACACTTTAATTTTGTCATATTTCGAGGAAATATGTTTTAATATGTTACAATGTACATGAAGTCACTCTTTTTTATGTCTGTAGAAGCTTGATTTTCAGTGTTTCTTCCAGACTTTTTTCTCCGGGGGGGGGGGGGGGCACTTGAAATTTTCGGGGGGGCGGTAAACTTTCTTCGGGGGGGCGGACACTGTTAAAAGTATATATTTTCTATATAAATTATATAAATTTCATTTCGTTCGGGGGGGCGGTAAAATTTTTTCGGGGGGGCAAAGCCCCCCCGAAGAGATGCCTGGAAGAAACTCTGTTGATTTTAGAAAACAAAAATGCCCTTGCGCACTTTTTTTTTGCGCAGTTTTCTGTAACGCATTTTTCAGGCCACCGAATCATCCTTATGTACACTATCAAAATATGCATTTCATTTCATATTTTTTCTCAAACTTGAATATGGACAAGCATTATATGTACAAAAAATACGAATTCACGAGTTTATAATTGTCAATCCCGTGTTCAAATAGTGAAAAGTATTGTGTTCAAAAGTGTTATAATTGATTAAATTCTGGTTTTCAGATAGTGCGCAACGTCGATCTATATGCTTGTATTATTGCAAAAGCAAGTAAATAAAATGAAAACTGATATCACAAAAGGGGACACACCGCATTTGCGTTCTAAACACTCTTCGCGTTCGGTGTTTCATTCGCGTGCGATGTTTCTTTCAGACATTCTTCTCCCGCGGTTGCACTTGATACTTTTGGTAAAGGGAGTTGGGCCGACTATATATATTATATATTTATATTTCATGTATAAATTCTATTTCGGTCGAGAATAAGGTAGAGGGGGGCGGTGGATGTAGACGTGCTTGGGGGTGAAGGGGGGATGGCACCTTCGAAGACATGCCTGAAAGAAACTCTGTTCACGTGTAGCTCAATATATTCCCTACCTAAGAATATGTCATTATGTATAATTTAACGATTTTAAAAATTCAATTTTGAGTACAGCTGTCTTAATTACCTGGGAATCTAGTAGACTCAAGTGTTTCAACTTTCTGAAGAATCATTTCATCGAACGAATAACATTTTTTTTTATAATCAGATCACAACCTATTTTTATTGAAAGTAATTTTTTCATATTATTTTACACAACGGCATGTAAAGAATTTAGTTGTTTTTTTTTTCTTGTAAATGTAAGCAATGCATTCATGGGGAATAACTCTCACGACAAAACTAATCCGGGGTTACCCGAAAACGAGAACAACTTTTTTGTATGGGGCCCCACGAGATTAATTTAATGATCATTTGCGGTGTGTGTCTGTGTGTGTTTTGGGGGTGGCGGTGTCGCATATCTGAGTGGCATTTTGTAAAGATTTATATCTCTACGCTGCCTGCTATCAGGTTTAGACTTAGTACGTGCACCTCTTAGACAGTGCTTCAGTATTGTTGTAGATTCAACGATCGCGTAAGCTTAAAGTATCTATTGATGAGCCTTGCGAGATTTGTTTTGTATGTCGTCTTTAAGGCCGGGTTTTACATGCATTACGTGGAAATCTATGTCTGTGGATTAAATATGAGAGAAGACAGGATTATTTTTTTATGCATTAGCTACACTATGATACTAGGGGTCGTCCAAAAACGGCGGCATACATTTAGGATGGGGGTTGGGGTGGGGGGGGTGAATTTTTTTTTACCTTGGGTAATGTGGTGAAGGGCCTAAGAAATATGTAGTGGCATATAGCTAGAATTTACCAAGAGTATAAAGACAAACAAGTATCAGTTTTCATTTCGATTAATTATTTTGTGAGAAGGTTGGGTGGACAGATATGTGAACGTCACTTGGAGTGTGTGTACATATGCATATATATATATATATATATATATATATATATATATATATATATATATATATATATATATATATATATATATATATATATATATATATATATATGCTGTCTCATTCGAATCGCTTGCACCTTGGTTAGGCTTAGGGCTAGATTTTAGTGTTAGAATTACGGCAGGTATATGTTGGTTTGTGTTAATTTTGAAAATAGTCATGTTGAAAAATCTCTCTTGATCGCTGCTTCATAGTATATAAGTTTTTATTCTATTTGCTTGCTGTTTTTTTTTTAATGAAACACTAGAACATTCTGTTTTCTGTTCTACCCACAGGTTCAAGAAGACATGTATTAATGGAAACATTGGTCTGTGTTCGATTTAAATATCACTGTCTATCTAATTGAATCCAATTAATTTTTTTTGTAAAAGAAAATAAATTTAAAAGTCGATCAATCAAGCTCAACAAAGAGGGGAAAAAACTACTATTCTAAAGGGCGTGTGTACTTAGTGTACCTTAAAAATGAAAGGCACAATTTGATGAGCTTTGCAAAGACGAAGGGAAACTACTCCGTTTCACCATGAGCAGGGAGCATATCACAGTTTCTCAAGATCCCGGTTTTATTGTTATCAAATATGGAGGTATGGATTATTATAATTATTACTATTTATATTGACCAATTTATGAACAATTATACTGTAATAAGGAGGGTGCGTTCCCATAAAACTTTCATTCTAGATCTAATCTAAATCAACCCTAAACCCTTGTTTGGTTCGTTGGGGCACGTTTGGGTGTGTTTGGGGATAATTGTCGCGTGGCGGCGCCCGCCCCCCCCCCTCCATGCCTGACAATGGCCTTAAGTTATTTATTACTTTAAACTTTTTTACGACAAAATGATAAAAGTAATAAACACGTTTTTCAGCGAAGTCAGCAATAACGATCGGGGGGTATCTCATCATTCTCATTAAACATGATTGAATTCTATCTTATTCATAAAGTATTAAGAAAAACTATTATGTCATTCTTTATTATTACCTTCTTCTTCTTCGTTTTTAATTCTAGTGTTGGAAGGGATTCAATCCAACACAATTAAGTTTTACGTCTCAACTTGTTATACGCCATACAGGCCATTGACTCCGATTTCAGCCTGCTTTTCTTTTTCAATTTACTTCCATAGCTTTTGTCCATTTGTTATTACCAATGTTCTCTAAGGTTAAAATGCCTTCCTCTATAATTAAAATAGTTCGTTAAAATTATTTCTTTTAACGTCGACAGACGACCAGGAAGCGTTGCTGAACCCAAGATGTCCGACACACGTTTTGGTCGACTGGATCCGACGAATCTGCGAGTGTGATGGCGACAGTAAGTCCCGTGTGTGAACCTTCCGGTAGTTGGACGGACAGCTCATGAAAAAGTTAAAAGGCGAACCGTCATGTTACTGTACGAAATATGCATTGTCCTTGTAGAGCCTTAGTATTACTATTGTTTTTTTAATGTCATTAGGCAACAGAGGCGTATCGAGGGGGGGGGAGCATATGTCCCCGGGCGCCGACCATAGGGGTGGCCAAAATGGGTAGAAAAAAAAATTAAAAGCTCATTTTAGCTGCAGTTTAGCATTATAAATATGGAAGGGTCGCTACGCCTCTGTTAGGCAATGGCCTTGAACCAACCATGTTGCTATGTTTCTGTCAGGTATCTCCCCGAATGTACACTCCGCCCCTCGCCAAATGTACCCCCTCCCGACGATGTAGAAAAAAATGGATTTAAATAATAGACACTTTAACCACTCCCCCTCCCTTGGGAAGTTTCAAGTGCTCCAACCACCCTCCTCTCCCCATACCTGATGAAAAATGATGCTTGAAACGACACAAAGGATAATCTAAAAAAAAAAAAACAGCACAGTGTGCTGCTGCATTAGGCTAAAAAATGACAAATGAACACAATTGGGAAGAAAAAAAATCTGGTTCGTAAGAGGGCCATATTTTCCGTCATTGACCTAAAGGAAAGATGATTATGATGATGAAGATATGATGATGATGATGATATGATAATGATGATGATGATTTGATGATGTTTATGTGATGAGGATATGATGATGAGGATATGATGATGATGATGATGATGATTTGATGATGTTTATATGATGGTGATGATATGATGATGATGATATGATGATGATATGATGATGATATGATGATGATGATGAGATGATGATGATATGATGATGATATGATGATGATGATGATATAATGATGATGATATAATGATGATGATGATATGATGATGATGATCGACAAGATTGATTTACGATACGGGGCTATTTTTAACGTTCTCATTAAAAAAAAATGTCATGAGTGACGTCTCATTTCCGGGCTCGATGCATAATTAACAAGATGACGTCATTTTCTTGTTTTTATCGACCCACTTTAAACATGCTGGGAATTTTGATTGATACAATCATAAGCTTGTATACCTTTTTTGAAACTACAGGTTTTGACCAGTGTTTCTTCCAGACTTTTTTCTCCGGGGGGCACTTGAAATTTTCGGGGCGGCGGACACTGTTAAAAGTATATATTTTCTATATAAATTATATAAATTTCATTTCGTTCGGGTGGGGGGGGGGGCGGTAAAAGTTTTTCGGGGGGGGGGGGGGGGGCTTCGCCCCCCTGAAGAGATGCCTGGAAGAAACTCTGGTTTTGACGAGTCTCATATGCAAATATATTGGTAGAATACATGTCAGGAAAGTTGAAAAATGCTGAAGTTGTTGAAGGTTCGAACCGCTTTAACGAACAACAGTTACGTCACTACAATAGCTTTTGAGACGCTGCCGCAGAAACATAGTTGCTATAATTCCCCCCAAGCCTCCCCCCCTCCTCCGTCCTATTTACTAGTACTTATGTAGCTATGTATTGGACGGCGTGGTAGAATGGTAGAGCATACGACTGCTTACCCGCAAGGCTCGAGTTCGAATCCTGTTTAAAATCCGTAGAACGTCCATTGTAGATACCTGACTCACTTTAGGGAAAGTAAAGGCGACTGGGTATATTGCTGACTACACTATCATTTCATATGCCGAGGTCACAGAAACAGGTGAACTCTATTTCGCTTGCCCTATGGATTTTAGGTACTTTTTGTAGCTAAATCACTGTATACAAGTCCTGTTGAAGTAAACTTGGTAGAATCAGACAATTTTACTATTAATATATCATTTCAATCCCATAAAGCAGATGAAATAGAACTCATCTATTTGTTTTGGGTTGTTGCTTTTTTTTTAACCTCGGCATACTTTGTGTCGTGTGACAGTTTTCCTTACTCCATGACAGCACGTTCCCCTTTCTTTCGAAGGTATCTTAGACCTCGTGGATCTAGAGGGACAAGTCAAAAATCTCCCAGCAACCTCGGATGATTACGCCACAAATTACGTCACAGGGCGCGAGACCTATGTCGTCATAAGAGTAGAAAGTATGTATCTGGTTTACGTATAAAATACAAAAGCAGACAACAGTGGCGTACCCAGGATCGTCTCAAGGGGGGGGGGGGGTTAAATCTTTTACTCGGGGACAAACTTTCGATTTGCACCCCCCCCCTCAGACTTTTGATTTGCACCCCCCCTCAAACTTTCGATTTTTACCCCCCCCCCTCTCAAACTTTCGATTTGCACCCCACCCCCTCAAACTTTCGATTTGCACCCCCCTCATACTTTATATATATACCAAGGGGTCTATGGGGGGGGGGGGGGGGTTATGACCCCCCTAACCCCTCCCTGCCTACGCCACTGGCAGACAACGCTTAAATTAAACCTGGAATGTAACTCCTTGATGACAGCTCATATTACTTAAATACTAAAAAGTAATAGGAATTAACATTTAAAAACCAGTGTTTCTTTGACTTTTTTCTACGGGGGGGGGGGGGGAAAGGGGGGGGGTTGTGGAGGGGAGCACTTTAAACTTTCGCGTGGGGTGGGAACTAAATTTTCTAGGGGGTGGGGGCACTGGTAAAAGTATTATGATGACGCAAGTTTAGGTTATTGGAGGTCAAGTAGAAGATAGCAGAAACAGAGCATAACGTAGTTAGGTAGACCAATAGAAATACAGGAGCTGACCGGTCACGTGAGTCGAAGGATGGGCAGTGAAGCATGGGTCAGCAGTTAGGTAGCAGTTAGACAGAGGTAGTGCTAGGGGAAAGACGTAGAATTTGATATTAAATGTTAGAGTTTGTCAAGGAAGTGCAGTTGTAGTTAGATAGTGTTAGTAGACAGTTAGATCTTAGGACGTAGTTAGGGTAGGAGTAGGAGATTGCTTTGTGTTGAATAAAGAAATATAGAATATCTTGAATCGGACCTGTGTTCGCAGAGGCGTGGCGACCCTTCCACGCTCCCGGGGACAAACTTTCGATTTGCATCCCCGCCCTCAAACTTTCGATTTGCATCCCCCTCAAACTTTGTTTTTCCGACCCATTTTGGCGCCCCTAAGGTCGGCGCCCGGGGACATATGTCCCCCCGCCCGGCCTCGCCTCTGTGTGTTTGATTTCACTAAACTGTATCAGGCGTACATAAGAAAAATCGATCCCCGTAGAGAGTATATATATATATATATATATATATATATATATATATATATATATATATATATATATATATATATATATATATATATATATATATATATATATATATATATATATATATATATATATATATATATATATATATATCTAATATATAAAGCTCAGTTCTGTATGTAATGCATTTGTATGTCGTTGGAATTGTACGAATTTAAGTGTTAGAAAATTATCGTGCGCATTTGTCTAAATTTATGAGCTATAAAATTACTATTGAAAGTGTTGGGAAATAATTTTCATTTTTCAAATTATAGTAATAATTGTCGGCATGTTCATTAAACACAAGTTTTTAAAAAAAATATCATCTTTTACAAAAATTCTAATTATGTCTTTATTTAGTCCTGTAGCACTTACTTCCCTTTGATAAATTAGGAAAAACACAATTACTTCCCTTTATAAAACCATTGCATTCCGTGAAAATAATTTACTTTTTAATTACTTTGTTTTGGTGTTGGGAAAAAAAATAATTACATAATTAGCGGGGATTGATCAAGTGCAAATGTTGTAGGTATTTTACGGATAAGCTTGGAGTATTAAAATTGTTTATTAAATTGAAACAGGCGCGTTCGTTTAAGTGAGTGCAAAAGACTGTGAATAAGTTGGGGTACTATAGTCGTTCATTAAGCTAAAACAGGTGATTCCGCCCCGGGGGGTTTATGTTCGCGTTAGTGTTTTCTTTGTGTTTAGGTGGGTTTGCGTTAGTGGTTGCGTTTTAATTTGGTTCGTTTTTGTTCTTTCTTTTTTCGTTTTTGTTTGTGTTTTTTTTGTTTGGGTTTGTATTTGTGTTTTTGGTTGGTTTTGCGTTTGGATTTGGTTTGTTTTCGTTTGCTTTTTTCGTTGATTTTTTTTTTTTGGTATTGGTGTTTGTGGTTGGGTTTGTTGTTAGGTTTTTGTTTTCGTTTGCTTTTTTGTTTGTTTTTTCTTTGTGTTTGTATTGGTGTTTGTGGGTGTGGTTGTGTTTGTTGTTAAGTTTTTGTTTTCGTTTGTATTTGTAATTGTGTTAGCGTTATGTTTGCGTTTTGTTGTTTTGGTTTTGGTTGGTTGTGGTTTGGGTGGGCAATGCCGGGTTTATGATGATTACTAAACACACAGGTAATGGTCTTTAACAGAAAGGTTTTTCACAGAAGCCAGAGCAGGGCCTGGCCGGGACGGCTAGTATATAAATATAAATATAATACAAACTTTCTACAACCCTGCATTACATTTGGTAGAGCAGCAGTTTCTATTACCACCCCACCCTCACAATTGGTGTTTCTTTCTTCAATCTGCACCCTCACAAGTATATTTTCTATATAAATTCAATTCAATTTCGTACGTAGGGGCAGAGGCGTAGCGACCCTTCCCGGCGCCCGGGGACAAACTTTTCGATTTGCACCCCCCTCGAGATTTCGATTTGCACCCCCCCCCCCCTCGAGATTTTGATTTGCACCCCCCCCCCCTCAAACTTTCAATTTGCACCCCCCTCAACCTTTCAATTTATTTTTCCAACCCATTTTGGCGCCCCCTAAGCTCGGCGCCCGGGGACATATGTCCCCCCCGCCCCCCCCCCCTCGCTACGCTACTGCGTGGGGCAGTAGACGTGTTTCGGGGGGGGGGGGATGCCTGAAAGAAGCACTATTAAAGACATACAGTTAAATTATAGTTATACAATCTATTCATTATTAAAATTAAAAAAAAAAAAAGAAAGTTTGGAAATTATCGACGTTTTTTGTACTATCAAAAGTGTTCGATCGAACGCTGTAACGCTCTTCGAAATACAACTGCAATTTTAAAAAGTTGAAGCATGTCTTCCTTCTCGGGGGTACAATGTGCTATCATGATGCGGTAGCCTCAGGGGAGATAGGATGTGTGTGTGTGTTGTCGGTGTTTGGGGGGGGGGGGGGTTAGAAACCAATCTCTCTACTCCCCCCTGGACCAACAAAATAACTACTGTTTCAGTGAAATTACAACTATTGGCAATGATGCGCTCATTAAGATCTCATTGCTTTTTGGTTTCAATACAAAACCACAACTTTACATTGTCAAATCCAATAAGGAAGACATCCATACACAGAAACACACATACACACACACATATATATATATGCCTATAAATGTTTTTTTTGGAGAAATCCCTCATGACAAAATCATGTCATGTCAACGCCGCCGCCTTTATAAATGACACTACATTTCTTGTCGTTGTACAGGGGAAGGAGAGAACGGACCAAACCGCTACATCTCCTTACTCAACCACTTAGAGAAGGTTAACCCGGAGCTTTTGGGTATGTATCAGGGGAAGGTTTGGGAGCTAGCTAGAGGCTTTGGGGGAGGGGGGGGGGGAAGGTCCACCCAGTGTGTCATTTATTCTACGTAAATACAATTAATTAAAATGGGTTGTCTTCGAGCATGAATATGTAAAGCCTCTAATAAAACATAAGTAATGTACCATTGGGTATTTTTTAAGGCTAAAATGACGGTCATAAAACACCACACTCATATTTTTTAACAATTCCAGAGCAGAACCGCAACTCTCGCTTCCTCTCTCCCCATTTCTTCATATGATAATATTAATACGCTAAATTTTGAATATAATTAAATTAATTGAAAAAGTATAGAGCAAGGCCATTTCCCAATCAATATATAACACATTATAAGTGATATACGACCTCACCCTTTTGTACTATCAGAGGTGGACTGAAGAGGTCCGGGAAATTTTGAAAGCCCCCCCCCCCCCCCCCCCCCTCCAGATTGAAATTTTCATAATGCAAATTTTATCCATCGAAGCCTGAATTATACACCTTGGTGTGAAGAAATGGTAAAACGCTAGCCAAAAAAAAAAAAAAAAACTAAACCCCCCACCCTGGGGTCCTCTGGGATTTTCCCCAATAACCTGGCGGACCAATCCACCCCTGTGTACTGTATAAAGTATGCAGTATCCCTAACTATTAAGCAAGTAATATTTTAGGTTTAAAAGTTTTATTTTAAATGATATGAAACATTCTTGCCGTTTTGGGCAGTCAATAATTATAAATCTAGGAATGATGGGTATTTTTTCAAAACAGTCAAATGCTATTAATTAAATTTTATTTTTAATTCTCATTCGACCAGTCAAACTGGACAATTTGTCGCGACCGGACACAAAGACAGGCAAACGAGACCGGTTCAAAAAGTCGTCAGTTCGAGGCCCGCGTCCTGCGGTTACCAAGGGAGACAACAAGCAGCAACGACCAACCAGCACGGAGAGAGCAGCCAAATCAAAACAAGGGAAATAATACGACTGTAAATAAAAGTTCGAAGAAAAACCTATTTTTACATTTAAATAAATTGCTTTAAGATATATGTTAATAAAAGTAAAATTAATTTTGCTGTGTTTAATTTATATTTTTTTTGCAATCTGTTAATTTTCAGCTACTTTCCTTACCCACCGCGTCACACATTGCCACTAATCATACTCAAACTACTCTCTATCTCACAAAGATGGACGTGACACTTGAACCTCCATTCAACCTCCTCACAACAAGGGTCGGATAACAAATTAACGCACAAAAACTGCTTAATTCCTTCCAGAGGCGTAGCAACCCGTTCCGGTGCCCGGAATTGTTCCCCCTCCCAATTATATTATATTAATTAATGTTAGTAAAAAAAAAAAACGCCCCCCCCCCCTCTTATTTGAAAAGGGTGGCGCTTTTTACCACTCATTAGTTTTCGCTTTGGTTCCATTCTTCAACTGTGTATAATTAAATACTTCAGCTTAAAAGAGCTTTTAAATATTATTTTCTACCCCATTTGGCACCCCTTTGGGGTCGGGGCAGACGCCCCACCCACCGTCCCCTAGCTACGCCACTGGTTCCTTCTTGTCCATTAGTTATCGACTACTGCTTCAAACTAGATTTTTTTTTTACATTCATGTTTTTATGTCAGATGAAGAATAGAGTAACCGTCCACATCGACTCTAAAGGATGGCATATCAAGCAGCTGTGACATCTGCTGCTTCAATCATCTCGGTATACAAAGAGATATAGTGTGGTCAGCACTATGCCCAGCCACCACAAAGAGATATAGTGTGGTCAGCACTATGCCCAGCCACCACAAAGAGATATAGTGTGGTCAGCACTATGCCCAGCCACCACAAAGAGATATAGTGTGGTCAGCACTATGCCCAGCCACCACAAAGGGACTTAGTGTGGTCAGCACTATGCCCAGCCACCACAAAGGGACTTAGTGTGGTCAGCACTATGCCCAGCCACCACAAAGGGACTTAGTGTGGTCAGCACTATGCCCAGCCACCACAAAGGGACTTAGTGTGGTCAGCACTATGCCCAGCCACCACAAAGAGATATAGTGTGGTCAGCACTATGCCCAGCCACCACAAAGAGATATAGTGTGGTCAGCACTATGCCCAGCCACCACAAAGAGATATAGTGTGGTCAGCACTATGCCCAGCCACCACAAAGAGATATAGTGTGGTCAGCACTATGCCCAGCCACCACAAAGAGATATAGTGTGGTCAGCACTATGCCCAGCCACCACCACAGGACATAGTGTGGTCAGTATTATACCCAGCCGCCTTAGTTTCCCTAACTTGACTCAGGTACCCATCAGAGTTGGCTTGGCTAACAAGCGTCCTACAGACTCGAACCCAGGATCCAAACTAATGCAGTGGTAAGCTCTAACGTTTGACCACTCTGTCCCCCACAGCCTACTAGCATTATTCACATGCAACACAAAGGCACAAAAACAAAACTCCCAAGTTTTAACGTTTTTCTTTTACTCTCACATCTCAATAGAGTTGAAATGAGTATAGACAGTCATGTTTGTGTTCCCATCCCATGAGAAACCAACAACTTCCACCAAGCAAGATAATAACATTTATAAGTACATTTAAAGTATAGATTGTAAGATACAGGGAGACAATTCATGATCTCATAATGGCACCTACTAAAATGAAAACAATGGTTTCTATAAATAAATTACATATAAATATAATACACTTTTTTGTTAATAAAAATCTAAGCAATATTGAACATTCTAAAATTAATTCATATTTACAATAAGGAAAATATTTTTAATACACAAAGATGCACAAAAAAATAAACATGCATCCATTAAAAATATTTTTAACCACTTATTCACTGAGATCTTATCTATATCTAGTGCTTTAAAAAAAATGAGATTTTTTTGCTCAAGGTGGTATCGTTAGAAAACAATAAATATAAGATCATTTCATATTTTTGTCATAAGCTTAACTTGTAAATAACCATGGAATGGTTATGGTTAGCATTTCATGTCATATGTCATGTTAAGAATTTAAATATAAACATACATCTATTACAATAAATATAAGCATCATCAGAGGCTTTATGACCATACTCTAGATAAACAAAATGAAGCGACTGATTTTAAATATACGCCGTTTCTCTATTTATTAGTCATCACTCTAATAACATTATATGACAAAAAAATTTCCAAATTTGCAATGGTCTAAATCAGGGGTCTGATTTTAAACATAAGGTGTTTCTCTATTTTTCGGTCACCACTCTTATAACATTATATAAAAAAAAAAGTGTATCCTGCCAAAATCAGCTGTCGCTTACTTGGACGTTATGTTTTTACTAATATCAATGTGTTATTTAATTAAATAACACATGAATGAAATAATATTTAAAAAATAATTAAAAACAACATCCATGTTTGATTCTTTTTTATTTGGACCTAGAGTGTGTTATCTGCCCCTGAACTGCAATTTGATAGTTAATGCGGCCCTCGGGATAAAAGTTTGGAGACCCCTGGTCTAAATGGCCACTGTTTATCACTAGCCAATAACTGCCCATCATCATCTTGTGTCATGTTTAGAATTTCAACAAAAACATCCATTACAACAGTCAGTGATCAACAGAGACATTATAATCATACTGCAGAAAACCAGGGTAAAGTGACTGATTTTAAATATGAAGTTTGATTTTAAAATAATTTTACAACTCTCAAAATATTACTAGCTAATAACTGTCCATTATCATCTTGTCAATATAACTGACTGCAAAAGTTATTTAGCTGTAATTAAGATATGTTGATTCTGTAAAAACACAAAAAATAACCCAGTTAAAGTATAATGCTGTGGATCTACATTGGCTCAACAATGACATCATTTATTATATATAGTAGCATTTGTGTAACAAGCTAAATCCTACATTCAGTCCAAAAATGTAGAAAGAACTTTAACGTGCTACTCTAACTGGTAGTTTTTAAAAATTAGTTGAATTAATGTATAGCTGATTAGTGTGTATATTTTTTTGGCCAAGTATGATCAATTTGAAAATGTGACCTTACAGATTTAGTGTAACAGACTTATGTGCTATTGAGAAACAACCATATTCTTAAATTTCGGTGAAAAGGTAAACATATTCTGATCATTTATGTTATTATCTGATGTCATAGGGGTCAGGAGTGGTGTTTTGCTGTTTGTGTTGCCATGTAAGAACAGAGGATGGAGGTAAAAATTGTCAAAAAGTGCATGGCGTCTTTTAATAATTAAGGCCCATTTGGAAAAATATTTAATGAATGCAGCAGCTGAAAGAATATCCACAGTAGCATGTGAAAATTAAAATGAATGGAAGATTTGATTCTATCACATTTTTTTCTATAATATTGGTACTCTGAAGTTCCTTGATACTAATGTTTGTGAAAATATAGTGTATACAAACCAAAAATATTATGTATAACAAGAATAGAATTGTACATCTTCATTGAGGTTACACTAAAACCAAAAAAAAAATTAATTAATTAAAATAGATTTTTCAAAATAATAATTTTGACTTTTTAATACACATAGTATTTTTTTAAAGTTTTAATGATAGACTTATTTACATATGAAGCCAAAACAGCTAAGCTAACTTAAATACTTTCAATCATTTTCTACATACTATATTCATTTGTAAAACTGAATTTTAATCTCTCAAAGGTGCTTTTTTATAGAGATAATTAGTTATATCAAAAACAATTACACTTTGATTGAAGTAAAACATGTATTTGATTTGATGTATTCTTAAAACAAAATCAAAATCCTAATTAATTTACCTGCCTTACATGTTTTGATGAACAGAACAAATTTAATTATACACCAACTTACTTGCACTTCACCACAGATTTATCTCTCCCCATGTATCAAATTTCAAGCTAAATAAGTTTTACATTTTAAAAAATGCCAGTCAGGAAATTTTTTTAGAATTATGGCATAACAAAAGTCCTTGACAGTAATGGATACAAGTTTAATTTACAGTGGTTCTTAACCTTTTTGGAGGTACCAAACCCCACCATTTTTATTTGCGCATTCACAAAACCCCTTGTTCTCAATATTAATAATAAACAAAATCTGAACATGAATCATATTAGTTGGGTGAGAGTCTTGACCGTCAACGAACCCCTGAGACTGACTCACTAAACCCCTGGGGTTCGATCAAATACAGGTTAAGAACCATTGATCTAGAAGAAAGTATTAGCAAGTTTCTTACTCCTCCTTTACTTTAGAGAAAAAAAATTACACTATTGCAATCCAAAAATAATTTGTTATAAGAAAATCTAAGAAAGCATGGCAAAAATACATTATTGAATTTATGTAGTACATGTAAACTTCAGATCGAGTTAAAAAAAATTTACTTTTAAAAACATTATCACAGCAAGCATCAGAAAGAGGGTAAGCTAGCATAGAGACAGTTTTGATTTTAAAAATTTATAAATTATAGATCAACATAAGAACACAGACTGTATCACTGAAGTAAAAATTTTGAATTAGCATTTTGTTTTGATAAGCAATAAAGGTTAATTTTATGTGATTCTCCACAACATTTCGATCTCGTATCATTCAATAGTTAAGTCTTCATTATCAATGATAATTTCAATAGTAAAAACAATTAAAGAGATGAACTTACAGTCACAGGTTTAGTGTAGAATAACTTTTAAATACGATTGCAAGAAAAGTGTGATTTTTTTTAAAAATAATTGTTTTTTTTTTTAACAATTTGGGGAAGAAATTTTTTTAGGCTTTAGATTGAATAATCTAATCTGTGATAACTGAATAAATAATTAGAAGTAACCAAAAGCTTTCCTCTGGATATAACTGGGATTATCTCAAAAAACTATAACTTTGAATGTTTATGTTCTTCAAAAAAAAATCTCTTTTAAAATGTAAACTATTCTTATGACTTGCTAGAAAAATCTTAATTAATTATTATGAATAATTTATAATAATAGAGATTTTAATTATTATGAAAATAATAGAGACAGTTTTGATACAGATATATAATTATAATAGAATATTTATTACAATACTTTTGAGCTTCACGGTAGCAGTCGAAAATATGAGATTAGCATTTTGGTTTTGATCAGACATACTATCAACAACAAAAAATGTACAAACATGTGAACTTACAAAAAATGTTAGGAATCTTGGGTTATCGTATGTGTGGCTAGGTATTCTTCATTGATAGTCACGGACATGGCTAGTTTGGGGATTTCCGTGTTGTCAGCTTCAATCTCTGTGATGCACTGTTCCAAAAGGTCAGTGTAGGCTTTCCTCTCAGACTCCAGGTTGTGATGCTGCAGGATGTACTCTTTGGCTTGTTTCGTTACATTCAAACTCCGGTCCACATTTTCGACAATGCTCTCAGCTTTTTGAAGGAAGGTCTGAACATACATGGTAAAAGTTTAGTTAGTAGCTTGAATGTGAGCTAGTCAAATAAAATAATGTCATTTTTTTTAATTGATGCTTGAGAAATGTTAATTATATATATATATATATATATATATATATATATATATGCTATGTATAGAGCACTCTTTGTGTCTGAAGAACAGAATAGTATTAGATAATTAACAAAATACTTTGGAAGAAACTGAGTACGTTTGCGACGAATTAACCGACAAATAATTTTTAAAATTTTTTTTATTGAAATTAGTATTTATTAAAAATAACTCTCAATTTTAATGTTAAAAAAATTGCAACCTTCAATTTCATAATATTTATTTTCTTTGATAATTAACATTGAACGAAAAACGATTATAATTTATATTTAAGGATTAAAAAACTGACCTGGGGTGAATCAAACAGAAATCCTGTCACATTGTCCTCTATAATAGCCCTGTTTCCAGGAATGTTCCTAGCAAACACAGGAATCCCAATCTGCATAGCCTACAGTAAGTGACAACAGTAAAAACACATCAAGAACCACAATGTAATTAATTTAATAATTTGACAGACAAAAAAAAATCTTTTGGACTTCTTGAAAAATATTTTCAATAAAAACACAAAAAAAACCCATCTTAGTGGGGACAATCAAATAAAAATTTAAATATTTAAATTAAAAAAAAGCAGGGTATTTAAAAATAGCTTTAATAACCAAACCCAAATAAAGGAGTTACCTCCAGGATGGCCAGACACATTCCCTCACTGTCTGAAGAGTTGACAAGGGCAAACGACTGCGACATGACTGCATGCGTGTCTTCCATTGGAAGACCTGGAATGTACACAATACCTGGATGCCTGGGAATTAATGTGTCACACACTGAAAGGCAGTTTAACTGTTGAAATGTACACAATACCTGGATGCCTGGGAATTAATGTGTCACACACTGAAAGAGCTACACCTAAAGGTAGGTTAACTGTTGTTACGCCCCTTTCAAATCAACTTTATGTTGTAATTTGTTAAAACAATTGAGCATAAAATAATGTTTAGTAATAAGAACAGTAGTTTATTATTCTGAATCTGCATAACTTATTTCACTGTATTAATAAATGTCACTGAAAATGCAACTTAAGTATTTTTTCAGAAAAATATATCCACAGAAATGAAAATAAGAGTAAAATCTCTTTTAAAAAGAATGAAGCACATAAACAGCAAATAACATTTCCAGTGCATTACAACGATGTTGCAAATAGATATAATTTATTTCCACTTACTTGCTTATCGCAGGTTCAAACACTTTTGTACAATATTGTTCGTCTAACTGAAAATGAAAGTTGGAATTTTTACAAAATCTTAACAGTTGCTATTAGCATTTTTCAAGATTCATTAAACAAAAGTCCAGACAGAATATATAGTCTATTCTGGTATCTCCTTCATCCAAGATATTTTTGTCAGTTGGCTTCTATCAGTAGGTGTCGCACAATTTTCAACCCTATGCCTATGCTGAAAATAACCTGTTGATTAGGAAATGTATGAACAGGAAGTAGTAAATTAGATTGCATAACCTTAGAAAGGAAGACATTTATACCACTAGGCAGATGTAAAATGGAACCCACAGGGAAAGGAAAGGCTGTGGTGTCTGAGTTGAGAGATGCCGCACAAAATGTCATGGATGAGATCATTTGACAAAGCGGAGGGGGGGGGGGGGGCTAAGAAAATAGGACAGATGGTTCAGTTGTTACATTTTTAAATAAGCCTCAGATTAGAAGATAAAATAAGAATTAAAGCGAATTCTTACCTTTGGTCCAACTATCAACAGAATGATTCTTTTATCCCTGGCATGCCATTCTGATGACAATATAATAAAAAAAAATTATTAGTTTTATGGAAGAAGTAGCATGAAAAATTAGTGAACAAAGCGTTTAAAACTAATTGCCTATAAAACCACTGACGACTATTTTTATCAAAATTTGTATTAATTCTATCTGAAGGATAAAGTTGATAGAGAGTAAATTAAATGATGTTCACCTGTATTTTTACAGCGTAGAAAGATTTAAATGCCCCACAAATGGCGAAACAACAAGATATTAAAATGCTGGTAGAGCAAAATATTTTTTGCTAGATAACTACCACAACTCTGGCACTAAGCCTTGCCTTAAAACTAACCCTAGACCTGATTCTAACCCTGCAGAAAATAAATATTCCATTCTTCAATACCCTACAAGCTTTTATCAATATGACCCAACTATATAAAATTACCTTGAAATGTGGAGACTAAATATATAGGGTTCTTGACAGGCCTAATCCCACCAATGAAAACAAATATAACTGGCTTCTGTTGTGATGAGCTCTGTAGACAACCCACCTCAGGACGACTGCTGAGGTACGTGATCAGGTTAAAGCTGGACATGCTTGTGTGAACAGCTGTAAACAATACATTTTAACTGGTTAAATAGTGGTAGGGTATAAACTGTTTAGGTACACCTAAAGCTTGGGGGAGCTTAATTTTGATTCAGTTAGTTGGTTGGTATGGTCATGGTATAAGCAGCGATGTGTTACTGGCACAGATGGTAAAGTTATGGTATAAGTAGTGATGTGTTACTGGCACAGATGGTAAAGTTATGGTATAAGTAGTGATGTGTTACTGGCATAGATGGTAAAGTTATGGTATAAGCAGTGATGTGTTACTGGCACAGATGGTAAAGTTATGGTATAAGTAGTGATGTGCTACTGGCACAGATGGTAAAGTTATGGTATAAGTAGTGATGTGTTACTGGCATAGATGGTAAAGTTATGGTATAAGTAGTGATGTGTTACTGGCACAGATGGTAAAGTTATGGTATAAGCAGCGATGTGTTACTGGCACAGATGGTAAAGTTATGGTATAAGCAGTGATGTGTTACTGGCACAGATGGTAAAGTTATGGTATAAGTAGTGATGTGTTACTGGCACAGATGGTAAAGTTATGGTATAAGTAGTGATGTGTTACTGGCATAGATGGTAAAGTTATGGTATAAGTAGTGATGTGTTACTAAAACAGACGGTATAGTTATAGGATAAGCGGTGAGTAACTGAACAATTGTTTATAACTATAGGATAAGCAGTGATCTGTGATTAGCACAGATGGTGAGAACGATGATGTGTGAGTGTGTTGTGTGACCAGAACAGATGGTATGTGTGGTGGCGTAGATGCAGGTGTAGGATAGACAATGTACGTGACGGAGACGATCGACGAAGCATGGGTTAGAATTAGATTGTAATTACGGGCGACATCATTGTGGGGGGTAGGTGTAGCAGACACGTATCTAGTTGGCCTGGGTGACCGTAATGGGGGTAGTTTATTAGCAGGGTCTGACATTTTAATCAGGTACTCCAGAACTGTGGCGACATGCAAATTAGGTTAGACCGGATGGACAAGACCAAGAAGTGAGGACGATGAGGGTTAGGAGACAGTTGAATCTAGGCAGTCGGGGTTGAGACTTTGTAGTGAGAGGACGTATACAAGTGTAGAATTAGGGAACAGTGTAGTGACAATAGTGTAGGAAACATTGAACAGTAGGTGTAAGCAAGAAGTATATATTGTGTTAAGCCTATTATATTCAAGCATCGGATGTGTAATAATTAAATGTTGTGAATCAAACTGATCTTCGAGTTGTCTTATTTAATGCACGGAATTGAGAGTATTCTCGTCCTCTTCACAGTATTAAACTATATGTTCGTATGTAAGAAGGAAATTAATAGAATAATAAGAAGAGCAGTCAATCCCCCCCCCCCCACCACAGTATGGTCATGGTAGGAACAATGTGTTACTAGAACAGATGGTATGGTCATGGTAGGAACAATGTGTTACTAGAACAGATGGTATGGTCATGGTAGGAACAATGTGTTACTAGAACAGATGGTATGGATATGGTATGAACAATGTGTTATTAGAACAGATGGTATGGTCATGGTAGGAACAATGTGTTATTAGAACAGATGGTATGGATATGGTATGAACAATGAGACTAGAACAGATGGTATGGCCATGGTATAAGCAGTGATGAGGCACTAGCACAGATGGCATGGCAACAGCATACATTGTGTAAAGTGTAACTAGCACAGACATCCATAATTATTTTACTTTACTAAGTGCTTAACATCATTGATAGTATATAGCTATTGCTTAACTTACATGGTGTTTGTTAATCAAAAAGAGGCTAGTTGTTATCAGCCCCTATTAAAAGCTACTCCCCCCAGAAGAAAGTCTACCCCCCCCCCCCCCTGAACTAAATGGGATTCATATATATAGAAAATATATAATTTTACCAGTGTCCGCCCCACCCCCGGAGAAAAAAGTCCGGAAAAAACACTGCTAGGCTGATTGAAGCCATAAACCCTAAAAGTTGCTTAACCCACCACACACTTGAACTAAAGATTGACATACCAACATAATTAAAAACAAAATCCTTTTAAATTAGAACCACTCAATACTCCAACAGTGCTTTAAGTCCATACCTTGAGGGATAAGAACTAGTCTAGCATGGCAGACATTGGGCCACAGTGATAAAGCTTTGCTCCTAATTGTTGTGCTGAAGCAAACTACAAACCTGAAACAAACACAAATTTGTGAAAATGAAATGACTAACAGATAATTATTCCAATTTTTACAAAGTTATAAGCGGTATACATGTACATCCATACATTAAAATGCATCAACTACCACAATAGTTCGTGTCTTTAAATTGAGTTTCTAGTAAAATAACTTACAAACATTACACAAGTTATTTCTTTTTTTCTGCAGTACCAGCTTTAACAGAACAGGTGAGTTCTTTAGATTATAGAAATCTCTTAGGGATGTGGAGCACCTTAATAAATTCAATACAACCTGTTCAGCCCTCTAACAATCTACTACTGTCTATAACTTGATTTTGTTTTAACCAATAGGTGAAAATAATGCTTATATTTTTTATTTTACATTGTTAAAAAGTCAAGCATATTTTCATGAAACCCTTAAGCCTTAAGACAGATTTCGTAGCAAGTCTCTTCCTCTGGGAAGATTATATGCAATAATTATCGAACATTTCTCCTTAGTGAAGATATGAAACCATATCTAACGGTCACATTTATTCCACTTCAACTTCTCCATTAATCTTGTTTTCACTGGCACTGAGATAGCGGAGTCAAGGATTGTGTGGACTTACCCAAAACTAACCTCATCCAATGATATAATTATATCGTCTAAAAGTTTAATAAGATAAAAGAAGCAAGTGTCAAGTGTCCTTACACCCCCACGACCCTCATCCAATGTTAGACTTATCTTGTCTAAAATGGTAATAAAATAAGTTCCCAGTTCCCTACCACCCTCATCCAATGTTAGACTTGTCTCCAAGTGTAATAAAATAACAAGTTCCCAGTTCCCTACTACCCACATCCAATATTAGACTTGTCTAAAAGCGTAATAAAATAAGTTCCCAGTTCCCTACCACCCTCATCCAATATTAGACCTGTCTAAAAGTGTAATAAAATAACAAGTTCCCAGTTCCCTACTACCCTCATCCAATATTAGACCTGTCTAATAAAATAATAAGTTCCCAATTCCCTACCACCCTCATCCAATAAAAAAAACATTACTTGGCTTTCATCACCACCTCTGTCATAACTGTCATGGCCTCTGGGTCTTTGCTAAACTCATTGATGTCTGTACCTCCTAATATTACAATATATGGCAAATTGCTATCTGAAATTTGAAAATAAAAAGTATTCCTAATTTTTAAAAATAAACTGACAGAACAAAACAATGAAAAGCTGACCGCTAGATGCCCAAAGCAATAATCAATGGTAAATTGCAAACAAATTTGTTTTTTAAAAGTGTTTTAAATATTAAAATATATATACAGTTACAACAGGAATCAATCACTACTTAAATACGATGTACCTATATACAGCTATAACTGAGGATTCGCTAAGGTTGGTGAAATTATTTTTACTAGTAACAAATTATTATTCGTTATTTACAAGAAGTAAAAATTTTTTTTTAACAAAAAACCAACTACTTGAACTAAAACATGGGCTTACTCTTAGATTATATTACAGAAAATTCTTCGCTCTACATCTGTAGAACACTGGTACCTTTCAGGTAAGCTCCAGTTCTGTAGGCATGAAGGCCTATCAACATATTGATTATATTACAGAAAATTCTTTGTTCTACATCTGTAGAACATCGGTACCTTTCATGTAAGCTCCTGTCCTGTAGGCATGAATGCCTATCAACACGCCCATACTGTCCCTGCTCAAAATGTCATCCATCTCATGTCTACTTTTGAAAAGTTTGGGATCTTCCAGCTGGCACTCATACCCATGGCTTTTCAGGTGATTCCTGTAAGATATGGAGCTTCAATTATCATTCTAAACAGTGGCGTAGCGAGGTCGGGTGTCACCCGGTGCGGCACTTAATGGTGTCAGCCCCCAGAGACGTAGCAACCCTTCCTGGGGACAAACTTTCAATTTTTGATTTGCACCCCTTCAAACTTTTGATTTGCACCCACACCCCTCACACTTTCAATTTGCACCTCTTAAAAGACTATTTAACACTCGAATTAATCACTTAATTAAGTGGAATTATTATTTTTCTGTATATATTTTGCTATTTTTTGCCTTGGTGTCACCCCCTAAATGGTGTTACCCGGTGTGGTACGCACCCCTGCCCCCCCCCTGCTACGCCCCTGATTCTAAATGAGATTAATCATGTGATTCCTGTAAAATATGAAGCTTCACTTATCATTCTAAATGAGATTTATCAGGTGATTCATGCAAGATATTTTAGATATACTTGTGTAACTTATCATTCAATATAAGATTAATTAGGTGACTCCTGCAAGGTATACATGCTTAACCTATCATTCAAAATGAAATGTATTAGGTAATTCTTGCAAGATACATGGGTTTAACCATCAATTCCAGGAGTAGCATTGGTGAAGATTTCAAATAACATTTATTTTAACACTAGTTTTCAAATAGAAAGTAACATTAACAAGAAGGGAAGGTGATTAAATATGTAAATTAAAATATAGAGAGGTTGGCTATTGTACACTTGATAATGCAATGGAAGAAAAAAAAAGTTGGTTTCAATCTAATGCTAGGCCCAACATTTTTGGACCTAATCATTATCGCCAACCCTGAGTTGTAATGTATCTACAATTTTTTTTTTAAAAATGCCATGAGTGTTGGAAGCACATGTCTATAACATTGTAGCTACATTCTTCTCTTTATTACTTCACTAACAAATAGCATCATGTAAAAGGGCAGCATTCCCATAATGTCAAACTTGTTTAAAGCTATGTTAATCCACAACCTCTATAATGCTATGGTGCCCAAGGGAGTGTCGTTAAATGGTGTCACTCACCAAAAGGTAGGGTTTATACACCTTGTAGGGTGGGAAGGGAGTAAGGGTAGGGTTTATACACCTTGTAGTGTGGGAGGGGGGTAAGGGTAGGGTTTATACACCTTGTAGGGTAGGGGGAGTAAGGGTAGGGTTTATACACCTTGTAGGGTAGGAGGGGAGTAAGGGTAGGGTTTACACCTTATAGGGTGGTGGGGGAGTAAGGGGAGTGTTTATACACCTTGTAGGGTGGGAGGGGAGTAAGGGTAGGGTTTATACACCTTGTAGTGTGGGAGGGGAGTAAGGGTAGGGTTTATACACCTTGTAGGGTGGGAGGGGAGTAAGTGTAGGGTTTATACACCTTGTAGGGTGGGAGGGGAGTAAGGGTAGGGTTTATACACCTTGTAGGGGGGAGGGGAGTAAGGGTAGGGTTTATACACCTTGTAGGGGGGAGGGGAGTAAGGGTAGGGTTTATACACCTTGTAGGGTGGGAGGGGAGTAAGGGTAGGGTTTATACACCTTGTAGGGTGGGAGGGGAGTAAGGGTAGGGTTTATACACCTTGTAGGGGGGAGGGGAGTAAGTGTAGGGTTTATACACCTTGTAGGGTGGGAGGGGAGTAAGGGTAGGGTTTATACACCTTGTAGTGTGGGAGGGGAGTAAGGGTAGGGTTTATACACCTTGTAGGGTGGGAGGGGAGTAAGTGTAGGGTTTATACACCTTGTAGGGTGGGAGGGGAGTAAGGGTAGGGTTTATACACCTTGTAGGGGGGAGGGGAGTAAGGGTAGGGTTTATACACCTTGTAGGGGGGAGGGGAGTAAGGGTAGGGTTTATACACCTTGTAGGGTGGGAGGGGAGTAAGGGTAGGGTTTATACACCTTGTAGGGTGGGAGGGGAGTAAGGGTAGGGTTTATACACCTTGTAGGGTGGGAGGGGAGTAAGGGTAGGGTTTATACACCTTGTAGGGGGGAGGGGAGTAAGGGTAGGGTTTATACACCTTGTAGGGGGGAGGGGAGTAAGGGTAGGGTTTATACACCTTGTAGGGTGGGAGGGGAGTAAGGGTAGGGTTTATACACCTTGTAGGGTGGGAGGGGAGTAAGGGTAGGGTTTATACACCTTGTAGGGTGGGAGGGGAGTAAGGGTAGGGTTTATACACCTTGTAGGGGGGAGGGGAGTAAGGGTAGGGTTTATACACCTTGTAGGGGGGAGGGGAGTAAGGGTAGGGTTTATACACCTTGTAGGGTGGGAGGGGAGTAAGGGTAGGGTTTATACACCTTGTAGGGTGGGAGGGGAGTAAGGGTAGGGTTTATACACCTTGTAGGGTGGGAGGGGAGTAAGGGTAGGGTTTATACACCTTGTAGGGTGGGAGGGGAGTAAGGGTAGGGTTTATACACCTTGTAGGGTGGGAGGGGAGTAAGGGTAGGGTTTATACACCTTGTAGGGTGGGAGGGGAGTAAGGGTAGGGCTTATACACCTTGTAGGGTGGGAGGGGAGTAAGGGTAGGGTTTATACACCTTGTAGGGTGGGAGGGGAGTAAGGGTAGGGTTTATACACCTTGTAGGGGGGAGGGGAGTAAGGGTAGGGTTTATACACCTTGTAGGGTGGTGGGGTGAGGGGAAATGTTACATTATTTACAAGCAACCCCTACCTTTAAACAAACATTTGTTTACCTGATTCTCTTTATTGTACAGTAGTTCCCACCTCGCTTGGCCAGGGGAGACAATAAGGTAAGCGTGTGAGGCATCCCTGCATAGGATCTGGGAGTTTAAAAAAAAAATTTCAAATTCAGGGGAGATAAGTAAAATGTGTAAGACATCACTTCATATGATTTGAGAATTAAATTAAACAAAAATCCAAATTCAGGGGGGACAACAACTTAAGTGTGTGAGGCATCCCTGCTTAGGATCTGAGAGTAAAAAAAACAACACAAAAAACGTTCAGAGGAGACAACATGGTAAATATGCAAGGCATCCGTGCATTGGATTTGAGAATTTAATAAAAAGTCAAATTCAGGGGAGACAATAAGGTAACTGTATGGGTTATCTCTGCTAAATTTCACATCCAAAGTTCAAATTTATCAAACCAAAATTAAATTGAAAATATAAAACAGAAAGAAAAATGAAAACGGCTAATCAATAACAACTGTATTATGTATATAAAAAATGGTTGTGGTACTGATACAGTGCAATTAACATTCCACTTCAGCGCACGCACCCGAAATATAATCAATAACACACAAGAATTATATACTAGATTTACTGAAAATCACTTATCCGATGTTCTCAACAAGTAATCACATGGTAGAAGTACTCAGCCACAATTCACAAACTAGATGTACAAAACTTTAATAATCGCATTGTAAGTACAATCACACAATAACAACAAAAAAATCAAATGTTATAACAAAATCAAAAACCACAAATCAGAGGCACTCAACTAAAAACATCACACATTTGAAGTACGCAAATACAAAAATCACACATAAGTACACAAGTAAAAATCACACATTAGAAGTACTCCACAAAAAATTAACTAAACAAAAATACTATTAATTACTTTGCATGTAAACTTAATCACAAAGCTATCGTCTATGTATTACCGCCAACACAGTATTTCCGTATAGCTCATACTAAAGCCAACGAAGGTTGTATCATGCCTGTTTAGGCTACACTATCAACAAGATAATGTTGCAATTGGTCAGAGAAAACTCAGAGAATGATGAAGCTACAACAGTATAGACAAAACTCAGAGAATGATGAAGCTACAACAGTAGAGACAAAACTCAGAATGTTGAAGCTACAACAGTAGAGACAAAACTCAGAGAATGTTGAAGCTACAACAGTAGAGACAAAACTCAGAGAATGTTGAAGCTACAACAGTAGAGACAAAACTCATAGAATGTTGAAGCTACAACAGTACAGAGAAAACTCAGAGAATGTTGAAGCTACAACAGTAGAGACAAAACTCAGAGAATGTTGAAGCTACAACAGTAGAGACAAAACTCAGAGAATGTTGAAGCTACAACAGTAGAGACAAAACTCAGAGAATGTTGAAGCTACAACAGTAGAGACAAAACTCAGAGAATGTTGAAGCTACAACAGTACAGAGAAAACTCAGAGAATGTTGAAGCTACAACAGTAGAGACAAAACTCAGAGAATGCTGAAGCTACAACAGTAGAGACAAATCGACTGTACAGAGAAAACTTCAAAGAATGCTGAAGCTAAAGACAGGTCATAGAAAACTCAAAGAATGCTGAAACAACACCAGCGAACATAAAAGCTCAACAACAACCTGACGGTGAGTACACGCCAAGCAGGAGACCAACAAAATGCCGCTATCGATCCCTCGGTCATTAACACGTACATTGTGTTGTAAGTGTTCGGCTACCACAGGACAGCTGGTGTTGGTTTTACTTATACACCATCCGTCACACGCCGCAGCATGATGCAACTGAATATTTTTGTTTTGTAAAAGCGCCGCTTAGTCAAGGATTAGCTAGTTGATAGTTTTATTACGCCGACTTTTCCCAATCCTCTTACGGCGGGGGAAGGGGGGGGGTTAGGGATACTGTTATTGTAGCAATATAATATTAGCGAAAAAAAGACCTCATAAAAAAATTCCTCCTAACACCGTATCCAATTATATTCAATCTAGTCATTTTTTAATTTATTTTTTGTGTGCGCGTTAACTGAAAAAAAAAACTAATTTTTTTTTATTACCGGTTATACAATTTTTTTCTCTCTTTCTGCTTAATTATTTAATTAAGCGTTTGGGTGGTATGCCCCACCCCCGCTAAAATGACCTAAACGACTGTGAAATGACATCACATTCTTTTTCTATCTTCTGGGCAGTTTTTTTTTTCTTTTCTTTGCAATCTTTTTTAATTTATCATCATTTCATTAGCGCTGGACTCTTTTGATTCACGCCGGCACAACGTTTACTCAACATTGTGGACGTAGACCTACAGTAAAGTACTGTCACTGTCTATTAGCAGGCCTGACGACACATGAAAGGCTTGCGAGATCTGAAGAAAGGGTTTACTCAAGGCAGTAAACTAGATATAAACAATGAACTCAGAAACGTTACAAGTTAACAGAGACTTAAAGAATCCATGACAAGAACTTGATCTTAATATATTCATTATAAATTATCCGTACTGAATTTTACCATCCGCCCGCTACAGTTACATATACTTAAATAGGATGATCAATGTTTCCGCCAGTAAATGATTCTAGCGATAAAAGAGTTGCAGGGCCCCTTTAAAAAAAAGTTCAGCCAGGGCCCCCACCTAAGCTTAATCTGACCCTTCCTGTAGCCCCACCATAAGAAAGAACAAGACTGATTTGCACTTATGAGCACACTGAAAGCTGGGGGTTTGAATGTAGGCTATGCGCTGAAAACAAACTGACAGAATGTAGGCTATACGCTGAAAACAAACTGACAGAATGTAGGCTATATGCTGAAAACAAACTGACAGAATGTAGGCTATAAGCTGAAAACAAACTGACAGAATGTAGGCTATGCGCTGAAAACAAACTGACAGAATGTAGGCTATACGCTGAAAACAAACTGACAGAATGTAGGCTATAAGCTGAAAACAAACTGACAGAATGTAGGCTATGCGCTGAAAACAAACTGACAGAATGTAGGCTATGCGCTGAAAACAAACTGACAGAATGTAGGCTATAAGCTGAAAACAAACTGACAGAATGTAGGCTATACGCTGAAAACAAACTGACAGAATGTAGGCTATGCGCTGAAAACAAACTGACAGAATGTAGGCTATACGCTGAAAACAAACTGACAGAATGTATGCTATAAGCAGAAAACAAACTGACAGAATGTAGGCTATACGCTGAAAACAAACTGACAGAATGTAGGCTATACGCTGAAAACAAACTGAAAGAATGTAGGCTATACGCTGAAAACAAACTGACAGAATGTAGGCTATACGCTGAAAACAAACTGACAGAATGTAGGCTATACGCTGAAAACAAACTGCCAGAATGTAGGCTATAAGCTGAAAACAAACTGACAGAATGTAGGCTATACGCTGAAAACAAACTGACAGAATGTAGGCTATACGCTGAAAACAAACTGACAGAATGTAAGCTATACGCTGAAAACAAACTGACAGAATGTAGGCTATACGCTGAAAACAAACTGACAGAATGTAGGCTATACGCTGAAAACAAACTGACACAATGTAGGCTATACGCTGAAAACAAACTGACAGAATGTAGGCTATACGCTGAAAACAAACTTACAGAATGTAGGCTATACGCTGAAAACAAACTGACAGAATGTAGGCTATACGCTGAAAACAAACTGACAGAATGTAGGCTATACGCTGAAAACAAACTGACAGAGACTAAACGGTTTATTGATCGGGTCTTAATGCTAAATACACCTAATATGCAGATGTGCAAGTAGATCTATATTCACAAACCACTTTTCCTGAATTAGAATAATTACATTAGAAAACTACGTTCGAAAAAAAATAATACAATATCATTCAGAAACTCGCATAGCAAAAAAAAAATAGACAGGAAGACCTAAATGAAAGTAAAACGAAAAGGAAAATAAGACAGAACGTTAATGATAATATAGTGACGTGTCCTTCGAAAAATTGAAAATGATGAAGAGAGTTAGATTTATAAGGAGAAAAATAGTAGATTCGGTATAGGAATCGAAAAAGGAAAAAAGATTATACAAATAGATAATACATTTACGTATAATAGGCCCACACACCCAATATGTACTTTACAGGCGTATATCCTTTAATGTAAACTTATGCTAACTAAAGTTAAACACTTTAAACTTTAAAACGTTAGCTTACTACTAGCAACAAACCTTAAACTCATGTAAACAATATCCATGTCTATGTATCCGGATACAGAAATTAACTGTACCAGTCGAAGTATGTATTCGCGTTTTAAAAATAAGGGAACTACGTTTTATACTGAACAAAAAAAGTTGTACGACCAGCTATGCATGCGATATATATAAGACATAAAGTAGGCCAAGATCTGAGCCAAAATTAAAAAAAAAAGGCCCGGTAGATCTTCATGAAGGAAGGTCAAGACACTGTAGTGTAGTGTAACGACTTCAGACACTGTAGTGTAGTAAGACGCCTTCAAATACGCGGGCTTGCAAGAGTTGTATTTTTAGGGGTCAACACCACAGGGGGGTAAGTGAACACTGATTCAACTTCCCCATACCCCCCTCCCCCTCCACCCTTACATAGATCCACGTACACATCCCTCCCCTTCACCCCCTTTCCTTTCCCCTCCGCGTGTGAATGGATTTGGGTGAAACAGGGGAGTGAACTCATTTGAAGACAAATACAACTTAAAATAAATGTGAGTTTGCTTATATTATTTATACTTATTAATTAAACATTTTCGATGGGTGTTTGGAACTGAAAACAGTGAAATGTAGCTTCTGTTGCGAATTTCAACTAAACAATAGACAAAACAGCAGTCTTTGATTTAAAATGACTATCCAATACATGAACCTGTACAGTCGGGTCAGAAGGGGGTCACAGCTAAGCGAGGGTCGTACCACTAGTTGGCATAAGTGCTGGAGTAAAGTGCATCTGGTCTATAGTCTATGTCAATGGCAAAGGGATCCAGGCGAATATGGAGAGATAAATGCCAGTTGTTTTTTTTTAAATATAAGATGGAACGATACACGAATGTGGTATAATCTAACACCTCCCCTCCCCCCCCCCCCCCAGAGGCGTAGTGACCCCTACCGGCGCCCGGGGACAAACTTTCGATTTGCACCCCCCTCGAACTTTTCATTTGCACCCCCCCCCCCTCGAACTTTCGATTTGCACCCCCCCCCCCTCAAACTTTCAATTTGGCGCCCCCCTAAGGTCGGCGCCCGGGGACATGTGCCCCCCCCCCCCGCTACGCCTCTGCCCCCCCAAACAAAAAAACATTTAAAACAACACGTTGATGACCATAACATATTACTCAACACTACATAGATAAGTGACTATTAATTTTGTTTTAAACTGCTATTTGTGTCCTAGAGAGATAAAAACGTGCGACCGCTGTTCTTTTTAAAAACAAATTCCGTCGCTTTCTTTCACTAAAAAGTAGTTTTGTTTTTTTTATAACGTGTAATTGAATGCTTAGATAATTCGATAATGAATTAAAAAAATATTTTCCATTCCATACGTTTTAAATGTTATTTTTAAAAGGGAGAAAATCAGGTTAGATAAGACTAAAGTTGAAGGCCGGATCCGACCCGAGGGCCATAGTTTTCAGATGTCTGGTCCACTATGTGAACCATCCCGTGTCGTACCACTTGCCTTCTCGTAATCGTGTCTAAATAAATTTCGTGCTTTGACCCGGATATTTCTTGAACACCGAAAAGATAAAAACGTGCACAATACATCGCCATAATTAGCACAGACACCCAACGATGCTAGCACCACACAGATGTGGACACGGGGAAAACAAAATGGATACAGAATCTACGAGCTCAAGCGAGGGAAGTCTTGGGTATTAATATCACAACGGTCGACATTGTATGTAAAATCAATAGAATCAATAGCTACTGGTTTGATTTAATCTGTAAGGCACCGCGCACATGAATGAGAATATACTCACATGTACTGAAGATACGTGCAGAAGAATAGAGCACGCTACTTGCATACGCCAGGAAAATAAACGAAGTTTGTTTCCCTAGAATATACGCACATGTAGTTTAAATTATTAAACGATGTCGAAATATAGCGGGTTCCAAAACTATGAGTATAGACCTAGGGGAGATCACCCATTTGTACTTGGTAATTTTAATTCTAATAAAGGGAGGAAACTCCAAAGACGCTTTTATTTAATTGAAGGGGAAATACTTGAAAGAAACTCAGATTTTGCTTTATCTTTATCTTCTATATTTCCCGTAACTGGAAATGTAATCCCAGGTAAGTAGTTAGTATTGGATGAGAAGATGCAAGCAGGATACAAACAGAACAACAATATTCGACAAATATTTCCGTCCAAGAAAGACAGCGCTTTTTGAATAAAAAGTTCCGTAGTTAAAAATACTCTGATGTACAGAATAATCAATATGTGTCATGGTAAACCAGACTGAGATAGTACAACCTTGATAATAATCAAACCACGTTATGTATGCTTGTGTGAGTCTACTCCAGCGGCCTCTGTATGTAAGCTACACGAAACACAAATCACGCTAGGGCCTATATATTTTTAAATAAATCTACCACAGACAATAGGCGTATGTATGTAAATGAAACCAAAGGCATAGCAAACCATTCCAGCGCCCGGGGGAACTATCAATTTTGCGCCCCCTCCCCTTATTTATATATATAGTTTTTCAGCTGTGCGAAAAGGTACCCCAACCCCCAGTTGGAAAGGTTGGTGGCGCTTTTATGTAGTCACTAGCCTTTAACTGTTTATATTTTTATGTCACACAATCGATGTTCTCTAAACTTTGACTGAGTGTAGCGGTCTGTTTTCTTAACTTTGACTGAGTGTAATTAAATAATGCAAACTATAATGAATTTTTTCTATTTTTTCTACCCCGTCCTGGCGTCCCCTGTCGAGTCGACGCCCGAGGCAGCCGGCCTCACCCGCCCTACCCTATCTATGGATTTGCATGAAACACACATCACGCTATTTGAGTTTCTTCCAGGCATCTCTTCGGGGGAAGGGGAGGAGGCCCCCCCCCCCCCCCGGAACGAAATGGAATTTATATAGAAAACATGCTTTTACCAGTGTCCATCCCCTCCCCCCGAAAATATCAAGTTCCCCCCCCCCCCCAGAGAAAAAAGTCTGGAAGAAACACTGCAGGCTTAAATGAATGTAAGCCAGCAAGTAGCCTATGTGTGTACATGCTATACTAACACACATGTACGCCCTATGTACACACGCGAGTGATGTTTCATAAAAAACAAAGACAATAAAGGCAAAGACGAGGCAATGAATGGCTACTTTAAAAAAACGTCAGAGCGATCAAACCATGCATGACCTATCTTCGCATGCATAAATTATTCCTACAAGTACACATAGGGGCCGTGTATTCTAGTATTCTACTGTCTACATGCTTGCAGTGAAATACTATTTATTATATAGTTGCGCTTTTTTTGCGATTTTTCCGTTGCACATCTTTCTGGGAACCGCAGCGTATTGTATAGGATCAATGATTTTTTAAATGACGTATAAGTGTGGCTATTTTTAGTTCCCATATGACTCTTATGGCTTATGTATCATCCATAGAATATAACACGCAATTTCAACCACTATTTACCCCCACACACAGTTACAAACGGTTGCACAGTACAAAAGGCTGCAGCCAAATTCAATTCTAGTATTCTAATAGTAACCATAACAAAGGCTATGTTTACTTTCTTTCATATTAAAAAATAACAATACTAAGTGCATGATGAATCACATGTCAACACCTCCTCCCCTATGTTCCCTCTAAGCTGCGCGGTTGCGCGGCCGCGCAGTAGTTTTTAACTGCAGCGCAGTCATTTTATACAAAACATATATCCTTATATAAGACTTTTAGGAACACCGCGCACACAAAATGCACGCTGCACACGATCTTATTCCCCTTAAAGGGAACATTGCTCCTCCCCCACCTTCCTCCACACACATTCCACAGGTGAATAATCCTACCCCCACATAATGTAACGTAATAGGTTACTTTGTAATGGTGCAGCTAAGAAGACAAATACATGGACTACAAAACAGAAATGGATGTAGTTTTGTATCATACACAAGGTGCATAATCCTACCCCCACATGATGTAAGGTCAGTCATAGGTTACTTTGTAATGATGCAGCGAAGAAGACAAATACATGGACTACAAAATAGATATGGATGTAGTGTTGTATCATACACAGATTCATTCAGCCAAAGTTATTTTTCTTCGTATTCCCATCTACGGCTAATGGTATCTACATGGCAAATATGGACTAGGCCTAGAGAGGAGTTTCTTTCAGGCACATCTTCGGGAGAGAGAGCATGTCCACAGCTCCTAATATATAGTTTATACTTATAGAAAACATATATCATATACAGTGTATCCCCCCATCCCCCTGAAATGTCTGGAAGAAACTCTGGACTAGAGATTGAACTTTATTTATATATAAGTATAAGCCTAATGAATTTTAATGCTCTGAATTCTGAAAAATTATGTTCTACCACCGAAAATATTGATCTATTCTGTATGTCATATCATGGTTCATTGTAAAATCAAAATTATTTTGCTTAAAAATTTCATGTCTGGATCAACATCTTGTTGAAACATCCTTGCACACAGCACCAGATATTTAAAGAAAAAAAATAATAGAAATCAATGATACTCACCATGTAATAAGGGGACAAATGGAGACCATGTAAGACAATATTTCCACTTCAGGGCTTGATCACTAAAACCAATGGTCTCAGCTTTAAAACAACAGCTTCCTCTACATCCAAAGAATTATGGTCCATCTCAAATATTCAATATATTAGAAGATCTTCCCAATTTAAAAATTGCAGTACACACACTTCTAAAAAGTCTGTTACGCTCGGATGAACTGCTTAATAAATACATAATAGTGGTAAACAGCAAATAGGCCTAGGCCTTCACATAATTAATGATTAAAATAATGATTAGAGGCCTAAATTTAAGTCTAGATCTGTCTACTAAAACATACTAGATTCTAGGTCTAGATATAACTAGTATCTGGCTAGACTTTATAAGAGCTCTATATTCTATATTTATAAATAATTAGAGTCTATTTGACCTAAATTAATTATTATTATGATAATAATATTAACTATTATTAGGCTTGATAAATAATAGGGACTAATATCCTACTATAATAGGCCTAGGCATTGCATTATTTATAGGCCTACTGCTTAAACAGCGTATAGTCCGAAAATATTATGATAATAGGCAATATTTACTAATAAATAATTAAATAGGACTAGAGGCCATTTGGACCTATAATTAACTTAATTATAGATCTATCTAGTTATTTGGTATTTAGATAGGCCTAATCATAATAATGATATTAATTGGCCTACCTCAGGTAATCTATCGTTTAAGGTACGTAAAATCGGCCGAGATTAGTAATGTGAAAAAAAAGGCCACTCTTTAAGTTTTAGTAATTATTTCACATTTTTAGGCGGATTTATGTTTTGAAAGTTACATAAATGTTTCAAAGTTTCATTCATGTACCCAGTGTTTTTAAACAATTCTATTAAAACTTTTCAGTAGGCCTATTAAATAATGTCTAGTGATGTTTTCATCAGATGCAACCAAGCTCATTTACTTTGACAGCCATCTTGTTTAAGACTTTTTTGGTAAAATTATAGTGGGAAATTCAGGGGAAACCACTCTAATTTACAGATCGCCCGTTTATATATAGTATAGCAAATCTTGCTCGCAAACACTGCTGTCTAAAGTTAATTTCTGGCCATTGATTTGGTTTATTATTCAGTTATCTATAGGGCCTAATATTTGACACAAATATATTACAATTGAATATAGGCTTACTCACATTAAGAAAAGAAAAAGAATACATTGCAAAACATGCTATATGCTTTGGACTGGAATCCCCAAGGAAAAAGGAGGGTGGGCCGGCCAAGGAAAACATGGAAGAGAACAGTTGAAGAAGAGGCGAAAACAGCTGGGCTCACATGGGCACAGATTAGGGGAGCAGCCCAAAACCGAGTCCGCTGGAGATGTGTGGTTGCAGTCCTTAGCTCCCCAGGGGCCACAAAGGAATGATGATGATGACTTCTATTTTAAAGCTTTAACAATGAGGCAACTTTTTTTTCACATTACCAGATCTAACTAGTAGTAGTAGTAAAATCTGCCGATTTTAGTAATTTTATGATTTTACGCACCTCAAATGATACATTACCCTACCGGGCCTACCGCTACCTGAATAGTTTACAGTTTACTACCTTGTACTTTATACTTTACGAGCCGACCCGCTGCGTATCATACGCCGCTATTTAGTTGTTTTTTTTTCTACTTTTCAGTAATTTATTAATTTATAATCTGTGAATTCGACAGTACCAATGCTGCCATTGAAAATATTTGCTTAAAAACACTAACCCCCCCCCCCCCCCCCCACGTGAAAGCAGCCTCCTCTTAATTACCTCGTCTGAGTTTAAAATCGTTTCAAACTAAATTATCTGCCCCTAATAGCCGTCACCAAACCCGTCTCTATGATTGTAAAATGTAAACAGAGTGAACACCGCTCACCAGATCATGTGGGGGTGGGGTGGGGGTGGTAGTGATAGTGATAGAGAGGAAGAGAGGGGACTGCAAAGGCGCGCTTGCAGCTTGTTTTCTAACTGATCCCAGAAGAGAATTATATATATAGTAGGCCCTATAGATAATTAATTTATTTAATTTTAAGGTAATCTATCGTTTTGGGTACGTAAAATCGCCCGCGGCTATTTATGTACGAAAACGTTACCTCATTGTCAAGGCTTTAATAGAATTATATTGTCATATGTTTGTGTCAAATATTATAGATAAATGAATAATAAACCTAAATCAATGGCTAAATATATCGATATAGGCCAGAAATTAACTTTAAACAGCAGTGTCTGAGAGCAAGATTTGCTATATAAACAGCAGCCATTTGTAAAATAGAATGGCTTCCCCCTGAATCTGGCGCTAAAAGCTTATGAAAATAAAACTTAGACAAGATGGCTGCTGTAGTAAATGAGCATTGTTGCATCTGTTGGAAACATCGCTAGTCTTCATTAATTACGGAAAAGTTTTAATTCAATTGTTTAAAAACAGGTACATAAATGAATCAAGGAAACATTTTTGAATTTTTTAAAACATAAATCCTCCTCAAAATGTGAAATAATTATTAAAATTTAAGGAGTCACCTGTTTTTCACATTACAAATCGCGGGCGATTTTACGTACCCAAAACGATAGATTACCAATTTTAATACTCTATAATAATACACTAGATCTAGAATCTAGTGGTTACTAGACTAGATCTAGATCTAGTCTAGTAGTTATTAGTTAAAGTTAGTTAAGTTAGATCTAGAATCTAGTCAGAGGTCTAGAATCTAGATTCTAGATCTAGACCTAAATACGAAATAAGATTGATTACATAAATACATTGGTAAAATTGATGGAGGGTAATTTTCTTTAGGCAAACCTTATTCCAAAATTGTATTCAATGTATTGTTATAGTATCGATTATAATTAATTATGTAATACTAAACAAACGTAGGCGTACTGCTAAAAATAATAAAAATAATAACACTTCGATCTAATACCTAGACCTAAATAAAATAAGAAATCGATTACATTTTAAGAATTGTTTATTACCACGTTTACACTTGCAACATATATACTGTACATAGAATCTAGATCTATCTATAAAAAAAATCGCAGAAAGTAACTACATTTTCCATGGGAAAAATGTTTTTGATATTACAATTTGGTAGACCTACTTGTTGAGTTTTTTTTTCAACACATGTTATGTTGCAAGTGTAAACTATGTGTGAGGGATAAATGTTTCCAATTTCCATATAAAATTATTAACATCAGACTTTATATTCTAAACATATTAAGGTATAACATCTGCAACATGTATTCTATACAAGTCTTGAAATTGAAAAAAAAATGATTTCGCAGCAAGTAGAATCCATACAATCCATACATGTTCCGATAAAACTGTTCTGATATTGCAAATCTTTTTTTCAAGACATGTATAACATAGATTGTTGCAAGTGTAAACGCGTTGTAATATAGAATGTCGCTTGTAACTTTAACTAACATTGAATCCAACATTTCGAGTATGAAAGCCTATCTAAAGAAAAAAAGTAAAATATGAAATTATAGGACTATAGGCCTATTAATTTTATTTATTTTTGTGTTCGTAATAAAGGGGAATAACGTCAAACTTAATATCAACGAACAACCGTAAGGGACAGGAAGCGGATATAAGAAAATTGACAAAATGGCGGCGCGCATCTCTGCAGATGAACCTGAAATATCACAGGAGAAATTAGAACCAGGCACAGTTAGAGTGAAAAATGACCCCGGCAAAATAAATCCCGAAAGTTCTGCATCTGGAGGTTCAGAAACTACTAAAAAACCAACATGTATTATTGTGCTCGGAATGGCTGGTTCTGGCAAAACAAGTTTTGTACAGGTTGGAAATTTTTCGAACTCGTCGTTAGTGAAGTGACGTTAGTCGTACTCGTTAGGCCTACTTAATTAAAAAACTTAAAAATACTTTAAAAAATATTTTAAAAATAGGCCTAGATCTACCTAAATTAGCTAGAATCAAGATCTAATTAGATCAAGCTGTTGGGCACTGTAGGCCTAGGCCTAATATGTAGAAAATAGTTTAGCTGATAAATTAATTTGGGTGCCATTTAGTTAGTTAGGGTAAAGGTAGGAGGGCGTTAAGAGCCACACTTTTTAGCACCTGTACATTTTTAAAGATTTCTACTAATCTAAGAATTTTTTAGTATTGAAAATATGGCAAAAAAATTTCTAACATATCTTACACAATATAAAAATAATAACAAAGTGTATTAAATATACTTTAAATGGGTTTAATTGAACATTTATTGTCATACCCCCAAAATCAGCATTTGGTGTGAAAGGAGCCGGGCAATGGGGCAATAAGTATTATCTCCTAGTTTAGACTAACTCCGCAATAAAAATAATTAATTTCTAACCCCAAAATAGTTAATGCTGTGTACACACACTTTAACTGATACTAGCTATCCCTAGGTCCCAATGGGCCCAGTCTACAGTTGATACAATTGCAGGTGTACACATAGGGCCTAAAGTCTAGTAGTTTACAGTAGGCACATTAGTATGACTAGTGTGTAGCTAGTATACTAGTGTGTAGCTGTCCAGAGTTAACATTCTTGTATGTAAAAAGGGGTGGTACTAACTAATCTGCCTTAATGCTTTCCCCTGATAAGCCATGTGTGCTATACATTACATAACATGACATAGAGGTGAGAAATGTTGAGGGGAGAGCAGTGGTACTGGTTTCCCCTTTGTTCTCCTTGCTGGACCCTGAGGGCCATAAATTACATAAGGAGATGCTATCTCTGGTTGGCTGAGATCTAAGAACTTAGTCCATGCTACCTACACAGAGATAAGTTTTATGGTGGGTTAGATACAGGTGGGGTCTGGGTATCATGGGGGTGAGAAATTGTGAGGGGAGAGCAGTGGTACTGGTTTCCCCTTTTTTTCTCCTTGCTGGACCCTGAGGGCCACAAATTACATAAGGAGATGCTATCTCTGGTTGGCTTACATCTAAAAACTTAGTCCATGTTACCTACAAAGAGATGAAGTTTTATGGTGGGTTAGATACAGGTGGGGTCTGGCTATCATGGAGGTGAGAAATTGTGAGGGGAGAGCAGTGGTACTGAGTCCTCTTTGGTCTCCACCCTGCTAGACCATGAAGGTCATATATTACATAACATGCCACCCCAGATTGTCTGAGATCTGTAACTGTAATCCATGTTACCTACAAAGAGATGAAGTTTTATGGTGGGCCAGAAACTGGTGGGGGCTGGGTATCATGGGGGTAAGAAAATGTAAGGGGGGAGCAGTGGTATTAATGTGTCTGTTTACTTCGCTGCTGGACCATGAGGGTCATAAATTACATAACATACCACCCCAGATTGGCTGAGACCTAAGAACATTTATTCCTGTTACCTACAAAGAGATTAGAAGTTTTATGGTTGGTTAGAAACAGGTGGGGGCTGTGTCGGCTGTATTGCCCCTTAGGGGTAATAAGTGCGTGTACCATTTTAAAAATTACCTTGCTAACATTAGATGGCTTAATTTTTACTTTTTAGCAGGTTAGAATTGTATTTAAATCATTTAGACACAAGTCTGTTTAACAATTTATACATTTTGTGTTAACTATTCCTATACCAGTGTCATATTCAGTGGTCTAATAAATGAGAAACTTGCACATAGGGTTTCAAGAGCCACATTACAGTTTCTGTTATAACTTTTCTGAACAGGCAAGCTAGTGGACAAAATTAATGTATTCATGTAGATTTAGTTATTATCTAACAAATAAAACATTATGGTAATGATCAGTCACGTTTTACTCTGATAATGATAAAAACTTTATAGCATGGTAAAATGGGACAAATGTCGGCCATTTTGTTTTGGCACCAATAATCACCGTGCAAAAAAAATTCACCAAAATAAAACTATCCTAGCCATAGCTATAAAAATAGTGTTAAAATGTACAACAACCAATGCTCTAATACAGGAACAAGGATTGGGCTTGAAAAACTCATTTGGTTTATTACAATGTGAAGTTTCCCAAGTTATGTCTATTTGGAAAAAAAGTTCACAAAATGGTTTTATGGAGATGAGACATTTTAGGGAAAGAGCAGTGGGATTAAATCCTGTCTCATCTTCTCCCTATTGGACCAAGTGGGTCATAAATTACATAAAATGAATCCTCTGCTTCTCTGTTATCAAAGACCAGCAGTGGTTGTTACCTCAGAAGTAGATTAGCAGTGTTATTGGGGGTTTTGTGGGGGTGGGGTGTTGATTGGGGCTTAATACCACCCGGCTCTTAACGCCCTCCTTTACCCTTTTACTTTTACGAAGTGACTACTCGGAAGATTTTTTACCCCAGCGTCTCCATGTGGTCGGCAAAGATGTTTCTGCGCTTGGACAGTGACCTTAATAGCTGAGCTAGGGATAGGGTTCTACGGTTTGTTTATAAACACACACATGCGCAGTACCATCAAAAACATCGCAACAAAGTAAAGTCGTAGTTTCTCTCCAAGACCCCAAATTAGAGAGAATGATTATCAACACATACTGACCCTGCATTCGCTGCATATCGTCCATGTATCAAGCCATTATGACAAGTTGCTGTGGCGGCAACCATCAGATGCCCATCCCTTGCCGTCATTTCCCTTTAGCTATTTAATAATGCACAATGCTAAACAGTATACACATAATAAAGAATATTTAATATGCCATGAGCGCACCACAGTAATACTGTTCAGAAATTTGCAATTGTTGCGTGAAGACAAAGTTTTTTGCAAATGTTGCACGCAAACATCTCTTCATTAATTAACATACAATACCTATCTAACAAATAACATATATGTTACTTAAGAAAGGTTAACTCAGTTTAAATTGCTCTGTGCTAATAATGCCAATGTTTTACAAACTAGACAATACACAATGCCAAATAAACAACAATGGCTTATTCTTTTACAGCTTTTCCACTCTAAACTCACAGCGGTTCTTTAATTTATTACTAATCAGCCCTCCCTAAAATATCCACATTTCCAGCTTGAAATTCATGTTTCATTGTTATGGTCTATAAACCTGGTTATTTCTCTGTCTTCTTAGACTTTACCAATTAATATAAGTACCAATAAATTCAGCACTTTAATGAGCTATATGAAGTAGTAAATAATAATAAATTGAACTCAATTGATAACAGGTGTGTAGGATTATCCATATCTTTTCTTGATAGGCAAATACATAATTTATTACTGTTAAAGCCTGTACAATAGTGTATAGTTAATGATGTGCCTGTAACTACTATTACACAACCATCTATAACATTGAATTAGGTTTACATTTTTACATTTGTTCAATCTAAAATGACTAAAACAGTTTTATTTTTATTTTTTATAGAGAATGACAGCACATCTTCATGCCAAGAAAAATCCTCCTTATGTAATAAATCTTGATCCAGCAGTTTTAGAAGTCCCCTTTCCTGCAAACATAGGTTGGTAATAAACAGCTATATTTTTTAATAATCTAGCAGACAAGTATGCAATTTTTTAAAAATTATAGTTTCTGTCATTATTTCTTGTTTATAATTACATGGAATGTTTTTTTTTTTTCCAGATATTAGAGATACAGTTAACTATAAAGAAGTAATGAAACAGTATCCTTGATTAATATATTTCTTTGTTGATTATCAATGGACATTGAAATTTAAAGTGTTTTTTTTTTTAATTCTATGAAACCACTTTTTTTTCCTGCTTGTCACAAAGTTTTTTTTCTTCAAATTTTTAGATTGCTTAAGATCCTTAAAAACTATGTAATAAACATTATTTAAATAGTATTATCATAATTCCCAACTAACAGTGGTTTTTATGTTACAAAAAGTTAAATTCTTTAAGTGCTTTAAAGTTATTCCTTAGGGCCAAATGGTGGTATTGTCACATCTTTGAATTTATTTGCAACTCGTTTTGATCAAGTAAGTGCTATTGAAATTATGTGATATAACCATGTGATTTTTTTCATTCTTCTTTTTTTTTTTTTACTGATGTGTAACCCTAAAACTATTTGTATACTGTAGGTCATGACATTTATTGAGTCAAAATCTTCAGAATGTCAGTGAGTATTCTTTTTTATAATTATAATAAAATATTTATATGAAATAGATCTAACAGTCAACCAGTCTAACCCTTAAATGTTTGCACAAGGGCACACAAAAAATACTGTTATTAGCTTCCTTAGTACTTAGAGTGGTTAAGAGTAAAAGTTCATTACCAATAGCAAAAACAAGACCTTTTACCTGTGTAATTCAATTTCATATTAAAGTAAACCACTTAACACATCTTTAACCTCTGTCATGAAATAACTTTTATTAAGAAAATACTATTTATTAAAAAAATACTTGCATACAAATTTGTTTTATCAGCCTTATATAGGCCTATATTTTTATAAATTTGTTGGAAAAGTATCTTTACACTACTTTAAGCAAATGACATCCACTTTAGCTTCATATAAGGCCTACATCTTTTCACAATAATGTATCTCAACATAATTTATATAATTCAAGTCAGTGTTTATGCAGATTTGCATGTGTTATGTACGCTGTTGGTTGATACATCTTAATCCTTATTTTTTGTTTACCAAACTAGGTACGTAGTTTTAGACACACCTGGTCAAATTGAGGTATTTACATGGTCAGCATCAGGGACAATTATCACAGAATCTTTGGTAAATATTCTACATGTCTTAGTGTATTACTTTTATTAGATCTTTCAGAAAAGTTTTTACTTAAAATTTTTTTTTTTATCATTAATTTCAATACTCATCAGTTTTACTAATAAAATACACATTACCTCATTATTTTATTATATAATGCCAGATATGTCAATTAACAAAGCATTGTCAACACTTCCCAATAATGGTTCTTTTAAAAAAATAGTATAATACCCATCAGTAACTTTCAGACATGATAGTTGTTTTGTCACTTGCAAGGTAGATCAGAGTTCATTTGTGATTTGACCACAGAGTACAAATGGAAGAAGAACATATCTAGCCACCAATCTAGCATATCTAACCGCCAATCTAACATATCTAACTTGAGCTCACTACTCGTCATAGACTTAACAATAAACATACAGCACAGACTTTACAATAAACAAACAGCACTCATTCATAACATCCCAGAGTTCTAAATTTACTGTTTATTTACAGGCATCCAGTTTTCCCACTGTTATAGTGTATGTGATGGACACGCCACGCAGTGTCAACCCAGTCACCTTTATGTCCAATATGTTGTATGCTTGCAGTATATTGTACAAAACCAAACTGCCATTTATCATTGTTATGAACAAGGTAAGTTTTTAAGCAGTTAAATCTCCCCACCACATGATATATTTTATTTAATTTTTACGTACTTTTAATTTTTCCCTTTAATTCTACTCTTCTATTTGACCTTTGTAATGTGTATCCAAGACTTTGAAATTACAAATATTTTTTTAATATCATTTTGCTTAGCCATGTAACCTTTTTATAACATGAAAAATTTCTTAACTCAAGAAATGTAGATGGCTCTGTTCAGTGCACTTCATGTGTTCCAGTTAAATTCAAACCATACACAACAAAACCAGAGGTCTCTATGAATATACAATTTAAATATTCATAAGGGGTTGATAGCGTATTAAAAATTATATTTTTGATTAAGTGCTCTAGAGTTAGGATGCTTCAAACCAGAATAGTAAAATTTAGACACATGTGTAATTTGTCAGTCTACCATTCAAATCACATTAAACAAATTAGAAAAATAAGTATCCACTCTGTAGATATGATGTACTATCTCTTTAATTCTCAACCTATTTAGCTGAGATGCCTGAATGTCTTTGATTACACTCTAGATTGATATAATCAGCCACAGTTTTGCCCAAGAGTGGATGACAGACTTCGAATCCTTCCAAGATGCTTTGGATCTGGAGACCTCATACTCATCCAATTTGACACGGTCTATGAGTCTCGTGTTGGATGAATTTTACATGGCCATTAAGGTAACCATTTGACAGTCTTGTTGAAATAAATTTTACATGGCCATTAAGGTAACCATTTGATAGTCTTGTTGAAATAAATTTTACATGGCCATTAAGTTAACCATTTGACAGTCTGATAACGTAGATAACAATTATTTTAATTTTTAAAAATGTATATGGCCATTACATAGCAATGTAATACTGTCTATGTGTCTTATATTAATTTTACATGACCAGAAAGGGGACAGTGTAACTCTGTATATGTGTTAGTTTAGTTTTATATGGCTTTAAGGTAACTGTACAAAGACTACTGGCATTTTAAAGATCATTTATTTGCCTTTTGATTAAAAAAAATACTCTAACCCAGTGGCGTAGCGAGGTCGGGTGTCACCCGGTGCGGCACTTAATGGTGTCACCCCCCCCCCCCCCCCCCCAGAGGCATAGAGACCCTTCCCAGGGACAAATTTTCGATTTGCACCCCCCCCCCCTCAAACTTTCGATTTGCACCCCCCCCCCCCCCCTTGAGTTTTCGATTTGCACCCCCCCTCAAACTTTCGATTTGCACCCCCCCTCGAGTTTTTTTCTATATATTTTTCTATTTTTTGCCTTGGTGTCACCCTCCTAAATGGTGTCACCCGGTGCGGTCCGCACCCCCCGCCCCCCCCCCCCTCGCTACGCCCCTGCTCTAACCAGAATACATTTTTAGTCATTGGAATTAGATAAATATTGATTAGTCATGGTGTTTTTAATTATTTTTTTTTTAAGTTTAAAAATTGTACTGCATAAATCTAAAGAGTACTTTCAGTCTGAAATCACTTTTTATTTATTTTTCTACTTTAGAATGTTGGGGTATCAGCTGCCACTGGGGAAGGCTTGGATGAGTTTTTTGTCAAAGTAGATGAAGCTTCTGAAGAATATGAAAGGTTGTTATATTTTTAGTTTAACATTGAACATATGTATTTTATTGAACATATGTATTTTATACTGAGATCACCTAGCTTTGATTGCAGTTCATGGACCAATAAGAATTTTTGTTCATTACCTCTGTTGATAAAAACTTGGTCCATGACTGCTGATAAAAGAAACATTTTTAATAACTAAAGCTTGAACTTGTTCTTGTTGTGTTGTTTAAGTTGTTTTTTGAGTTAAGTTTATTTATATACTAATATTTTTTTCTCTTTCTGTTAGAGAATACAAACCAATGTATGAAAGACTAAGGAAAGAAAAATCACTCAAGGCTGAAGCCAGGAAAAAAGAAGACAAAGAAGCTTTCTTAGCTGACCATGCAGGGGGTGATGCTCACAGCACTGTTAAAAATAGTGCGTATCACATAGTTCTAGCATAACCTGTTTGTTAAAATGTGCTGTACATATTAGGGTGGGAAAGTAAATTTCTATGGTTCTTATACAACAGCTGGCAGGACAAACAGAAAGATAAATGTTCCCTTTTGAACTTGATGGTCAATGGGAAAGTGAAGTAGAGTTAGCCTGTTTCTATTACCTCGGCATATGAAGAGATAGCGTGGTCAGCACTATGACAAGCAGCCTTTACTTTCCTTAATGTGGGACGGATACCCACCAGAGCTGGGTGGACTCAGGGATGTCCTACTGACATGAACCTGGATTCAGACTCGTGACTTTCGGGTTAGCAGTCGTATGCTCTAACATTCGACCATGCCATCCCATTGGTTAGATAAAACATCAGGGATAATTATTTTTATGTAATTAGTGTTTAAGATTTGAGGTTATGCTCCAGTATAACTAAAATAAGTAAAGAAGTTAAGGGGCCACTACACCCTGTAAACCAAACTAGCCCGCAGCAGAGATAAGCAAGTAACAATATACTATTATTAATAGTTAGCAACTGTAAATAAAAATTCCACATTCTCAGGACCTAATTATGCATGGTTGCCATGGTAACGGCAGCCATCTTGAAAAAAACACCTTTTTTACAAATCTAATGTTTCAATAATGTGAACAAATAATGATGGTTTTATTTCTGTTTATTTAACTAGAACCATTCTAGAGTGTACAGTAGCAGTTTGTTTTCATTAAAATGTAAAAGAAACATTTTTTTCAATTTTTATAAAAAATGTATCATTCAAAACAAGGCATACAAGTTATGAAATTTCTTAAAAATAAAAATGTACATAATGCACATCATCCTCACATGCATAGTTACACCATCAAATGAATAATGAAAAAGTACACCAAGTTTCAAGACATTATCTCTGCAAACAGCTAAAACATTAGAGTTACAATAAGCAAAAATCTTGAAAAAACAAGTTTTGAGAAAATTAACTTTTAAACATTTAAAGTGCCATAAAAAAAAATCTATCAGCAATATCAGGAAGAAACTTTCAGTATTCAAAGTCCAACATAAGCAGTTGAAAAATAAACCATTGCCAACTATAGTTTGCACATTCTTCTGAAGTTTTACCACTTATAATCTTATAGTGGTTTAGTTTGCACAATTCCGCAGTTTACTTGCACTAAAAGTTAGACCTTTCTGATCAACTATTGACATGTGTAGTTGCTATTGTCTTTTTCCCAGACTAACACAAGCTTGATATAGTACATTTTAGCATATTTGAACTATAGTTTAATACAAATTTGACAAATAATGTACTAATAATATTCACATACAACTTTAGCTTATGACGACATTCACAATTCTACTTGAAGAGGGTGAGCTCAATAACTTGACATCATAAGTTATTTATAGTAGATGGGCACTTTGCTGCTGTATTGCTCTTAAGTTCTAGTACAAACAGCATTTATCTTGCTAATAAAAACATAAGCAGCTTTAGTGTACTTACTTAGTAGTATCGCAGCAAAACTTTGCGCAACAGTATGTAAAATGATGAGAGATTCATTGGTTTTTTTCAAATCCATTCACCAAGTAAACATCTGAATTTTGAGAAACTAACACCACTGTCTTTATAGATAACATGGCTCTAATATTGACATTATGATGTAGGTGTATCTAAAGTGAGCTTCTTGTAAACCATGAGGTCAAATTTACATTTCACGACATCAAATTTCCTTGCAGAAAGCCCAAAGTTTTTTCCACAATGCTTGCACAGTCCTAATTGTGGCATATCTTCTGGATATGTAGATGTCAGCAAGCAAATAATGTAAGGGACAGTTATATTTCTTGATTCTTGTTTGCAGTCAAAACTGATTTGGGTTCAACACAACCAGCTTTTTTGGCATTCATTGTAGGAATTGTTGGACTGTAAAATAAAAATAAAAGAACAACTTTTATTTAATTTTAAAAGTTAATAATATACATAACTAGAATGACTAATATTAGCAGTAACTCATCCTATTGTAACAACCTAATAATGTCATAGTCAACAAAATTGTATTTTGAAAAACTAATCATAATGAATAGTCAATAGGGCTTATATTATTATACTGACCATAGATCAAAACACAAGGAATAAATCTAACCATAAATTTAGAAAACTGCTTATACTAAAATTTAACCAATATTTATATTTTAGTCAATACTCAGCAAACACAGATGTTAATTTCTAAATATACAACTACTATCAACTAGAATCTAGATTCTAGATCTAGACTATTCTAGACTAGATCTAGAAAATTCTAGATCTAGGTCTACTAGATTCGTGGGTCGTTATGACTGGGTTCTACAGTTTCATTTATTTAAAAATAGTAATTGACAAGCGTGTTTAACATTGGTAAAGAGTTAACTAAATTAATTCTTATAAAGGAATTAAGCTGTACTACTAGACAACATATTAGTAGATTTAGAAACTAATGTCAGCGCGTCAGTCAGTGAAGTATCGCTGTGTGGTGGCATGGCGACTTCACTAGATCTAGATTTAGCGTCTAGTTATTTAAAAAAAATTACCTTCAAATTTCTTTCGCTGAACAATGTACTCCTGTTATGGTATCTGTTATTTCGAGCAATAACTGCATTATTTACACGCCATGTTGAAAACAAATGGTTTGTTATTGCAAAAATTGATGTGAAGACAATCACGTAGCCATGTTTGTTTGTTGACAAAAATCCGTCGAACTCGATCACTGCGCATGCGCAGAAAGGTCATTACTAAGGTACGGCTTGAGAATACAAATCGGACCAATGAAATCGCTTGATTTGCGAAATCTTTTATTGAAATATCACATTTGCAAGTAAAATAACTGTATTCGAATGTAGAGTATCGTTTACGGCTCAAACAGACGAAAAAAATGATATATAATATACTATATTTTTCTTTATAGTTGCTTTATAAAAATCAACTCAAAATTTCAGATATTTGATTAAAAAGTTGATTTTTTAAGCAGAGGGTGGTGTCTTTAAAATTATAATTAAAATAGAAAAATGTATCGTACAAGTATACTTGAAACTGTTTTCGATTCTAGGAATATGAAATTTATTAAAACATCAATTTCCTAAAAATATTTTTTTCCAAGTTAAATTAGCATTTTTTACATGTAGAGGCCCCTTAAGGCCTACGTTAGATAGTACTTTTATGGGACGGAGTGGTCTAGCGATAGAGAGCTGGACTGCCAACCTATAAGTCTCGAGTTCGAATCTGGGTTCTAGTCAGTAGAACGTCCCTGAGTCCACCCAACTCTGATGGGTACCTAACTCACGTTAGGGAGAGTAAAGGCGGCTGGGCATAGTGCTGACCACACTATCTCTTCATATGCCGAGGTCACAGAAACAAGTGAACTCTACTTCACTTGCCCCATAGACCGTCAGGTTTGAAAGGGAAACTTTACTTAGATAGTACTTATGAAAATATTTAAAAATATTACAATGCTTAAAATACTATATTGCTTATTATTATGATTCACCAGAACTCCTTGACAATGTGTCAGAAAAAATTGTCATTCAACCCCAGGATGATGACGATGATGATGACAGTGATGATGAGTTTACACAAGCACATGGAAATTCTGGTATGTAAAAAATTAATGTAAAAGTTCCCTTCATGGGGGCAAGTCAAGTAGATGTCATTATTTCTGTAACCTTGGCATATGAAGAGAAAGGATATTATTATCACCACTATGCCCAACCGCACCACTTTAAACTGGATTTTTCATTCAAGATTTCACCAGGGTTAACAGCCTAGTGCTCTATAGCTAGTGAACAAACAAAAGTTTAAAACTGTATGTTGTTTATAGGATAGCATGTCAGTTAAAGTGCTAAATTGAGCTTGCTTAGCATTGCTAATAGCAGAGGAAGCCAACTCTAGACCTTGGCCGGGTTGTTATGCTTCCAAAAACATGTTACCTAATTGAACAAATTTATAATTAACTTAGACCTTGGCCGGGTTGTTATGCTTCCAAAAACATGTTACCTAATTGAACAAATTTATAATTAACTTAAAAAACATTCCAGTGAAATAGCAGCACTCTAATTATGTCAATACGGTGTAGCTTTTTAAATTAATGTTATTCTTTTTATATATCTTTTGCTTCATAAATAAAAGCTAGAATTTTATAACTTGCAGATGATGAAAAGAACTTAGAAGAAAAATCTTTCAGACGATATTTGGATGCAAGACGACAGCAGCAAGCAAAAAAAGTTGTCAATAAGGACTTACCAACCTAGAACTAATGTTGCATTATCGACTGTGGTGTTATATAAAAGATACAGTTGTGCTTTTTTTGTTCATTTAAATGAAGTTCATGTTGAAGTCTTCATGTCCTTGCAAAAAGTGGCCCGGTGTTCTTATTGAGGTTTGATTTCCCTCTTATGAGTTCTCTCTCTAGTGGACTACTGTTCAATGTTTAAGCTAGGTACTAATTGATGAAGGTGGATTTTAGTATCTTAATCTCCTTACCTTAACTTGACAATTTCTTGGGTCATCTTTCTGTGTTGAACTGCTGCATTTAATTACAACAGGTAGAGTTGTGACAGGTTCGATAACAATAAAAAAACAATTTTAAGTTATCTGCCCTCATTTTGTAAATAGATGTTCATGTAAATAAACTGTTGATAATTTACAAATCAATGTCTTATTTATTTATTTTGGTTAAAATAGTCAGTTTGGTAATTTTAGCTGTATTGCATTTTTGTTTGGTGCTTATAGAAATAGCCGAAATTTAACCACACAATAGCAACACATTTTGTCTATTATTCCCAATCAAAGACGTTCAAGTATATAATTTCAACCCAAAAGAACATGTTGGAATCAGGGTTCCCACGCAGCCGGGAAACCGGGAAAAAACCGGGAATTTCGATATTTAATTTCCCGGCCGTGAAAACAGGGAATTTCGATGAATAGCCGGGAAATATCTTTAAAAACCGGGAAATCTTGCTTCCCATGGTTTTTTTCTTTCGGGTGTCGCGAGATTTGAACCGGGTTTAGGCCTGTACAATCGCGTCTCGCCACATCTAGTGACCTAGTTTTGGCTTACAAAACTAGCCTCGCCGGTTCTCGTGGTGCCTCTTTACCGTTGATCTGTTTTCCGCCCATCACATGCGTACATGGTGCATCTACAGCTATGCTAGCTTAGGGTTACCCATCATTGGCGTGACGTAATTTTTTTCATTCGTTTTTTTTTTAGGATTAGTTTAAAATGTAGTTTAGGCAACACGTGATTTTTTTTTAACTTGCCGTAAACTCGCCGTGTAGTCTAGATATGGACCTAAATAAACTATTAAAAGGACTAGGATCGCGCGCGAGTACAGTTTTGTTTAATATTATTTTAAGGATAACTGTTCTAGCAGACTATTTAACTGTTAGCCAGTGATTCTAAATTTGGGAGAAACACAGATTTTAAAAAAAAAACTTTGCGAAAGCCAGCCTTTCTTGCGTTTGTGAAAAAAAAATAATTAAAGGCTAGTGACGTCACCAACAATGTGAAATGCGTAGATGGGTCAACTACAATTATTTCATGGGAGGGGAGATAAAAAAAACTTGTAACTGGAGTAAATAGGGCTTTCTTGAACTCACTATGACCACAAGTAAGCCCACGCATTCATACCGCAAGTTGGTTGGGGGGGGGAGATAAAGTGACGTCATCAGCTATCTCAAATAGCAGTTGGCGTATGCTATAGGCCTTCACAATGACCTCTCCACGTTGTCTAGTTGTGGGGAAGGGGGGATGCTATACCGTCAAGGCTTTTGAAAAGCATACATAATTATGTATTTACAATTGTCTTAGTATGGGTCTGCTTGGCATAGTTCTTTCTTTTTTCTTTTTTCAAAATACGATTTATTTTAAATAAAAATGCCATAGGATCTAATTTCATTTACTTGGGTTGATCTCATTGAGGGGTCGTCCATAAATGACGTCACATTCGTAAGGGGGGTCCGTAATTTTGTGACGGTGTGTGATGAGATGGAAGGGGGTGTTCAGATGGTGTGACGTCACACTTTTGAATAATAAAAAAGCAATATTAGAAAACGAGTTTTAGCCGTTCTATCGCGTTTTAGAAAACTGTTTTAATTAGATCTAATTCTAATAAGAAATGATTAAAATACTCTGTTGACAGAGGTTTTAGAAAAATATCGATGTTTTAAGAGAAATTCAACTGCAATTTTGAGGGTGGTTGTAGGTTGAGGTGTGACGTCATTTTAGGGGAGGGGGGGGTCTGGCTTTTTGTGACGATGTGTGTGTGGGGGGGGGGGGTAAAAATCGTCAAAATAGCATGACGTCATTTATGGATGACCCCTTGTCTATCAAACTATAATGTTTAAGTTAATATTAGGCTTGTTTAAGTTTTAAAAATACAGGTACCTCTAAGAAACGACATAAACATTAAGTTGAAAACAGTGTGAATGATCATTATAGTTTAAATAAGTTCAATTTTGAAAAAAAAAAACGAATTTTCATTTTTGTGAACTTTAAAAAAAAATGTTTCAGTATTATTTCATAGTAACAAAAACTTCTTTTATTTTAGATATTAACTCTACTAAGGTATTCATTAGTACAATAGTAGCTGTGAGAGATATTTTTCAAACTTCTTGTCTTTAAGCAAATTATTTGCTGTTTACAGTTTGTTGGTTGAGTGAATAACTACACACTTTTGGCTGACTACTTTTTTGAACTCAATATAGATCTAGGAAGTGCTAAAATTAAATAGGCCTACTTAGATATGTTACTAACTGCAGTGTACATTTCTACAACTTTTTAGATTTTGAATTGTGACTACTATTAGCTTAACTTATTAATTGAATTATCATTAACAGTTGTTTTGTATTGGGGGAGGTTCTAGAAATATAATATTACATTTTAATGATCATGGGATCAAGATGGGTCTACTATTTTAAACTATTTTTGTTACATGCACAATCCATTAAATATTAAAATTTTTAAAAGATTGTTATAAAATTAAAATCACGACAGGAATTATTTAATAAAATAAATGACATGATATTATTAATATGAATCAAATGTTTCAAAAAGTAAGTATTGTCAAATTTTATTTTAAAAAATTTCTGACTTTCTGACACAACATCAAGTTTCACAGTTTAAAAATTTCAGTTTCGGGATTTAATTTTAGGATATGATTCACTTTAAAAATGAGTGCCACCCCTAAAAAATGTCTGCTTTTTTGTGCTTTAATTACATTTAAATTGGCAAGTTCATTGGTTATGCGCGTGGAAATTTATATGTAAAATAGCAGGGAATTTATATTTGAAATAGCAGGGAATTTCTTGGAATAGCAGGGAATTTTCTGGTAAAAAATTTGTGGGAACCCTGTGGAATATTTTTGGTCATACACAATCATCCTAGACCTGTGGTAACCTGTTGAAAGTAGGTACCCTGGCAGTCCATTGGGAAGATGAAGTAGAGTTCACCTGTTACATGGTGAAGTGGATTGTAATGACTGACGAGAAGCCGCGTTGGTTGTTAACAGTCTTTATTATGTACAGACGCCATTATGCCAAAGAGAGAGAGAGGAATGGCGAGAGAGAACTATTTATAGATAACAACATGTAAGGGACATCACTCAAGATAACAATATAAATATAATACTAATACAGAGAGTGAGTTCCCTTGACCTCACAATTAACTCAATCTATTACATCCCTTTACCCTTAGAACACAATAACACATCTCTCAATGGAACAATTGATAGTATCCTAAAATCACCAATTATATTGTAACATGAACACTATGGTAGATTACATCCTTACAAACAATGCACAATATGCTACAACATAATCAAAATACAAAACAATAATGTCAAAGTCCTTTTGACCTTTAGAATCATAGGTCTAACTTATTTGGGACTTTGATTGTCCTGCTTGACCTTCTCAGTGGCTTCTGATTTGGTGACTCAAGATTCTGACCATCTGGATTCTCTATCTCAGGAGGTCTAGGATTTAAATCATTAACTCCAGAATTTACATTTTCTGACTCTAGACAACTTGATTCACTCATATCAACAGAACTTGGTTGTGGAACAAACTGAGTTGGTGTGAACTGATCAGACTTGGTGGGATTGACAGATTCACCCTTATTATCTGCACAAGTTATTTTTAACTGGTCTGCATGTCTACGGACAATAAGTCCATCATTTGTTTTTACTTTATAAGACACAGGTCCTGTACATTGAACAATTTGACCTGGAATCCATTTTTCCTTTCTCCCATAATTTCTTAGATACACATTATCATTAACTGCAAATTCTCTTTCAATGGATGATTTGTCATGATTTACTTTTTGTGTATGTTGATGTTGGGAAACAGACCTTTGAACAGTTGGATGTAGTAGGTCAAGATGAGTTTTAATTTTCCTACCACATAGCAATTCACATGGTGCAACACCTGTTGTTATATGAGGAGTTGTGCGGTATTTGGTTAAGAACCTGTTTACTCTTTCTCTAAGAGAAAACTTGTTACCGGTATTCATTTTTACCATAGCGGTTTTGAATATGCCTACCGCTCTTTCAGCTAAACCATTCCCAGCAGGATGATAGGGGGATGTGGTTATATGCTCAATACCATTTGCCACACAAAACAGTTTAAACTCATGAGCTGTGAAACTAGGCCCATTATCTGAAACAATTTGATCTGGTAATCCATGAGTTGAAAATATTTCCTTAAGTTCTATAATGGTATCATTTGCAGTGATTGTGTTCATGATTTTAACTTCTAACCATTTAGAATGTGAATCAATAACAATTAAGAACATTTTGTTCATGAAAGGTCCTGCGAAATCTATATGTATACGTTTCCATGGTTCAATTGGCCAGTCCCAGTTTTGCAAAGGTGCTGTAGCTGGTTGATTTGAATGTTGTGCACAGCTTGAACAAAGTTTTACATATTTTTCAATATCGGCATCCATATGTGGCCACCAGAACCATGATCTTGCTAGACTCTTCATTTTGGAAGAACCAAGATGAGTATCATGTAAAGTTCTTAAAACTTCTTTTTGTAACATTTTGGGGATAATTACTCTTGACCCCCATAGTATACATCCATCTTCTAGACTTAACTCTGTTTTTCTTATTTTATATGGCTTTAAGTCCTCATTCACTGACTCTTCAGGCCAACCATTTTTACAGTACTCATATACTTTTATTAAGCACTCATCTTTTTGTGTTTCTCTTTTAATATCATTCACATTTATATTGGAGTTATCCATGATAGTGAAGAGAACAAATACATCTTCTGGTACATAGCTCAGGCTTTGGTTTTTTAAGGGTAATCTACTAAGACTATCTGCACAATTCTCAGATCCAGGTTTGTATTTCAATTCATAATTGTATGCAGTTAGTGTGATAGCCCATCTTTGAATTCTTGGTGAGGCATGCTCAGGTAGGGTTTTGTTTTCTCCAAATAAACCTAGCAATGGTTTATGATCTGTAAAGATGGTAAACTTCCTACCAAACAGAAACTTATGAAATTTCTTAACACCAAAAATGATGCCTAAGCCTTCCCTATCTAACTGAGAATAATTTTTCTCAGCCTGATTCAAAGATCTACTGGCAAAAGCAATGGGTCTGTCACCCTTCTCATCCATGTGGGACAAGACTGCTCCTACACCATCTGGTGAAGCATCACATGTCAATACAAGTCTTTTCCCTGGGTCATAGTGAGTTAGTAAGGTGTCAGTAGACAAAGCCTCTTTTGCTGTGTTAAAAGCAGCTTCTTGTTGTTTACCCCAGTGCCAAGTTGCATTTTTCTGTAGCAGCTTGTACAGTGGTGATAGTTTACCAGACAGATTCCCTATGAACTTTGCATAGTAATTTATCAAGCCCAAAAAAGCTCTTAGTTGTTGAGTATTTTCAGGTTTGGGTGCTTCCTTAATGGCTTTTGTTTTCTCAGGTTGAGGTCTGATGCCTTGTTTGCTTAATATATAACCAAGAAAACTAATTTCTGTCAGCATGAATTGACATTTATCTTTGTTTATCTTTAAACCTTTTTCACCAACAATTTTCAATACTTTATCAAGTGTTTTAAGATGTTCAGTGTCATTCTTACGAGTTATGTACACATTGTCAAAGTACACACAAACATTTGGAATATCCTTAAAAATACTGTCCATGACAGCTTGGAAAATTCCAGGGCTAGATGATATGCCAAAACATAGTCTTTCATATTGGTAGAGTCCTTTATGTGTGTTTATTGTCGTATAGACTTTTGAATCTGGATGCAGTTCTAGTTGAGTGTAAGCATGACTAAAGTCTAATTCAGTGAATTTGTCTCCTCCTGCCAAATTCAAAGAAATTTCCTCAATGTTAGGTATAGGGTACCTATTTAGCTCTATTTGCTTATTCAGTGTAGTTTTATAATCTCCACAAATTCTTATAGAACCATCCTTCTTTAACACTGGCACAATGGGTGTCGCCCAATCGGAATAGTCTACCTTCTTTATAATGCCATTAGATTCCAATCTACTTAGCTCATTTTCAATTTTATTCCTCATTGCATAAGGTGGAACTCTAGCTTTGCAGTATCTTGGATTTGTATCTTTAATGCTTAACTTCACTGTTCTATCATTTAGTAATCCAGAGTTACCAAAAACACATTTATTTTCAGATATTACTTTATCTAGTGAAGTAAGACTAGATTCTTTTACATTCTTCAATGAACAAATACTCTCCCAATTTAACTTAAGATTACTTAACCAGTTCCTACCTAGTAATGGCGGTCCATTTCCTTCAACCACAAGAAGAGGAAGTTTAACACTTTGACCATTATAACTTACATGAACCATACACTCTCCTATTACCGGAACATTGTCACCAGTGTATGTTGTTAAACACTTGTGACATGGCTGTAGAGGCACTGATCCTCCTGTGACAGCGTCAAAATCTTTCTTTGTTATGACTGTTAGAGATGCTCCAGTGTCAAGTTGGAAGCTGATGCTCTTACCGTTGATATTAACTAGTACATTGATGGGAGCATGACTTATTGATTTCACAGAGAATAGGTTGAAATCCGGCTGCGAATCAGTTTGAGCATTTTCACAGGTAGAGTGGTTCATTGGTTGGGTTAGGTAGTCTTGGTGAGAGTTAACATAGTGCTGCTTTTGGTTGCGGTACTGTCTTGACTGGCTAGATTTAGCAACAGACGAAGACTTTGCGAAGCAGGCCTTGGCAATGTGACCTTGCTTACCGCACTTATAACAAGTTGCAGACTTGAACTTGCACCGATGAGATGCATGGGGACCTTTGCATCGATGACATTTTTGATAATTATTACTAGATTTAGATCTAGGATTTGAACGAGCAGGCTGTTTAGCATAAGTTGGAATGCTCTGATGGGGTTGATGTTTATTGACTAACCTGCTGTTTACTGCATGGATCTCTGAAGGTGCTAAAGATCTCACCGCATCTGATGACTGCTGGATTGAAGTTGCGAGTTGTATTGCTTTTTCTAATTTTAGATCTGACTCGAGCAGCAACTTTCTTTGAATATCAGGGCTGTTTACACCTGTCACAAACTTTTCACATAGTCTGTCAGACAGCGCGTCTCCGAATTCACAAAATTCACTTAGATGACGTAAGGCAGCAACATATTCTGATATTGACTCGTTTGGTTGACGAGTCCTACTGTCAAATCTAGCTCGACATAGAAACTTTGATGGTACAGGCGCATGGTGGTCTGTTAGCAATTTGCTCAGCTCGTTAAAGCTCTTGGTATCTGGACTAGCTGGTGCGCATAAGTCCTTTAGTAGCCTGAATTGTTGAGGCCCTATGACTGTTAACAAAACAGCTCTCTTTTTGGCTTCTATCGTCACGTCGTTAGCTTCTAGGTAAAAGCTTAACCTCTCTAGGTAATCTTGAATGATTTCATCATTCGCATCAAATTGTTTTATTTGGCCATACAGCGCCATAATTCTAGAAATAATTAGCTAATAAGCTCTAGCAAACCTCTTTTTTGCGTAAGTAGGTGCTCTTTCTAGTAGATGTTTATCCTTCGTCGCCAAATGAAGTGGATTGTAATGACTGACGAGAAGCCGCGTTGGTTGTTAACAGTCTTTATTATGTACAGACGCCATTATGCCAAAGAGAGAGAGAGGAATGGCGAGAGAGAACTATTTATAGATAACAACATGTAAGGGACATCACTCAAGATAACAATATAAATATAATACTAATACAGAGAGTGAGTTCCCTTGACCTCACAATTAACTCAATCTATTACACATGGACTCAGCATAGGAAGGGATAGTGTGGTCAGCATTATACCTAGCCACTTTTACTGTACCTAATGTGAGTCAGGTACCCATTAGAGCTGGATGGGCTCCAGGATCCGAACTCAAGAATTTTGGGGCAGCAGTCATACATTAGAGCATCAGAATAAGCTGTATAATAATACTTCGTGAATGCTCATCTAATGGTAATCCAGTTAAATCAAAGAGCTGTTTGATTTTATTCTCCAATAATCTTATCAAAGGTGGCTTGTGTGCAGTGCAGTGTAAACCTTGACTAGGCTAATTCAGTAACTGGCTGATGATACTAAGTAGGTGACTTAGTGTTCTCAGTCTAAACCCCTTTTTTGTCTGTTTATACTAGTAGGTGATTTACTTAGTGTGTTCTCAGTCTAAAACACTTGTCTGTTGATACAGGTGTGTAATTTAGTTAGGGGTTATGTCTTAACCCCATCACCTGCTTACATCCCCATTCAGTCACTAACAAGATTTTTTGCCACAGGATATAATTACCTGTGCTCATGGGCTTCCAACCCCTCCTTAACACAATATTAAAATATGCTTTTAAGAAGAAGAAAAAAGATGGTGAAATATTGAAGCTGCTCGTGTAATGTTACTTATTGAATGAGATGGATAACTCAAGCAGCTATCTAGACTCGGTATGGTGAAAATGTATAAAGGTGAGGCAGATAGTACTTAGTATATCTTCTGCAAGAAAATCGCAACAAGTGGTAAGATCAGATTGGGGAAAAAGGGACACAAATAGGTAAGGCAGCAAGGGATACAATCGTATTAAGCCAGCAAGGGACACAATCGGGTAAGCCAGCAAGGGACACAATTAGGTAAGCCAGCAAGGGACACAATTAGGTAAGCCAGCAAGGGACACAATCAGGTAAGCCAGCAAGGGACACAATCAGGTAAGGCAACAAGGGGCACAATCAGGTAAGGCAACAAGGGACACAATCAGGTAAGGCAACAAGGGACACAATCAGGTAAGCCAGCTAGGGTCACAATCAATTAAGCCAGCAAGGGACACAATCAGGTAAAGCAACAAGGGTCACAATCAGGTAAGCCAGCAAGGGACACAATCAGGTAAGGCAACAAGGGACACAATCGGGTAAGCCAGCAAGGGACACAATCAGGTAAGCCAGCAAGGGACACAATCAGGTAAACCTGCAAGTGACACAATCACGTAAGGCAACAAATGACACAATCAGGTAAGGCAACAAATGACACAATCAGGTAAGGCAACAAATGACACAATCAGGTAAGGCAACAAATGACACAATCAGGTAAGGCTACAAGGGACACAATCAGGTAAGGCAACAAGGGACGCAATCAGGTAAGGCAACAAATGACACAATCAGGTAAGGCAACAAATGACACAATCAGGTAAGGCTACAAGGGGCACAATCAGGTAAGCCATCAAGGGACACAATCAGGTAAGGCAACAAGGGACACAATCAGGTAAGCCAGCAAGGGACACAATCAGGTAAGGCAACAAGGGACACAATCTGGTCAGGCAGCACATTGAAATTTAAATGAACACTAAAACTTTTGATTTTTTAAATACTCAAAACAGATGCCTGTTTGAAATTTGAGCCATCCTCAAATGACACCACGCAACCCCCCCCCCCCCCCTCGACACACACATAGTCTCACGTTGACACGCAAAGACTGATCCCGCTCCCCCCCCCCCCCCATACAAGGCTAATTGTTATATTTAGATTGAACCACTATAAGGTTTAGAAATGGATCTAGAGCTCTAGATCTAGATGCCAAAGCCGAAATGGTGAGCAGTGTTTTGACAAAGTCTGACAATTCAAAATGTCTAATTGCGCACTTTTTGTTTGTTACATACAATGAACGCACGATTTAAAAGTGCACTTTGAACAAACAGAAGTAAACATTTTAAAAAGATGTATGTGTTGAATCTCTACACTAATCTAGACATAGATCTATAATTTGTTTTCGTTCTGAGTGTGCACATTAGGTAAAGATAAATTTAATATTATTAGAAATTACAGGTCAAAGGCTGGTAGATTTAATATTATACACGTTTGGTTACTAAATAAACAGCCTATTCGTTCAGTGGCGTCGCTAGGTCGGGTGTCATCTGATGCGGCACCTAGTACGGTCCGCACTTCCACGTCCCCGCCTCGCGACGCCTCTGTATGCGTTGCTAGTACCCTATTTCGATAAATATGTTGGTATATCATTTTAAAAAATTAAACCTAGTTAGCAGAGGCGTAGCGAGCGGGAGGGGGCGGGGGATGCGGACCTCACCGGATGACACCATTTAGGGGGGTGACACCAAGGCAAAAAATAGCAAAGTATATAGAGAAAATGATAATTCCTCTTAATTAAGTGATTAATTTGAGTGTTAAATAGTCTTGTAAGAGGTGCAAATCGAAAGTTTGAGGGAGGGGGTGCAAATCGAAAATTGAAAGTTTATCCCCGGGAAGGGTCGCTACGCCTCTGGGGGTGACACCATTAAGTGGTGACACCCGACCTTGCTACGTTGTATGTTGGTATATCATTTAATAAAATTAAACCTTGTTAGTGAAGTACGGTACATGGGGCATCTGAAGTACACGTCACCTGTTACCTCGACATAAGACTGGGATGGTGTGGTTAGCACTATGTTCAGTCGCCCGGGTGTACTCAAGAACGTCCTAAGAACTCGACAATTTAGCGGTATCAGTTTGAAATTTTGCCATCACAATATTTATTTGCTCTTGCTTGTAACACGGATGTAGATCTAGATGCCGCAGGGCCATTAAATAGAGGAAAATCTGTCATTTCAACAATACCATGCACCACTCTACTTACTACCCGAATGTTTCTTTCAGACATTTTTCTCCGGGAGGGGTGCAGACACTTGTTAAAAAAAAATTGTTTTCTAGATCTATATAAACTACATTTTGTCTAGTCGGTGAAGGGGGGGGGGGGGCGCTTCCCAGGAGATGCCTAAAAGAAACTCCCCTTCCTTGCAACCCCATTTAACAAAATATAAAAAGTAATGCACCCCCCCCCCCCATTTTGAATCATTAAACTTATTTATGAAACGTCACCAAACCAAATATTTTGCACTCGAGTAAAAACTGTGATTTTGCCAATTTTTGTTTTCACAATTAAACAATTTATTAAGGGATACAAATTAATTAAGATGTGTATAATTTTTTAAACTACTGAATACCTAATACTATTTCAAAGTCTTTTTTTTTTCTTTCACAGATAATTTTCAAAAATTATTTTTTTGAAATATTAAGATTCAAATACGTAGTATTTTTCTTTTTGCAATGGAGCGATCAGCTAGATTCGTCAACACTATGTGTAATGCCAATTACAATAAGTCTCCGAAATCTTCATTGAAAGCAAATAAAATAACACGTGAGCGAAGCCCGAGTTTAGATCCGGGAAAATTCAAAGATTTTGATCTGAAAATAAACGAGGCGGAACAACATGTGTCAGCAACGAAAATCGTTGTCTCCCCTTACGACGTGGCAATGAAACGCTGTGCTCAGGCTAAATTAATGCCCAATAAGGTTTATGTCCCTTGGTACAGAAAGTAAGTGATGGAGTATTTCGTTTGTATGTGTTATTCCGAAAATGCCACATTAATGGAATCTACTTAAAAAAGGGGTGTGTGTAGTAGTGTCAGCCTAGTATGGTAGTGTTCGGCAAAGGACAAGGTTGTTAGTTCTTATAGTTTTGTAACCTCAGGTTTGGTGTTTTGGTCAAATGTATGATTCGGTCAAATGTATGATTGTTATACGAGGACTTGGGTTAGGTAAAGGTTTAGAGTGTGGATATTACGTTAGCAAATCACATATTTCAGATTTGGATTATGTTTATATAACATCCCCTTTTTAAAAAGAAGATTCAATGAATTAAGACGCTGATTCATTATCTGCTCCTCTTTTATTTTCATCTCTAAGTGGAGAAAATGCCAGTAATATTATTATTAACATTCTTCAATGCTTTTTTACTTACCTATTTTCTCCATTTCTTTCCTACTCTTTCCATTAATTTTTTGTTCTTATTTTTTTTTTTTTTTTTTTTTCTACTTCTGGAATTGTTTAGTCCCTTGTGGATTAGGTTTAGAAATTAGATCTACATGAAAATGATCTTGTCTGGTAATACTTGCTGTCTTAGATCACCTTCTTTTCAAGATTTCTTGCTCAACTGTGCTATCTCATTTCAGCAATATTTCCTACAAGCTTAAGTTTTAGTATTTCCATTTTGCAGTTATTGGTGTTTTAAAATTTTTAACGTTGATAATGATATTAATCTCTTACCTATTGCAACTTAATTACATGGTATAAATGTCATTGAATATAATCTAATAGACCAGAATGTTTTATTGATTGCTTTTTTTTTTTCATAATAGTTACAAAATACCAGATATACCAGATGAGATATGGGATGATAATCAACCATTTGATGAGCTACAGAGAAGGGACGAAGGTACACATCTGTGATCATACTAAATTTAGTGATCAAATGATTAGTGTTAAGTATTTTTTTCATAGACTATACTGGAAGGTTCTTTGATAATCATACTTTATTTGGCCAAATTAAAAAAAACAACAGCATTGCTTATAAAAAAAACATTTGTGATCATACCAAGTTCTAAAAGATGCTTTGTAATGTAAATCACTAAATTTAGTGACCAAATGATTAATTTAGTATATAGACTATACTGGAAGATGCTTTGAAAATCATACTAGATCTATATTTGCATAACTATTTAAAAAAAAAACATACTTACAAATAAAACAATGAAAATCAGTTTCTTCCATGCTAAGGTGTTAATTACCTGATTATTTTAATAATGGTTTGTTTTATATGCTTTGTATACCATGATATTATTATCGGGCAGTTTTTTTAAATAATAAAATTATAGTATAGTTATGTGAAATCAGCCTATCTGTAACCTATGCTTTAGGAATTTGGTACTTCACCATGTATAAAAATAACCTATCTAGTTATGATTATGCTGATTGACAAAATTGATAATTTTTTTTAGATATTGCCTTGCAACGCTATTATGGAGAAAAATATCTCCTTTTCCAAGACCTAAGAGATCCAAGTATTCGTCAACATCGACTTGAAATTTTGAGGTGGTACAACAGAATGAAAGATAGGAAAAAAAAGTCTGAGTTAACATTGTAAGTTGTTTATAATTTTTTTTAAAAAGTCATATTCACAAGGATTGTGAGCAAATTTTGCAATTCATAAAATAACCTAGTTTCTAAAGGAGCAATTTTCTTTCAAATTTTGTAGCATTCCTTAGGACAAGACAAAAATGTCTAATTTGTAATCTATAGGCCTACGGTTTCAAGATTAATGATTGGAACATTTATTTTAAACTTTATTAATTAAAAGTTAAGTAAAAATACATTATCGAAAGGGAAATAACTTTAGGTATAGAAAGAGTGTATTTTATCACGTATAATTTTTTAATTTCAGATCTGAAGATAGGTAAACAAATGTATCAAAATGTCTTGAGTTTTGATTAAAGTTTATTTCTTTTAGTTTACTTAAAATTGGTTTTTAAATTATATACTTCAGAGTTGTCTTTCAAAAAAAAAAATTACAGATTTTAAATTGTTTCTGCAATAACACAATATTATTAGTTAATTTGTTTTTAATCTACACCTCTTACAATCATGATAGGTCTGCTTTTATTTGTATCTAAATTATTTTATTGATTAGTATGTACTTTTGATAATTATTCTTTAACATTTGATCCCTAATCTATTACTAAAGCCTTTAAATAACATACTTAAATTGTAAAGCAAAATGTAACCTTAGAATTGGAAATTTCATTATTGGACATGGCTAAAAGGGAAATAATTTTTTTTTATTCCAGTCGAACCACTTCTGTTTGGCCTACCCCACAAGCAAAAGAATAGTAAGCTCTATTTTTGTCTCAACAATTTATAGTATTTCTGCTTAAGTTAATGTTAAAACTATATTCATTTTATCTGTATTGTATAAATAGATAATTTAGACACCCGCATAAGTATTGAATAGACTTATACTTAATTGTACCAATACAAATGTTTCTTTAGTGGGGCTCCTCAAGGAAAGGACACGTAAGTTCAATGTATTTTAACTGTGCTTTGCCTACAATTCCTTTCCTTTTACCAACTTGTGGTTGTTGTAAATTATGTTATGCCTAATGTAAATAAATATGGTAAAATAGATTATTTAATCATATGATTGTCATGCTAAACAGAAAAAAAACATGGCATGGCTTTTTCTTAAGGGGTCGTCCATAAATGATGTCACACTCGTAGGGGGGAGAGGGGTTGGTAATTTTGTGATGACGTGTGATGAGGGGGAGTGGGGGGTTCAGATGGTGCGACGTCACACTTTTGCTTTATAGAAAAGAAATGTTAGAAAACAAATTTTTGACGTTGTTTTGCGTTTTAGAAAAACAGTTTTAATAAATTGTAATAGGAATTGATTAAAATACTCTATTTTGACAGATTTCAGACAAGATTTTGGAAAAATATCAATGTTTAAAAAAAAATTCAACTGCAATTTTGAGGGGGGTTGTAGGCTGAGGTGTGATGTCATTTTAGGGGGGGTCTGGCTTTTTGTGACAATGTGTGACAGAGGGGAGGGGGAGGTAAAAATCATCAAAAAAAGTGTGACGTCATTTATGGATGACCCCTAACAAGACCATGTGTCACACAATCAGGAGTTATTACACTTGCATTGTTAAGCTGTTAACAATGTTTTTTTTTCAAAAATACTTATTGTTTGGATAAAAGTGGCAACAGTCGTTTTAATGTAATCTATTGTGTTATTGATCCTGCATGTTTAATTACATTGTATTTTGTTTTATAAATGTTTCTTCACTTTATTTATACTTATATTCGTATGCCTTTTTGTAAAAGCAATCAATATTTTACCTTACACCTTTTTCTTGCTTCACAAAACCATTTTATGTAAATTTTATATTAAATGTTAAATTATGTTAAATTATATAAATACCAGTTTGCTTTAAAAACTTTAAAAGTAACAGTAGCCCATGTGTGTCAATTACTTCATCTTTTTTTTTTAAACACCAGAACCCTATTTTTGTAACAAAAATAATATTTTTTCTACAATATAATCAGTTTTCTGATTTTGATTAGTTTAGGGCAAGCTATTGAGTGTAAGTCTTCACACTGATAAACTTATCCAAAATAAAAGTAAACTTTCATATCTTTGTTCATAATCTTCCACATCATCTGTTTGTGAATAACTAATGACAATTAATTTTACTCTCTATAGAAGGAAATCAGTTTTTGGCCCATCTGCTCACGAGAAGTCAGTTTTACTTCCAATAATTCAGTTCATGTTTAAAATTCACCAAACCCGTGCGAGGAATAATATGAAACAGTTGAAGAGAAGTTCAAATTGGAGACGGTTGCATAAACCTGAAGTGGCGATGAAGATTGCCGAGCTAGTTGTTAGCATTAGAAGGAACAAGGTTAATTTTTTTTTAATCAAAATTTGTTTTTGTTGTTACAACTAAAATATTTGTGTAGACAGGGATGCCTTCTGACTGTTAAAAACTACTGAGTTAAACAATACAAGATCATTTACATGTTTCAGTGGTATCAATAACTTACAGGACTTCCTTGAAAACTCATTAAAAAAACTCATTAATTTTTTTTTAAAAACAAACTCCTGTAATTTTCATGGAATCACTTAATTAATCAGTCCTGAAGTTATAAAAATGCCTTAAGACTTAAAGATTCCTGATAAATAAAGCAGGGCAAACATCTTAATCAGTAATTTAGCAGAAGGCGTTTCTTTTTTTTTTACTTTCCGCCTTTGAGTATGTGCACATCTGAAAGTAAATTTTTTTCTAGATTTCATGTTTCTCTTTGATAAACTGCTATGCTAGCCTACTGTTATTATCATTCAGGAGTAGCCTGAAAAGCTTGTAATATCGACCATTTTTATGTAATGTTGTAATGAAAACTATAATTATTAATTTTGAAGTGAGCATAGTAATTAAGTAGCTTCCTAATTGACGTAATACAAATTTTCAGGCAATAAAAAAATTTCTTCGGGTCATTCGCTTGGTACTAAGTGTGCAAAGGTTTATAGCAGTAATTTCAAAGATGTAAGTTAATCTGTTAATAAGAAAACATTGAGAGTTGCATTTAGAGATTTATATTTCTCATTTTATAAAGACTATTTTTGTAAATTGATTAATATACTAAAATTAAATATTAGCAGTGCTCAGTGTATATTTTAGCCATGCTTTGTGGGAGGGTGCGGTGCCATTTCTAGTAAGGGTCAGTTTACTAGTCTACATTTTATAACACAGAAAAAGCAGGAATAAGTTAGGAAAAATTTTCAAAAAATGTTTAATACTTTGTATTCATTACTTTAGGGTTCGAAGTGGTCGAGTCGGTAAAGCTCATGGTTGCTAAACCGAAAAGTCTCAAGTTCGAACCCTCGGGCAGATAAGGCTCGTTAGCTGGGGACAGCCACTTTTCTAGGAGAGACAACTCCAAAACTAAACAACTGCTGCCTTGTAGTTTGTTCTTGGTTGGACAAAGGCTATGGAAGCAAATCCAAAAAGAAAAGCAGGCTGAAATCGGAGTCAATGGCCTCAATGGCGCATAACCAGTTGACACGTAACGCTTAATTGTGTTGATAAATTCGAACAAAGTCTCGAGTTCAAACCCACTGGCAGATAAATCTCGATCCCCTTCAACACTAATAATTAAGAACGAAGAAGAAGAATTACTTTAGCCAGAAGTAACATAAAATTTGACATGTAAACTACAACATTCAGTCTCATATGTTTTTAAAAAAAAAAAACTGTACTATAATACCAAGTTAGCTGACTACCATTCCTTATAACAGGTCTGCAAATACTGAATCTTTGTTCAAGACTAAAGTAAACAAACCTATTTGTGTTTCCAAGATGCCATTAATGAAAGGGAAAAAAATGTTTGATGCAGAATCTAAATATAAAATATCAAATGAGGTCTGTATTATAACTAAATCACACATGTACACATGTATATAATGTGTATATATATATATATATATATATATATATATATATATATATATATATATATATATATATATATATATATATATATATATATATATATATATATATATATATATATATATATATATATATATATATATATATATATATATATACACATATATACATATATACATACCTATATACATATATTTAAAGGCCTATATATATATATATATATATATATATATATATATATATATATATATATATATATATATATATATATATATATATATATATATATACATATATACATATATACATACCTGTATACATATATTTAAAGGCCTATATATAAATATATATATATATATATATATATATATATATATATATATATATATACATATATATACATACCTATATACATATATATACATATACATATATTTAAAGGCCTATATATATACATATATATATATATATATATATATATATATATATATATATATATATATATATATATATATATATATATATATATATATATATATATATATATATATATATATATATATATATATATTCTCAACAACTTCATAAATTTTTTGGGCTAATAATGTGATGCCCCTGACACCTCTCTATTATAGAGGTTGATCAATGTACACTCTGTGCTTTCATACAGCCCTGGCTCTTGGGTGGTAGTGTAGACAAACCTATCCCCCAACAACCAAAGTCCAATAAATACAGTGCAGGTTTTGTTTACGTTTAAATAACTGAGGTTTTATAAAACAAGATCATATGTAGAAAAGTACACGTAATGCGTTATTGAAGCCTTTAAAAATTATTGTCTCTCTGGTGATAAGAAATACATTGCCACAACTAGTGATGGTTGGGGTAGTTACAGATAAATCTGATGTGGTGACACACCCCCTGTGTTATCTCAACAGGTACTAGACCTGGCACCCCGTCAAAAGAGCGCACGACAAAATAGCGGCGACATAAGAGCGCAGACAAAAGAGCGCCGACATATGAGCGCACTAATTTCCCGACAAAAGAGCGCCGACATAAGAGCGCAAACTAAAAATCGAAAAACCATATTTAATAAAAAAATAAAAACAAGAAAATTAACTCAGATCAGAAGGCATAGTTTGATGTTAACTCTTTATTGTTTCATTAAAAAACTAATTGTTCAGTTTCTTTAACCAAAAAACTGGTACAATCTACGTGAAGTCCAATTATTCAAAACGCAATCTAATAACACATACATTCTCCATATTACTTGGGTTAGAAATATTGTCAAACTGCATTCATAACATATTAACCATAATATATAAATAAAGATGTTGTTCTCTCACCGATTGTTTAATTAAAACAAGTGTTAACCATGTCATATTCGTATAGCGTATAACATGTGTTTTTTTAATTGACTGCGCTCTTATGTCGGCGCTCTTTTGTCTGCGCTCTTTTGTCGGCGCTCTTATGTCGACGCTCTTTTGTCTGCGCTCTTTTGTCTGCGCTCTTTTGTCTGCGCTCTTATGTCGGCGCTCTTTTGCCGTGCGCTCTTTTGACGGGTCACCACTAGACCTCTGTGTTAAAACAGCACTTTTTTTAACAAGGCCCATTCTCCAATATCCATAGTAAGGCTGTGGCAATTTTCTGAGTGTCTGACTAAATCATAAAATAAATCAATTATCTACACTTGTTTTCCAGATACATGTACCAATGGAGGTTAAACTATCCTTGACTACACCTTGGTTTCAAAGAAGTGAATATGAGATAGATAAGGTATCTTGAAAGTTAAATTTAATAATCATATTTATTCAGTTAGTCTACTTTGTGTTTATATACTTAAGGGAAATAGTAGATAAATGCAATATGATTAACCTTGTACAGGCTTTGAATTTTTCTTGTCTTTGCCATACCTCTAGCAAAGGGAAATAACTATTTTTTAAAAAAAAAGAAAAAGTTGCTTTGAATAATTAATTTAAAAATTAAAATAAAATGTAACTCACATATAAAAATAAATGCAGATTACCATGCGAATTACATTTTAATTGAAAAAACAGCATCAAACTGAATAGTGAAACAATGGCATAGACAGAACAGGGATTTTTGGGCAAATAGTACAATACTACACACAAAAAAAACAACTTGTGCATATTTGGTCGCATAGGACTGTAAATTGTAAAACGTTAAGGTCCATAATTATGCATTGTTTGATGAGTAAATAAGACAGAATTGTAAATAATATAAAAATTTTTATTGAAAATTTGTAAAAATTTGAAAGTTCTGAAGAAAAATGAAATCTATCATTTTTTAAATATTTTTTTAGATATTGCCTTGTAAAAAACATGTTAATAATATTTATTTCAAATAACTTTTAAAAGATGTTCATAATATTTATTTTAAACAGCTTTTAGCAGTTATAAACAATGTGTATTTCAAACAGCTTTTAATACACATGGTTTTCTTAGATAGTTAAGTGTTTTCAAGCTTTAAAACCATTTGTGGAATACCCTGTGAACTACCAGTATTACATTGGGAGAGTGGCTTGGCTTATGGAGTAAGTGTTTCTATCATTCAAGTTTCTTAAATATTGGAATTCTATGATATTAATATATAATTATGGGGCAGAGTGGTCTAGTGGTAGAGAGCTGGACTGCTAACCTGTAAGTCTCAAGTTCGAATCAGGGTTCAAGTCAGTAGACTGTCCCTGAGTTCACCCAACTCTGATGGGTATCTAACTCACGTTAGGGAAAGTAAAAGCAGCTGGGCATAGTGCTGACCACACTATCTCTTCATATGCCGAGGTCACAGAAACAAGTGAACTCTACTTCACTTGCCCCATAGACCGTCAGGTTTGAAAGGGAAACTTTACTTTTTTTTTTAATATATAGACTGATTACATTTGTAACCATGCAAAATAATGCTACTAAGCCAATACTTTGAAGCATATTGGAATCATGGTCAACATTATGAAGTAAACTCATTGTTGCTCAAAGACTTAGATAAAATAGAGTTGCAAAACTCTCATTCCTGTTGAAGTATAACAATTATCTTATTCTTCTTTTTCCCAACATCCCTGATAGTCCTCCCTTATTAACCATTAATCCAGTGAATTAAGTATTTAAAACTATACTATTTACTATTAACTTAAAACTTGGTAAAGTTTGTAAAAAAAAAATCCTTATCAGACTGCACTTTACATTGTTCTAGCCTAAACTTAAGGTGCGAAAACTTTCAATAAAGTCATCACATTTTGAAAATTAATACGTTTACTAATTTACTTCTCCATTATAATAATACAATGTGACAGTTAAATAAAATTATTTAGTGCACTGACACATAAAGAGCAGTGTAAAGAGCAGAAGGTTATAATTTAAAATCTAGAAATCAAAAAGGCTTATTAACACACACGAAAAATATTCAAAAACTTTTGAATCTTAAATAGGCTGCCAAATTTCAAAGTTGTGATAAGACAAGGACAGAAAGCGCAGTCATTTTATTTTGTGATATCAGGCAAATGTAAGTAGGGTATGTAAACTAACAGAATATTTATAAAATTAGGCCTACAGTCTTTTTATTTTGGTCCAAAGAGGGAACTAAGAAAGACTAATATCTCACATTAGAATGTTGATAGTTTTAATCCAAAATAACTAAATTCAGATATCCTGCTCCCTAAAAATATGACTGTCCAAAACCTCACTACTAATTAACAAAAATGTTAAGCATTTTTTTTAATACCTTTCTTAGTAGTGCAGCTTGTGAGCAAAGATGATTAAGCATTTTTTAAAATCAATTGCTAGGGTCATCCTATAATGCTGCTTGTCTGAATGCTTGTAAACTTGAGCTAATTCACAGTTCATACCTTATGCCTAACATCTGTATTTTTATGGTGACCACCTCACTACTACGCAATCTGGTAAAAGAAATTTCTATTTCAATTTTTTTTTTAAATCAGGGTAAACTCCTTTGTCAGAATTCCACTGCTGATTGTGTTATGTTAACACTGAAATCAGCCACTTTTATTGTCATAAGCAAACGCTGACTGGACTCTGGACTATGTTATTTCAGGGAACATTGGCTTTATACAATCAACATCTGGGTAGGAGGTGATGACAGCTAGTGTTTATACTACAATGTGTGAACATGATTGATACTTTAAACAAAAATTGAAATAAGCCATTAAACATTAGGCCCCTGACTACTGCCCTCTTAGCAGACTGCCCTCTATCCATCACTGCCCTCTATCCATCACTGCCCTCTATCCATCACTGCCCTCTATCCATCACTGCCCTCTATCCATCACTGCCCTCTATCCATCACTGCCCTCTATCCATCACTGCCCTCTATCCATCACTGCCCTCTATCCATCACTGCCCTTTATCCATCACTGCCCTCTATCCATCACTGCCTTCTATCCATCACTGCCCTCTATCCATCACTGCCCTTTATCCATCACTGCCCTCTATCCATCACTGCCCTCTATCCATCACTGCCCTCTATCCATCACTGCCCTCTATCCATCACTGCCCTCTATCCATCACTGCCCTCTATCCATCACTGCCCTCTATCCATCACTGCCCTCTATCCATCACTGCCCTCTATCCATCACTGCCCTCTATCCATCACTGCCCTCTATCCATCACTGCCCTCTATCCATCACTGCCCTTTATCCATCACTGCCCTCTATCCATCACTGCCCTCTATCCATCACTGCCCTCTATCCACCACTGCCCTCTATCCATCACTGCCCTCTATCCATCACTGCCCTTTATCCATCACTGCCCTCTATCCATCACTGCCCTTTATCCATCACTGCCCTCTATCCATCACTGCCCTCTATCCATCACTGCCCTTTATCCATCACTGCCCTCTATCCATCACTGCCCTCTATCCATCACTGCCCTCTATCCATCACTGCCCTCTATCCACCACTGCCCCCTATCCATCACTGCCCTCTATCCATCACTGCCCTCTATCCATCACTGCCCTCTATCCATCACTGCCCTCTATCCATCACTGCCCTCTATCCATCACTGCCCTCTATCCATCACTGCCCTCTATCCATCACTGCCCTCTATCCATCACTGCCCTCTATCCATCACTGCCCTCTATCCATCACTGCCCTCTATCCATCACTGCCCTCTATCCATCACTGCCCTTTATCCATCACTGCCCTCTATCCATCACTGCCCTCTATCCATCACTGCCCTCTATCCATCACTGCCCTTTATCCATCACTGCCCTCTATCCATCACTGCCCTCTATCCATCACTGCCCTCTATCCATCACTGCCCTCTATCCATCACTGCCCTCTATCCATCACTGCCCTCTATCCATCACTGCCCTCTATCCATCACTGCCCTCTATCCATCACTGCCCTCTATCCATCACTGCCCTCTATCCATCACTGCCCTCTCAGCAGACTGCCCTCTATCCATCACTGCCCTCTATCCATCACTGCCCTCTATCCATCACTGCCCTCTATCCATCACTGCCCTCTATCCATCACTGCCCTCTATCCATCACTGCCCTCTATCCATCACTGCCCTTTATCCATCACTGCCCTCTATCCATCACTGCCCTTTACAATTTATTGTTTTTTATAAATGTGTTGCAATATTCTTATGTTATTAACAACATCAAATATTCACAGATCAGCCTTATTTTTTTTAAAAAGTAGAAATTGTGTAAATCTTAGATCTACTTTAGAAATTACTATGTAAAGTTATTTTTTTTCTTCTAGTAAAAGTGCTCTCATTAAAAGGCAATGCTGACTGCTTGCACTTTGGTGAATTCAAGGAAATAATGATGTATAAGGCTCAAGACTGCTTTGGGGTTAGACACTGTTTTTACTCTCTTACAATATGTATTTTATAATTTTATATTTCATGCCAGTTCCAATTTTTTAACATCCAGAGTGATAGAAACATGAGGTTTGCCAAAGTTGAGAGGCCACCAAACTAGTATTTATTAAATATATTAAATAAAAATATATTAAAAATGTGGCACAAAAAAAAAGAAAGCTAGTGATAATGCAAACTTGAATTTCAGCAAAGTTTGAATTTGTGTGACTTGAAAGGGAGGAGGACATAAAACATTATCTTCTCCCCCCTCTCGTCAACCCTAATATACATAAAAAAAAAACTTTAATATTTTTAATATTGATTTATAATAATACGAGCTGACCCGCGGCATATCATACCCCACTATTTAGTTGTTTTTTTTTTCTACTTTTCAGTAATTCATAATTTGTGAATTCGACAGTACCAATGCTGCTACTGACAATATTTGCTTTAAAACAGTATCAGTAGGTCGTTAAGGATGATAAACCCCCCCCCCCCACCACCCTCCTTTCCCCTAACCCCTACCCTACACCCCCCCCCCCCCCTGTGAAAGCAGCCTCCTCTTAGTTACCTCCCCTAAGTTTAAAATCGTTTCAAACTAAATTATCTGCCCCTAATAGCCATCACTAAACCCGACTCTACCATTGTAAACATTTAGCGTGAACCATAGCTCACCAGACCATGTAGGGGTGGGGGGGGTGGTAGGGAGCGCACTTACAGCTTGGTGTTTTCTATGGTCTCCAAGAAGAGATAAATAATCAACAGTTGTATTACCACAAAGTAGGTTGTGACAAATGGAATTATCAGCTGGACAGTTTTTATTGAACTGAATACTTGGGTTACAGGAGGAATGCATATCCCAGCCTTACAGCTATAGAACTTACAGCATTATCACAGATGAGCCGTGTATTTTACTTTCTGTTAACATTCATGAAGTTTACCAGATGGAGATGAACATCAAGCACAATGAAGAGGCCCCAGAACACATACGTTTTCTCAGGTTTTTACAAGTATTTTGTTGTATTAACATTAGACATTAGAATGTTTGATCTCAGGGGAACCTTGCGGTAGGGCTCATGGTTGCTAACTCTAAAAGTCACGAGTTCAGAAAAAAGACAGATGAGGCTTGTTAGCTGGGGACAGTAACTTATCAAGGAGAGAAAACTCCAAAATAAAATAATTGCTTCCTTGTAGTTTTTTTACTCTGATGGACAAAGTGCTATTGAAGCAAATACAGATAATAAAGCAAGCTATTGTTATAATCAACAGGCCACAATCATGTTGAAACAGTATATTGAATGGTGTGAAGGAAAAATTTCTTGCTATATTACAGTTAAGAACAAAAAGAAGAAAAAACAAGAGCCCATCTTTCTTCACTGTGGGTTAATAAAGTTGATTTTTATCAGCATTGCACTTACCATTTTATTCATGACAATACTGAACTAGCCCCAGCTTTATTAAGACTGTTGTAAGCTGTGGGAAAAAAAGCAATCCCATCTTGGCTTGAAATCAAAATAATTTTTATATACCAATACTAAGTGCTATGAAAAAGGAAATTCCTATTATTCTTTTAATATTTCACACTAATTTTATGATTGCAGTACTTTGCCATTTCTGGATAATTTCCCGAAGCCAAAGCTGATTGAGGAAGCGGATGAAAATGTTATGTTGTTTTATTTTAGGTGATAATTCTTAACAATCAATAACAATTTTTATTGCAACACTGAAATTAATTACGCTATTGCTATAAGTTATTTAATAACTGTTTTAGAAATTAATGTGAAAACTTCAAAACTCAATATAGTAAACCAGCTAATATCAAATTTAATAATTTATTGTCTTTTATATTTGATGATCTATGAAAATTATCAGTGTCTGACTTCTAGGCCTAATAAATTATGACAGCTATTTTTTTTTCAGGGCAAATACTGTGATAACAGAAGATGTGGAAGATTCAGAATTTGTTTATGTGGTTAGTTGGGTATGTAGAAAATCACTTAATTTTAGCATTTTTACTTAGAAAATGCATTTCCTGGTCAATATTCAAAATATACTTTTAAATTAAATTATGCACATTGTTATTGCCAGCTAAATAAATGGGAGAATAAAAGCCAAATACATATTGTGTTGCCAAACAAAAATACCTAAATATTTACTTAAATAATTTTGACATTTAGGATGGTTTATTGTAGTTTATATTAAAAATTCAAATTATATCCAGAAATTTTGACATAAGTCTGAGCTAGTGACCATGGAGTGTAATTACGCTGTTCTGTTTCTTACAGGGCTCTGCAGATGTTCTTGTAGAATTACTGCCTCAAAGGAAATGGATAGCAACTTACAGTATGTTATTTCTTGAATGAATCTCTGTTCTGTACCTTTCATTTATTGCTTGCAACACCAACAGTGTTCCAGTCTTTCTTTTCTGGGGGGAGGGGGAAGGGGCACTTGAAAATTTCAAGGGGATGGAATCAATTTTTCTAGGGTTGGGCTCTGAAAAAGTATATATTTTCAGAGGCGCTCCCCCCCCCCCCCCACCCCAAAAAAAAAAAGAGATGCCTGGAAGAAACTCTGAACACCAGCAATCACAAGTTTATTACATGGCCACATTCATATAAGTGACAACATCATGGTTAGGCTTATAATACTACCTCTCTGCTTTTTACCTTCTGAGTCTTATTAAAATACTTGGTAGTAAGTGTTTATTTAAATGAACATGTTTCAAGTTGTTTTTAACGTTTTAAATTCTCACAACCTTCAGGAATTGTTTTTAAAAATTTAACCAAATAGTTAATTTAATTTCTAAAATTAAAAGACCAATACATTTAAAAAAAAAAAAGATTGAAAAGAGTAAAAGAAATAATTTTATATAATTTAATATTTTCTCAAAAAGTAGACAAAGCTGTGAACATTTTAAAAAAAATTTTGTCCTCACTAACTAGAGTTAGCAGAGCGTGAGCGTTTAAGGGTGAGACAGTTATGTGCTTTTATTTTATGTTGTTCTTAAATGTTGTCTTACAAAGCCTTTTTTTTTAAAATTAATTGTTAATACGGTTTCTTTAAATTTTATGCCCATTTTGATGCATTGATCCCTTTTTTGTTTTATTATTTTTATATTTCATGAGTATTTCTTAAAAGTTATTGTGTTAGACTGCAGAGTTCAGCTTATATATGTTTAAACCAAGCCTTTTTTAAAAATTGATTGTTAATACTGTTTCTTAAAATTTTATGCCCATTTTGATGCATTGATCCCTTTTTTGTTTTATTATTTTTATATTTCATGGGTATGTCTTAAAAGTTATTGTGTTAGACTGCAGAGATCAGCTTATATATGTTTAAACCAAGCTTTTTAAAAAAATTGATTGTTAATACTGTTTCTTTAAATTTTATGCCCATTTTGATGCATTGATCCCTTTTTTGTTTTATTATTTTTATATTTCATGGGTATGTCTTAAAAGTTATTGTGTTAGACTGCAGAGTTCAGCTTATATATGTTTAAACCAACTCATCTCTAACACATTGATGAAAAATTTTCATTTTTATATTTTTTAAATAATGTGTATTTTAAAAGTTTTTGTGTTGGACTGCAGAGGCCTCCAACTTCTTGTACATTGGCATAATTTAGTTACTGTAGTTGTTGTTTCTTTTCAGCGCAAATCAATGGAAGAGATGGAATTAGATCTAGATAACATTGTCAAACAAAAAGAAACGCGCATTCAAAGTGTAAATGGTTTTTAGAAATTTTTTTTTAGACCTTGTTTAATATGAATGTTCCGTTTAAAATTTTTAGATGTTATGTTCATTGGGTATATGGAAACAAATGTCAGGGGCATAATGTTTATGGGGTCAGGGACTTAATGTTCATGGTTATTAGGGCATACTTTTTAGGGTATGTCTAAGTGTCAGCTTCATCATCCTCAACATCATCATCATCATTTCCTGAAACACATGGGGTAGATGTATCAGAGTTCATCTGCTTCAGAGACCTTGGCATATGAAGAGATAGCATAGTCAGCCCTATGCCCAGCAGCCTTAGTTTCCCTACCGTGAGTTAGATACCCATCAGAGCTGGGTGGACTCAGGGATGTTCCACTTATTTGAACCAGGATTTGAACTCGAGACCCTCGGGTTAGCAGTCTAGCTCACTATCACTAGGCCACAACATCTAATGAGTGTCAGCTTCAGTGGCATAATTTAAGGTTAAATGTATCTTTAAAATTAAACCATAAAACCACAAATAATGATTGATTAGATAATGAACTCTGTGCATAGAATCTCCAAAACACCGAGGCGACAAAGAAAAAAAGGCAGTCAGTACAAGGAAGTGGTAATGGTTTGACCACTCTGACTCGATCGCCAAGATATCAGAGGGTGTGCCAGCAGGAAATGCGTAAAACAGAACGACGCATTGCAAAACAGAATGAATTATTTCAAGGTAAGTCTTAGAATATCCTTCTACTCAGTAAGTTGTTTTTCAACTTCTCGATCATTCACTCTTGTTAATCAGCATTGTGATTTTTATTCAGTATGAAAGTGTACATATTCATGCATTACCTAAAATATATTTTTATAATTATTAACAAAAATGAAAACATCAAATTAAATTCAGAAATAGTGGAAAAGTCTGTGATATCAATGGCACATATTGTTTGGAGCTCTTCCTTTTTTAAGGTTAATTTAGACTGGAACCAAATGATGTTCACTGAAGGAACTTTAAATTTAAAAAAAAAGATGTTTCATTATTTATTAATTTTAATTGCAGCTGAATCAAGAAGGATACAACTTAAGACTTATAGACTCATATCATCTATGTCGCATAAAACTTCACTATTGAAAGAATGGGTACAGTATGCAATTTAAAATTACTATGACTAAAATTGTTCTTATAGATCTAGATCTATATTCTTTGATAGAATTTATACTGAATGAATATTTCTATTTGCAGTATGCAATTTACAACTTACTGTGAATAAGCAATCATGTATTATTTGGAAGAATTTTAAATAACTGTGTTCCTACAGTATATCATTCACAACTTATTGTGATTTTAAAATATTTATTCTTTGTAAAAATTATAACTGAATAATTGATCAAATACAAATAAAGCATGCTTAATTAGCGTTAAAACCCTGATACAATGACTTTTAATACAAATTTAGTTATAATTAGGGTTGCAAAACTTTTGCAGTCTTCCATATTCACTTCAGACTAGAAAAATATTCATGAGCTGGTTATTTATATAAAATTTAAATAAATGTTTACTTCATTTATTTTTTAGTCCAAGATTTATAGTGACGATGCAAGGAGAATGACCATTTCATCACTTGATTCTAAAATGCCGACCCCCGTGTCTAAACTTAGCAGTGACTTAGGTTCAGAGGTTGGTTTTGTAAAACAAAAATGTAATGAATTTTTATGTGTGAAGTTTAGAAAAAAACATTTTAAATTTTATTTGGGTTTAGGCATCACCCTTTCACACCCACCCACATGTCATTATTCCTCTGTTAATAAGGCCTACTCCTCCAATCTTCCATAGGGGATACCCTAGGAATACACACTTTTCTGGCAAATCAAGAAATCCAGCATTCTTCACAATGCCTAACAATATATGAAATGAATGAATATGATATAAACTTTATTTATTACTTTCCTTTGGAACACCAGAAAAGTGTAGATCAAGCATATTCCATAGAAAAAAAATTCTTTAACCCTAACCCTAGCAATAACAATAACACAGACAAAAGTTTAAAACATGGCCAAGCATCTTGTTTCTGAAAAAATTTTTTTATTTTATTTGAGGTGGTCAGTTAATCCCTGAATTATATAATATATGCCCTTAGAATTCTAATTATCAATTAAATAATAACATGAGATTTATAAATGGCTTTTGGAAACATTTTGTGATTTCTATATTTTTTTCCTTTCTCAGTTCAATGTTTAATATATTTTTAAAATTAATGTTAAATAACTTGCCTAGCGGCTAGGGGTCATATATCTAAAGATAATTTGGATCATTATGATAAGTAAGTAGTTGTGTGATTGAGTGTTCAACTGCTCACCTGAAAGCCTCGAGTTGGAACCTGGGCTTGAGTCCCCATATGACATTCTGAGTCAACCCAGTTCACTTTAGTTAAAGTAAAGGGCATAGTGCTGACCACAATATCCCTTCATTTATCAAAACCACTGAAACAGGTGAACTCTTCTTCACCTGCCTTAATGGACCTAAGGTTTCGAAAAGGGCAGAGGCCTAGCGAGGGGGGGGGGGGGGCTGGGGGGGACATATGTCCCAGGGCGCCGACCTTAGGGGGGAACGCCAAATTGAAAGTTTGAGGGGGGGGTGCAAATGAAAAGTTCGAGGGGGGGGGGGTGCAAATCAAAAGTTTGTCCCTGGGCGCCGGGAAGGGTCACTACGCCTCTGGAAAAGGGTACTTAACTTTTTTTTTATAGTTATAATGGTTACTTTAATTTACATTGTTCTGGGTAAAATTAAAATAATTTTTTTGTGTAAAAGTAAAAGTAAATACTGTTTATGTATTTTAGGGTTTAATGTACAAAATAGACATAGATCACATGTCTCAAGACTCACAATCCTTAACTAGTGATGCCACAACTCGAATCACAGAGGAAGCAGGGGTTGAAGAAGAGAGCTCATTAACCCAAGAGGTCCATCATTTTCCTCAAGGTAAAAAATCAAAGAAAAAACAGCTGCGTCGTAATCAACGCAACGTAGCCAAGCTCAAACCTATCAGTCAGAAAAGTCCTAGGCCGAAAAAAACCAAACAAGGCAAAATGAAACCACCTAGAAAGATTGAGCAAAAGAGAAAACTCCATAAGGATAGAAATGTCTTGGGATCAGTGGAGGAGGTGGAGAAGGTGGAGTCTCAAAATTTAGATGCAACGCCAAGCCAAGGTTTTGGTGATCGCCAAGAGGACGAACCAGCCGCGTCAGACAGCTTTCTTAAAGATCCAGTTAAAGTGGTCAAACGAAAGAAAATTAGACCTCTAAAGTCTAAAACAACGTTGACCAAAACCAAAAAGCCCCTTGGACAAAGTGCTGAGCAGCTAAACGACTCAGAGGAAAGCAGAGATGATGAGACAGAAGAAGAGGAAGCAAAGAAACACTCCAGCAGGCGGTAAGTAGTGAAAGCTGTGCTAAAAATATTGCTCAAATTAATTTTTTTTTAAAGACTATTATTTTAAATTAAATTTAAAATGCAATTTTTATGGCTGGCAAAATGTAAATTAAAATAAAAAAAAAATCCTCTTTAGACCTAACGATCAATAGGGTAGATGAAGTAGAGTTCATATGTTTCTTGACCGTGGCATATCAAGGGAAGGTTTGTCCAGCTGCCTTTACTTTCCCTAACATGAGTTAGGTACCCATCAGAACTTTATGTTCTATTGACCTGATCCCAGATTTGAACTAGAGACTTTAAGCAGCCTAGCTCTCTACCGCTTAGGCAATTCCATCCCTTACAAAAGGTAGTTTACCAAAATGATAGCTACCAACATGTCTATCAATATTTTAGACGCCAACATGTTGTTTAACACTATAATAGATGCCCGTATGTTTACCAATATTTAGCTTTTAAGTTGGTAATTTGGTACAAATCATCTTTCAAAAAGTAAAAAAAAAGTATGTTAGCGGCAAAAGCAAAGAATAGCCAACACAGATCTCCTTTTTAGTTTACTGCCTTTTACTAATATTAATAATGCATCCATGAAGAAAAAGCTGCACTCCATGTAATATCATTATATTATGTTCACCTTCAGGTCTCTTTTAGCCAAATACTTCTTTATTGCTATTATTTGCAGGAAAGCTTTTTTATTGCAAGATGAAAACATTTCAAGTGGAGGTGGTAACCTATAACTACAATCTATAGATTAAATTATAAATGAATTCTTTTTTTTACGTTATTTTTAGATTGTTTTCAAAACCATATTACCATGTCTTGATGCTTATTTTTTTTAATTTACATGAAAGAAAAATAGATTTTGAAATAAAAATGAAAGTATAAATTAACTAAGTTTACATTTTTCAAAGATTATGAAAATGATTGTTTGGATCAACATTTTAAAAGTTAAAAATGATTTTAGTTTAATAATCTTTTAATAAGAGAATGCATTCTTTTAATTTTAAAAAGGTACATTAACCATGTTTACTAACATCTGATTCTGTTCTCTTTGTTATTTTCAAAAATTCAGGTAAAAAAAAAGGTCAACGCAAGAAGTAAGATTTTATAAATACTTCATAAAATTTAATTCACAATATACATATTTTTATTATGATGGATTGTAAATTAGTTACAAATATTTGTGTGTATATATATATATATATATATATATATATATATATATATATATATATATATATATATATTTATTTATTTATTTATTTATTTATTTATTTATAATATACATTTGCAGAGCATCAGAGTTGGATATGTTAGAAGAAAACAAAAGTATGTGCCATTTTGCTTTTTACAACAATATAATATTTGCTTACATTTTTATTTAATTTCTACTATCCAACATTGTTCACCTTTTTTAGTTGCAAATGTTCTATTGCATTTGCTTGGTGTTGATAACTTTTAAAGTTGGGAGTGTTCTACTACTTTTTTATAGTTACTTAAACAAACATAACCTGTTACACTTATTCTAAAAAAAAAATTGTATAAGCATATGTTAAAGTTATTTTTGTTTTATAGAACAAGACACATCAGTGATATCTTAATATTTTTGGCTTTTTTGTTCTATTTTTAACTTTTAATTTTTTTTACCAATATCTAATTAAAACATTATTATTTTTTTCAGCAGATGGTGATGAGGAAGAAGGCAATAGAAATAGGTAAAAACAAAGGAAGAAAAAATAAATAATTCAATTCTTAGGAAAATTGGGAGATAACCTAAGAAAATCTTGTTAATAATACTATCTTTTCCATTGTGTTACCTTCAGTAACAAGATCTAGTTTATATATATATATATATATATAACTACCATTTTTATATCTTTACACCGGGTTTACACTTCTACATGTATACTATACAAATCTAGGTGGAAAAAACTTGCAGGAAATAAGTATACATGTTGCATTAACATTTTGCTCGATTTTTTCCTAGACATGTAAAGTATACATATCACAAGTGTAAATGCCATGCTAGTTGTGTTTTCTTACATTTGAAATCGATCTAAGTGCAACAATTTATTTATAATTTACAGCAATAAAAACAAGTCCCTTTCTACCAACAACTCCAACATAAGAAAATGTAAGTTACTCTATAATTTTGAGAATTTTCAGATAATATGAAATTGATACTTTAGTAATAATATATTTTTAGTTAAGTATGCATCTTTATGACAATGCTATAATTTTGTGTTAAAATTTCTGCTGTCAAATGCAAATAAAAGTTTTAATAACTCTAACCAAAAAAAAATAGGTTATCAATTGGTCCTTTCAAATTATGAAAGTTTTTTTATATTTGTGTATAGAATTGATCTCTGTATTCAAAATTAACTCAGTGTAAACACTTAATCAGTGCAAATGTCTTTTACAGTGCCACCCATAGGAGATTACAATGAAAATTATGATGACCTTTCAAAGTGAGTTTATTTGACTGTATCACAAATACTATACTACATATTTACACTTTAAAATTACAAGGTTTATTTGATTACAGAACACATCTTTTGGTTCAACAATGTTTGTTCTGAGACAATTAAAAAAGTATGTTTAAATTAATTCATTAAGAGCTTAATGAGACATGTTCACGTCACATTTCCTCACTAAATGTATTGCTTTGAAAATTTTTTTAAGCATTTTGGACTTGTAGCCCTATTTTCTTTTACAAAAAGTCCAATACAAATAAATGCGCAAAATAAATAATTAGAATAAACATTCTTCTCCTCAAGGGTTTTCCTCTTTTTCCTCTAAATGAGCCGGCCCGCAGCATAACATACGCCGCTATTTAGTTGTTGTTTTTTCTACTTTTCAGTAATTCATAATTTGTGAATTCAACAGTACCAACGCTGCCACTGAAAATATTTCTTTAAAACACTATAAGTAGCTCGTTAAGGACCATAACCCCCCCCCCATCCTTCCTTCCCCCCCCCTCCCCCTACGTTTAAAATCATTGGCTCTGCTTGTAACCATTTAGAGTGAACACAGCTCACTAAGACCATGTAGGGGTGGGGAGGTAGGGAGCGCGTTTACAGCTTGTTTTCTAGCGGCTCCCAAAAGAGAGTTATATATATAGATAGCTAGATGTGTTAAATTACTCAGACACCTGGGGTGAGGAGTTGTGTCAGTTTGGTGGTTTTAGATTAATTGAGCAAGAGAAATTTTCACTGAATGAATGATTAATTACAGAAAATAAAAAGCTGAGGTTCTAGAAGTATATGCAAATTGAAACAATGCAGCCAGTTATGTAAAGAAACAGTTGAATTAACCAACTGGTCATAAAGGAAACATGTCTTTAAATTTGGTCATACTGACAGTTCAAAGTTGTTAATTACATTTTTACTTAACCTCTGACATATTACCTTTCAAAGAGATGCCCACTATTATAGTTAAGGCTGTAATACCTCGGAAATATTTATCTTTGAGACTTATAACTAATGTAAGACCTAAATTTTTAAAACATTTAGGTCAAAACAGATGCTTTCAAGAGGAATTCAACAAAAAATAGGTAACTATGACACTATAGGTCCAAGTATTAATTCTTGTAAAAGTATTAAAGCTTATCTGATAGTGATGGTCAGCTTAACAAATCTCAGATTTTATTGTTTTTATCATTTTCTGTTTACTTTATTTCCTTACATTTAAAAAAGAAATATAGGTTTAGATTTAAGTATAATTGGATCCCCACTAATTTTTTTAGACCTATTTGTTATTGTTTTATTGAAGTAAAATATTTATTGTTTAGTAGAGAAGTAATGAATTCAGTCAATATTTCTCTTCTTTAAAACAATGCATGACATTTTTTTTCTTTACTAAAACACTCAACTTGATTTACATGCACATTTTGGATCAAATACAGACAAGAATAAAGGGTTGAACCAAGAAGATTTTTTTAGCATTCTACAATTCAGAGAAACAGTGGATCTATTTTAAAACTTATTTAAAAAATTTTTTTAAATGTGGAGCAATAGTTTTCTTTAAGTCAACTTTATAAAAAAAGTTTTTTTCTTGTTTCAGATAATCCTAGATTTGTTTACATTGGAAGAAATAAACCTGAAACTGTCAAGAACAAGTAAGCTCCTTACAAATACTATATTTTGAGAATATTCATGACTCAACATATCCTTGCATAACACCAATTTCACTTTATATTGTGTGCTGTAATAAATTGCTATGTTTTGCAGTAAGCCCTTTTCACAGTGGGAGTTAAGGAAAACACTACAAAGAGGGGATGTTGTGGTAAGCCTTAAGTCCATAATTTTAACTTGTTAAATTTTTATAATAAAATCACTACATTAGAAAAGTATCAGTTATCATTTGCTTTCTATCATTGTATGTTTATTGTATTTTAGTTGCATTTCATTTTTCATGAAACAATGGGCATTTTTTATTGTAGTTCAACTCATCTTTAAAGACCATAATGGTCAAATAAACCTTATATTTTAATGATAGGACACAGATTTTTCTTGTATTTTTTTAAGAATAATTTATTTTCAATATTGTGAAGCACATACTATGTGGCTGCTTTAAAAAGACACATTAAAATATTGACTGTTGTACTCTGCCTGGCTTAAGAGAATTGATTGAGACTTATGAAACAGTACCAGTGTCTAGAAATTAAAAGAATTATTACATTTGTAGGGTACTGAGTGGTTAGATTATAACGACCATGCATATGATCCACTGGATGAGAAATGGTCAGTGGTAAGTATAGTTTAAAGTGTTTTTAGCAAACTTTCAAAAATGAAATTTTTAATTTAATTTAAAAAAAATTTTGTTTTTATTTTAACACGTTTTTCTTAACTCAGCTTCGCGTTTGTTTGTTTGTTTGTTGTTAAAATTGACATCGAAAATTAGCCCACTTCTGATTGCTCTAGAGATCTGAAATTTGGCATGCAGGCTACTTTCGCCTAACAATTTCAGATGCAATCATAAAAACTAGCAATTAGAGACCGTAATTAGCTTAATTTAATTACGCCCCAAGGACCATAAAATTGAGGACATGATTTCTAAAGATACCGACAAGACTGGAGGCCTATTGAGACAGTTACTTCGGCCCCAATCGATGTGAGCGCGCTGGCCGTGATCGTATAGTGGTTAGTACTTCGCGTTGTGGCAACCCAGGTTCGAATCCTGGTCGCTCAAGATTTTTAGTCCGTGTATTTATAAACACTTAGTCAAGTCATACTTAATCAAGTCATTAGATCAAGTAGAAAATAAACTATATAAAAAACTTTTTTAAAAACCACGTTTTTCATGTGTAGCAACGGACTAAAAAGGAGAAAATAAAATACTTAAAAAAAACTTTTTAAAAAACCACGTTTTTCTTGTGGACTAAAAAGTAGAAAATAAATTTTTCTTTTGTGCTTCCTCGAGCTGTGCAGATTCTTGTGATGACTGACAAAAAACGTGGGTCGGGCAGATGGGTCGGGAAATTTGATGGTGAACGTACCCATGTTTTTTGTCAGTCATCACAAGAATCTGCACAGCTCGAGGAAGCACAAAAGAAAAATTTATTTTCTACTTTTTAGTCCACAAGAAAAACGTGGTTTTTTAAAAAGTTTTTTTTAAGTATTTTTTTTTAATTTTTTTTAATTTTTGTTTTGTTTTTATTTTTTAATTTTTTTTAATTTTTGTTTTGTTTTTAAAACATTTTAAAAATTGTTATATGATAACGATTTATGATAACCTTTTTTAATTCTGTTACTGTTTCTTTAATTTAAAAATTCTTGTTTGTTTTAGAGTAAATTTCAATTACACCATTATGATTTTGGATGTAACATTATCTTATATATGTTTGATGTGCAAAATGTCAAAATATATAAAAGTAGAGTAGATAATTCTTTTTTGCCTTTTAGAATTGAATATTCTAAAACATAATTTTTATTCCTCTCATTAAATTGATGGTCTATAGGATCATGAAGTCTGTTTATTATTACCATTATTTTTAACACCAGTGGTATACTATTGCAGAAATAGAATAATAATTGATATTATAAGGTAAGAGTTAGATTTTAGTCTCAAAATTAGGGTCTGACTGATCTACTTAATTATGATTAAACTGAAATAGTGATGCTCATTTTCAGTGCATTCATCAAGTAGCATTAAATCTGTATAATTTTATTCTCCAGGTTAGTCGAGGGGCCCTTGTTATCATGATAAGGAAGAGTCTTTTACTAAAGTACCTGAGAAAAGAATGGTAACAGATTGTTCTCAACTGAGGTAAAAGGGCTTGGCCAGAACAATTTGAAGTTATTTTGGCAAACACAAGGCATGATGCATTTCAGCTGTCACCCAACTTCAGGTCCTCATATTAAATGTATTATAGAATGAACCCCAGCACATTGTTTTCCCAATAGTATCTCACTTATTTTGACTTTATTTGTGTAGGCCTATATTAAGACCTTTTACCAAGTTGGCCTTTACAATTATTTAGGTTTGTTATTTAATGATGAGGCTCCATTAATTCACATGAGTGAGTAGATTTTAGTTGCTTTACAGTTTAAAAATACTTTGTATTTCAAAGGAGGTCTGAAGTTTGTTTAAGTATAGGCCTATTATTATGTATTATAAACATTTTAATAAACTATACATATGTGTAATGTTAAGACAAGACCTTTAGAGATTTGATGCATATCTGTAAATGAAATGCCTACACTATTATTATAAAACAAACTTTGGTATATTCTAGATAGGAATAATCATCATAAATATTGTTTAAAATTATTTTTGTGATACCATTGTTTATAGACATATTGTACATTCTGTTTCCAAGTAATGTTTTTTAACACATTCACATATATGTTAATCTCTTTATAAATGTAGGTTTTTTTTTCTTCATTTACCAAACTAGATAATAACCTATATATTGTCCATTAGTTCATGGAGATAAAACTGTACTACAAAATGAGTTACAGCTAACTAGTTTTGTTTCAGTTATTACTGCACCTACTGATCCATATTTTGGATGTAGAGTTGTAGTACAAAATTGTCACAGCTAATTAGAGTTTTGTTCCAGTTCTTACCACACTCACTGATTTATATTTTTTTTATTTTTTATCATGGATGTAGAGCTGTAGTACAAAAGCTAACTAGAATTTTGTGCCAGTTCTTACTGCACAAACTGATCCATATTTTTATTTTATTCATGGATGTAGAACTGTAGTACAAAATTGTCAAGCTAACTAAAGTTTTGTTCCAGTTCTTACCACACTAACTGATCCAAATTTTTATTTTTATCATGGATGTAGAGCTGTAGTACAAAAGCTAACTATAGTTTTGTTCCAGTTCTTACTGCACTAGTTGATCATTATTTTTATCATGAATGTAGACTATTTTGCACAAGTGTCACAACTGAGAGTTATGTTTCAGGCTAGGCTAGCCTATGGCACTGACGAACAACATGTAGCTCTGAGCCACAACAGGGCTCAAAGTATTATATTTATGATGTTAATGAGAAAAGTTGAGGAAAAAAAGTCTTTTTAAAGTGTATGTTTTAGAATGAAAGCTATAAGGACTAAATTTATTTTATTTCTGCTTTTGAAACACACTTTTAGCTGAAATAATGTATTACATGGCTATTGAGAAATGTATGCTGAGCCCTGTACCAAGAGGCTAGACCACATATAATTTGATAAATATTTTTTATATTATATTTTGTTTGATGCTTTTTACACAATGTTACATTTGTAATAATTTTTTTGTACATACTTATTAAAATATATCTTACTATAATACAAATATTTCATGAGTGATTTTTTTGTCCTTTGAAATCGGCTTTTAATTAGCTTTAAAATGTCATCAATTTCTTGTGATCTTAAACACCAATTGTCTTAATGGCAGCACTCAGCCAGTGTTTCTATCAGACTTTTTTCTCCAGTGGGTTGGGGGAGGACTAAATTTGGGGGGGGGGGGGGGGGGGGGTACTGGAAAAAATATATATTTTCTTTACAAATTTTATTTCGTTGCAGGGAGGAGGGGGACCAATGAAAGAAACTATGCTCTCAGAGGAGAAAATATTCCTCAACACAAGATCATCCTCTTGATCTGGCTAATCAAGTGATTGCTTTTACTTAATTCTCTTATCACACATTTTGTTATTGTATGTAACAAAAAAAATATATAATTGGTAATTTAAAAAAATAACCTTTAAAAATCAATTTTAATGACACATTAAATATCTTTCTTGTTGGTGAACTATGTCATAAGAGGGGCGACCTGTGAACCTAATCTCTCAATATCTATTTTGATTGAAAATTATAAGTTTGTGTATTTTTATAATTGGACCTAAATAATTTACCAGTAAAAGAATTGGGTTGCATTAAAAATTACTCAAAAAATAGTTACAAATCCACCCACAAATATTGTGCTCTAAAAATAATTTAGAATAAATAAAACAAATATAAATACTTTAGAACAGCAAACATCAAACTGCCGTCAGCCTTTATTCTTGATTAAAACCTTACCTATTAGTAATTTCTTGTATCTTTGCAAGTAGAAAACAGTAAAAAGATAAGAGACTACTAAAATCGAAAATTTAATCTGAAGGAACTGTTATGGGTAGGTAGGGTGTGTTCATTTTTAAACATAATTTATGAACAATGCTTCACAATTTGTTTATGTATTGTTTTCTCTCCTCTCTTTTGGTACTAAGTGAAGCAGTGATCTCCCCTTTCTTTTGGGTTGTGTAACTAGAGCATGGGTTCCCAAACTGTGGGTCGCGACCCCCACGGAAGGGCTTTCTGGAGGGGGGGGGAGGTCGCCAGCTGGTAAACTAAACCATTGCAATGAAAAAAAAAACCCATAAATATTTATATGAAGATCTGAAATTCGGCTTTAATAACGTCACTGGAAATGGAATAGAGAAGAAACAAGGCGTACTGTGCAAAGTTATTCAGTCATGAATCTAGGAAACCTTCAAAACTAAAGTGTCATTTTGAGACGAGTCATTCGGAAGTCATTCGGAACACACCAAAAAAGATATGGAGTTCTTTCGTCGGCATGAAGCAGTTGCAAACGTAAGAAACTTGATCGAACAGAAAGTTCTCACCAAGGAAACACAGCATTAGTGCAAGCATCATACGAAGTTACATTAGAAATTGCCAAGCAAAAAAAACAAAAAAAAAAAAACAAAAAAAAAAACCTCACACAATAGGAGGAAATCTCATCAAACCCTGCATGTTGAAGATAGTGAAATTAATTCCTGGGGATTCCAGTGCAGTAAAGATGCAACAAATAGATCATTCCAATAATCAGTGTTTCTTCCAGACTTTTTTCTCCGAGGGTGCACTTGAAATTTTCGGGGGGGGGGGGGGGGGGCGGACTCAAATTCCGTGGGGGGGGGGGGGGGACTGTTAAAAGTGTATATTTTCTATATAAATTCCATTTCGTTCGGAGGGGGGGGGGGTAGACTGTCTTTGGGTGGGGGGGGGGGGAGGTGCCCCCTGAAGAGATGCCTGGAAGAAACTCTGCTAATAATACTATTCAGCGGCTTGCAGCAGACATGTTAAGTAACAAATTTTTAAGATGTGAGTTCGTGTTCGCAGTTTGTGAAATATACTCATGATAGCAAAGAAGAGTTGCTATTTTGTGAAGATATGGAGAAAATACATACTTTTTTTAATTGGCGGATTAAAATGGGAAAACGGTTGTGGTGTTTGTACGGATGGTGCGCCATCTATGCTTGGGGCAAAATCGGGCTTTTAGGAAAAAAAGTAACAGATGTAGCTCCCTCACCAAGGGGAATCCACTGCATGATACAAAGGTATGCCTTCGCCAGCAAGACTCTTCCGACTCCATTGATAATAAAAGTCGTAAATTATTTCAAATCTGGGGCCCTAAACACCCGTCTGTTGAAAGAATTGTGCAAAAGAGACAAGGTTCTGGTTTTCTACATTACAGTACGCTGGCTATCAAAAGGAAATGTTGTGAATCGTGTTTTTGAATTGAAAGATGAAATCAAGTTGTTCTTGGAAGTGCAAGGGAATCAAGGCCTTTTGATATGATTTAATGACAAAGAGTTTTTGGAGAGAGTATCATACCTAGCAGATATATTCGAACATCAACATCAGCTTAACCCGAAGCTACATGGAAAATGAACGAATATTATCGCTTTTTACGTGATAATCGCGGGGCATTTTTTATCAAAGCAGCAAAACTGGCGAAGAAAAATAAATCTTGGAAATATTGCCAATTTTGAGAAACTCTGCTGTGTTGTAGATGAATCAGATTGTGAGATGAATAAAAATTTAAGAGAGGATTCTGGGCATCTTGAATCTCTTGAAAACGAACGGTGGCGTTATTTTCCCTTGAATTGAAAGAAAAAGAATCTGCATTGACACGTTACCCATTCTCTGCTTTCCTTATTGCAGCATTCCCGATGAATTACAAGACGAATTCTGAAATCTGCGGAATGATTCGGCGTCACGTACCGTGTTAAATAAAATAAAACTGCTCACACAATTTTGGTGAAGAATGCACCATTCATACCCGAACGTGAAATTGATTGCCTTTCGAGTTTTAGTTCCTTTTGTGTCTACATAATATCTTTGCGAGAAAAGATTTTCAACACTACTCCAATTTAAAAAAAAAACAATAACTAAGAAATTAATTAATCGTTGAGAATGACATGAGGTTGGCGTTAACAAAACTCAACCGCGAATGTTGAGGCTAGTTAATAGCATGTAATTTCACTCATCGTATTAAAACAGTTATCAATGATAATTCATATTGAAAGTCTACTAGAAAATCTTATTTCTTACTAATTTCGACTTTTCAATACTATGGGGATCGCAGGTAACTTACTTTTTATAAAAAGGGGTCGCCACTCGAAAAAGTTTGGGAACCGCTGAACTAGAGTATACTGGTAGTTTTCACAAGCAGAACGTATTCCCATTTTAGGTTTTTTATTGGAGTTACGTAGCTTAAGTGTTAATAGTGCTTTAAGCTTCTTCGTTGCGCACACGTTTAGGTATCTTATCACAGTACACTTTGTGCTTTGGTAAGTATAATTATGATTTTATGGTTTTAATATGTTAATTAATTATTTTTTACCTTGTAACCATTGGCGCATCTATACCTACAGCGCTTAATTTATTTTAATTCACATTTACTGGAGTATAACCTGCAAAAAAGTCCAAGCATGAAGCCTTGAAAATAAATTCTCCTATTTGATATTGTTTATGGTGTGTTTTACCGATGTTTGGAGCATAAACCAACCACATCACATACGATCGGCATCAAACAGCGCAGGTTCAGAATAGTAATGACCCCCCCCCCCCCCGCACACACACATACACACACGCCCCCCTCTCTCATTACGTAATGATGTATGTACACAGATGTACACAAGGTTCAAGTATCTTGAGACGATGGAGAGACTCAGGCTTGATGGACGTGTGGCAATTATTACAGGTCAGTGGCCGAAGGTCTAGATGTGTCTGGTCAACTGTTGACCCAGGCTTGATGGACGTGTGGCAATTATTACAGGTCAGTGGCCGAAGGTCTAGATGTGGTGTGTGGTCAATTGTTGACTAGATGAGTGGCTAGGTGTGTGGTCAGTTGTTGACTCAGGCTTGATGGACGTGTGGCAATTATTACAGGTCAGTGGTCGAAGGTCTAGATGTGGTGGGTGGTCAATTGTTGACTAGATGAGTGGCTAGGTGTGTGGTCAGTTGTTGACTCAGGCTTGATGGACGTGTGGCAATTATTACAGGTCAGTGGTCGAAGGTCTAGATGTGGTGTGTGGTCAATTGTTGACTAGATGAGTGGCTAGGTGTGTGGTCAGTTGTTGACTCAGGCTTGATGGACGTGTGGCAATTATTACAGGTCAGTGGTCGAAGGTCTAGATGTGGTGGGTGGTCAATTGTTGACTAGATGAGTGGCTAGGTGTGTGGTCAGTTGTTGACTCAGGCTTGATGGACGTGTGGCAATTATTACAGGTCAGTGGTCGAAGGTCTAGATGTGGTGGGTGGTCAATTGTTGACTAGATGAGTGGCTAGGTGTGTGGTCAGTTGTTGACTCAGGTTTGATGGACGTGTGGCAATTATTACAGGTCAGTGGTCGAAGGTCTAGATGTGGTGTGTGGTCAATTGTTGACTAGATGAGTGTCTAGGTGTGTGGTCAATAGTTGACCTAAATAGTAGCTAGGTGTGCAGTTATTATTTGACAAGATGTGTGGCTAGGTGTGTGGTCAATAGTTGACCAGATGAGTGGCTAGGTGTGTGATCAATTGTTGACTCAGGCTTGATGGACATGTGGCTATTATTACAGGTAAGTGGCCGAAGGTCTAGATGTGGTGGGTAGTCAGTTGTTGACTAGATAAGGGGCTATGTGTGTGGTCAATAGTTGACCAGATAAGTGGCTAGATGTGTGGTCAATAATTGACTAGATGAGTGGCTAGGTGTGTGGTCAATAGTTGACCAGTGGCTAGATGTGTAGTCAATAGTTGACTTAATGAGTAGCTAGGTGTGTGGTCAATAGTTGACCAGATGAGTGGCTAGGTGTGTGGTCAATAGTTGACCAGATGAGTGGCTAGGTGTGTGGTCAATAGTTGACCAGATGAATGGCTCGGTGTGTGGTCAATAGTTGACCAGATGAGTGGCTCGGTGTGTGGTCAATAGTTGACCAGATGAGTGGCTAGGTGTGTGGTAAATAGTTGACCAGATGAGTGGCTAGGTGTGTGGTCAATAGTTGACCAGATGAGTGGCTCGGTGTGTGGTCAATAGTTGACCAGATGAGTGGCTTGGTGTGTGGTCAGTAGTTGACTAGATGAGTGGCTAGGTGTGTGGTCAATAGTTGACCAGATGAGTGGCTTGGTGTGTGGTCAATAGTTGACTAGATGAGTGGCTAGGTGTGTGGTCAATTGTTGACCAGATGAGTGGCTCGGTGTGTGGTCAATAGTTGACCAGATGAGTGGCTAGGTGTGTGGTAAATAGTTGACCAGATGAGTGGCTAGGTGTGTGGTCAATAGTTGACCAGATGAGTGGCTCGGTGTGTGGTCAATAGTTGACCAGATGAGTGGCTTGGTGTGTGGTCAGTAGTTGACTAGATGAGTGGCTAGGTGTGTGGTCTATAGTTGACCAGATGAGTGGCTTGGTGTGTGGTCAATAGTTGACTAGATGAGTGGCTAGGTGTGTGGTCAATTGTTGACTAGATGAGTTGCTAGCAGTGTGGTTTATAGTTGACCAGATGAGTGGCTAGGTGTGTGGTCAATAGTTGACCAGTTGAGTGGCTAGGTGTGTGGTCAATAGTTGACCAGATGAGTGGCTAGGTGTGTGGTCAATAGTTGACCAGATGAGTGGCTCGGTGTGTGGTCAATAGTTGACTAGATGAGTGGCTAGGTGTGTGATCAATTGTTGACTAGATGAGTGGCTAGGTATGTGGTAAATAGTTGACTAGATGATTGGCTTGATGTGTGGTCAATAGTTGACCAGATGAGTGGCTAGGTGTGTGGTCAATAGTTGACCAGATGAATGGCTAGGTGTGTGGTCAATAGTTGACTAGATAAGTTGCTAGGTGTGGTCAATATTTGACTAGATGAGTGGCTCGGTGTGTGGTCAATAGTTGACTAGATGAGTGACTAGGATGTGGTCAATAGTTGACCAGTTGGAAAATTTAATTGGTAAGTTGTCAAGATTGAATAAAATAGATGTTTGTCTTATACTTTTAAATATGTGCCTTAAAAATCATTTTTTATTCAATATACTGTAGAAGTGTTTGTATCTGAAGAAACTATTATATTATTCGTCTCCTCTTGCTTAAGATTGTGATAGTACTTATCACATAGTCTTGTAACATCTATTGACTAACCTGGTCGTACCGAGGTATCATATTTCAATTAGGTCAGCTAGAAGAATACTTGGTGCGTGAAGCTTCTAACCCACACAGGAATGCAACATAGACCGTCACGCTTGAATGAATTTCAGAAACTGAATTCTTGGAGTGGGGAATGGGGGAGAGGGGGGAGGTTGTCAGTGCCAACCTGTAGCATGGATACCATCCCGTCCCCCAGCGGACAAAATAGAAAAAAAAATGTACATTTATAAAGAAAGTATATACTTTAAGTATTCACTGCCCTTCATGCTCCCTCCCTCCTCCAATCCCCTACCCCTTGTAGAACAATATCTACCGCACCTTTGTTTCTCAATGTGAAATTCACGTTTGAATCGTAGGTCGTGCCGCAATACAAGGTTAAATATAAACCTCACTCTGTTGCACATACGTTTGGTGCATACAGTTCAGTGCTTCCTTCTGATATGTGCCCATGTTTTTTATGAGCCTTAGAAACGTAATATATACACAATTATTTTACTTTGCTTCCTTGTTTGCTAGGGATTACAGTTTTCATCATCGGCAGTTTTTTTTTCAGACTTTTTTCTCCGCGAGGTGGGGGGGGGGGGGGGTGGTGGTGGGGGTGAAGGGGCGGACACTAGAAAAAGTATAGATTTTATATATAAATTCTATTTCGTTCAGGAAGGGGGGGGGGGTTAGACGTGTTTCGGAGAGGAGAGGGGTATGCCATCCTAAAGGAATGCCTGAAAGAGACACAGCTTATGAGGACTGATACATAATTATGGATAACGTACTTAGCATACATTTTTAAATACCGTTTTGGATTATAACAATCAACCTTCAAGAATCTACCAATGTGGTTAAAAATATTATTAATCGAGGATATTTAATTTTGTGTCCCTAGCCATAGCCATCTTTCATCTTGACCATTTTGTATTTGACTATTTTAATAAGAAAATGTCCTTTCACTAGCATTTGTTTACTTATTGTAAATGGTTCACACGTTTAAAAATAATGAACAATAAAGTTGAAAAATCTTATTCGACTTTTTCTTTTGAGCATCTGCCGTTAACTGATGTCGAAATGGTTGCTAGGCTTAGATCAATTCGAAAGAATAGTGGCACATTTAAGGATCTTCTATAAAAAAAAATGTTATGTATACCTCCCCCTCGTTTCACATTAGAATAGTCCGACTCCCCCCCCCCCCTCATGCCTAGACGTCGTTAATGAAAGACACCTTGATACTCTTTGAAAAGGTTTATTGCGTACATTCGAATGTGCCCTTTGAACAGGGGCGTAGCGAGGGGGGGGGGGGCGGGGTGTGCGGACCGCACCGGGTGACACCATTTAGGGGGGTGACACCAAGGCAAAAAATAGCAAAATATATAGAGAAAAACTTGAGGGGGGTGCAAATCGAAAGTTGAGGGGGGGGGTGCAAATCGAAAACTTGAGGGGGGGGGGGGAGGGTGCAAATCGAAAGTTTGAGGGGGGGGTGCAAATCGAAAACTTGAAAGTTTTTCCCCGGAAAGGGTTGCTACGCCTCTGGGGGGTGACACCATTAAGTGCCGCACCGGGTGACACCCGACCTCGCTACGCCACTGCCTTTGAATAAGTAGTTTTCGTAGAAAAAAAAAGTGTTAGACGTAATTAATTTCGTGTGCGAATTCTACCATTCATAAATATAAAAACAAATGTGATTATCGTTTTGTCTCTCCGCTCTTTACCCTCCCCAAACTCTTTTCTTCATTTTGGTGAATTCATAATTGATTTTTTTGTCATTGCCTCCTATATTTTTCAAGCGTTTGTTCTTCACTATACCCCCCCCCCCCCCCGTCCCGTTTATTTCTATTAAGTACCAATCAAACTGCAATAAAAACTTCAACCTGTTAGTAAAATACCGAAATGCAGTGGTATATCGATCTTCAACAAAGAAGATCAATACCTTAAATCAATTAGGGCTTTGCATTGATCATTTATTTCTAAGACCTAAGTTTTAAGACTAAAACAATCAAGACTATAGCTATAATTTAATGGAAAAAAAAAACGTCTCGATCGCTGGTTTCTTTGAAACCTTAGCATTATATCACGCGTTAGAGTTTTTTTTTTATGTATCGGGTAACTTTAGTTCCTCTTCACGAATTTATCTGGTAACCTTAGTTCATCGAATATATCTGATAAACTAAGTTCAACCAACACGAATATATCGGATAAATTTAGTTCACCAACAGGAATATATCGGGTAAATTTAGTTTACCAACTTACCAACACGAATATATCTGGTAAATTTATTCATCAAGACGAATATATCGGGTAAATTTATTCATTAACACGAATATATCGGGTAATTTTAGTTTACCAACACGAATTTAATGGGTAACCATAGTTCACTAACATGAATATATCGGGTAAGTTTAGTTCATCAGCACGAATATATCGGGTAAATTTATTCATTAGCACGAATATATCGGGTAATTTTAGTTCACCAACACGAATTTAATGGGTAACCATAGTTCACTAACATGAATATATGGGGTAAGTTTAGTTCATCAACACGAATATATCGGGTAAATTTAGTTCATCAACACAACATACAAATATTTTTTTAGACTTGTTAAATGTTTGTATTGCAGTTAAGAGCCATAGTGCTCTACAGAGTAGACATAGTTCATTAACCCTTTATCTACTGACGGTACTTATAAGTACCACTTTAATTAAGTGCCTGTATAATTTTTAATTTAATACGAATTTTAAAAATTATTGATGTAATTAATAGTATTATCTCCCCTGAGTAGCCAGTAGTTAGAGGGATCGATGTACTTTGAAAATTTTTGGTATGGCGCCAATTTCAATCTCTTGCTGTATCGGTAGTTTACAATTGCTCTGTAACGTTCTCACACACGTTCCTGATTTCCTTTTGTTTTACCTTATTCTTGAAGTTTTCATCCCCAAATATTTTTTATTGGCATCTCAAATAGTCAGGCAAACGTGTTTAACTTCTAGTTATACAATTTTAATCAAATTGTCTTTGTATTAGATCGATGTTTACAAGTGGACTTATAAGTACCGTCAGGGCACACGGACATTTTTTTAGGATTTTTAGGAAATGGTAGATTTTTGATGTGGAGTGACATAAATATTATTTTGATAATTAATTATCGAAATGTACTCAAAAAATGATATTTACACATTTATAAGAAAGTTAGCATATGGTTTACATAAGAAATAATGTAATTACATGTTGATTTCTAGTAGTAAAAGAATAAGAAGAATAAAGGTAGCAGTTGAGGGCTCGTTTACTAGGTTTAGTGTACTTCATTTGTATACCAAAGCCTATTTCTAGTAGTAAGATTTAATTTGTTAGTTATATTTACTGCAATAAACTGTCTTGCATACAATAACTAGTATTTACGTAATGTATATCTGTAGACTAGTAATGGTCGATACTTCTGCATATAGTAGGCCTATAGATCTCTATGGTAAATTTTAATCCGTAACCAGGAAACAGTAGGCCACTTCGGCTATCCTAACCACATTGAGCTCACTTCTATTTATGAACTTTACACTGTAGTGTAGACTTGTCATAACATTCTAGTAGGCTACAATTATACTAGTATTACTAGTAGTTGTGTACTGAATGACTAGGCTTTTGTTTGTTTATGCGGCTCATTGTAATGGCTATTGGAAGCCTCCATCAAAAGCATGTTCAGTCCGGCAACTGTTGCCACACCAGAAAGACGACAGACAAGAATGTCTCAGGAATGAGGAATGAGGGAGCATGACATGTCGGCAACTTTTGCTGTATTTGAGGTCTAAGATGTATTCCGATAGAAAATCCAATAAAAATCGTACTCAAAATATACTTTTGTGCTGTATTTATGTGTGAAAATTACAAAAAAATTACGGTTATAATGATTGCCATGTTATTAGTCAATAAATTGTATCGTTTGTTACTGTTTTGGAAAAAAAAATTTTTGGAAAAAATATCCTACATTCCTGACGGTACTTATAAGTACCAATATCTGTTTGGGCCATTAAAAATTTATGAAACGAAATTTCCTTCGACATATGCTTTAAATGTGCCAAAAGCAATATGACAACAAGTTGTTTAAGAAGAAATTTCATTCAGAACATAATTCCGTAAATAAAGGGTTAAAAGAAAAAAAAACCGCGTCTTTGGTTTCGGTTGAGTAATGCTAGGTATAGTATAATACGATTTATTTGCAGAGTGCTTTGGATGACTGCACACTTGGCATTGAAAGACGGGTGTGACGCAAAATTGTGTTACGAAAACATGAAGGCCAATATAAAGTTATTTTGGTTTTAAAACGTTTTTATAATACTAAAAATACACCATGTTGAAGAAGTTTTCTTCGGTTCTACTTTTATTCGTAACATTTGAAATTTTCTTCAGTTCTACTTTTATTCGTAACATTTATCAGCGTTATGTTTGGGTACATGCTTTGTACTTTTTTTTAGAGCAGATTTATGCAATCATATGATCACTTATAGACACAACAATTTGACTTCTGGAATGACCTGTTTTTCCAAAGGAAATTTAGAAAATTCTAGTGTTTAAAGTCGAAATTATATTATAGAAGATTAAACTGTTAAGGGGTCGTCCATGAATTACGTCACACTCGTAAGTGGGAGGGGGTCTGTAATTTTGTGACGCGTGTAATGAGACGGAGGAGGGGGGGGGGTGTTCAGATGGTGTGACGTCACACTTTTGCATTATAAAGAGGCAATGTTGAAAAAGAATTTTAACTGTTATTTCGCGTTTTAGAAAACTGTTTTAATAAATTGTAATAAGAATTGATTAAAATACTCTATTTTGACAAAAGAGTTTAAACATGATTTTGGAAAAATATCGTATTTTTTAAAAAATTCAACTGCAATTTTAGAAGGGGGAGGGGGGGGGGGGGTTGTAGGATGAGGTGTTTCGTCATTTTAGGGGGGTCTGGCTTTCTGTGACGATGTGTGACGGAGGGGAGGGGGGGAGTTAAAAATCGTCAAAAAAAGCGTAACGTCATTTATGGATGACCCTTAAGTTTGGTTCGCTTATTTACAAAGTCTTAGTCAATTCTTTAATATCGATTATCGACTAACATGTTCCATCTTCAGTCGACATTGTACTTGTGTCGTTCTTATTCTCCTTCATTTTGTTTTATTGTAATACATATTTCAGTCTGCATTTCATTTTTATTTTGGAGTTTTCTCTCCTAGATAGGTTGCTGTATTCAGCTATCGAGCCTCATCTGCCCGTGGGCAAATGTTTCTAATATTTCAACTTAACTATGGTCAATAACATACTTCAATGCCTAGGTTACACTGGATAAAACTATGAATACCTTTTTTATTTTAGTTCGTCAACATCTTTATTACCTCCCCTGCCTATATCTACAGGTAGCAGCTCTGGTATAGGGGAAGAAACTGCGTTATTGTTTGCCAAGCGTGGTGCAAGAGTTACCCTCCATGGACGGGACGAGAAAAAACTGGCAGACGTTGAACGGAGAATTAACCAGCCGGACAAGGTGATTATTAAGTTAATTAATTAAATGAAAAGTAATAAATACACTCGACACTTTAAAAATATTAAAAATATGAATTACGTACATATGCAGTGAAACGACGACAACTATATTTGTGTTAAGGGAATACCTAATAGATCATACATTAATACAGTGTTTCTTCCAGACATTTTTCTCCTTGGGCACTTGAAATTTTTAGGGGGGGGGGGGGGCGGTAGACTTTCTTCGGGGGGGGGGGGGGGCGGACACTGTTAAAAGTATATATTTAATATATAAATTATATAAGTTTCATTTCGTTTGGGGGGGGGGGGGAGGAGGGCAGCAGAATTTTTCCGGGGGGGGGGGACGACTTCGACCCCCCCCCCCTGGAAGAAACTCTGCATTAATATGAGGAGACGGGAGATTAGGTTTGGGATAGTGAAAGTAATATAGCTAGTGTTAGGGTTAGATATAGGGATATGATTAGGGGTAGGAGAAGGGTTAGGGGTAAAGGATATGGATATGAATAGGGTTAGGTATTGGCTTACAGATATTGACTGTGAAAGGAAACGGATGGGTAGGTGGAAATTGATGGGTGTGTGCTTAATATGTATTTTGAAATTGGGGATGGGGTTGATGGTGGTTGGCTATGTTAATAAACCACTAACCATTAGTTAACAAGCCCCATATCAGACCCTGATAGTTGTGTGGTTTCTCCAGAGACCCTGATAGTTGTGTGGTTTCTCCACAGACCCTGATAGTTGTGTGGTTTCTCCAGAGACCCTGATAGTTGTGTGGTTTCTCCACAGACCCTGATAGTTGTGTGGTTTCTCCAGAGACCCTAATAGTTGTGTGGTTTCTCCACAGACCCTGATAGTTGTGTGGTTTCTCCACAAGACCCTGATAGTTGTGTGGTTTCTCCACAAGACCCTGATAGTTGTGTGGTTTCTTGTAGTTATGTGGTTTCTTGTAGTCGTGTGGTTTCTCCACAGACCCTGATAGTTGTGTGGTTTCTTGTAGTTGTGTGGTTTCTTGTAGTTGTGTGGTTTCTCCACAGACCCTGATAGTTGTGTGGTTTCTCCACAGACCCTGATAGTCGTGTGGTTTCTCCAGAGACCCTGATAGTTGTGTGGTTTCTCCACAGACCCTGATAGTTGTGTGGTTTCTCCACAGACCCTGATAGTTGTGTGGTTTCTCCACAGACTCTGATAGTTGTGTGGCTTCTTCACAGACCCTGATAGTTGTGTGGTTTCTCCACAGACCCTGATAGTTGTGTGGTTTCTCCACAGACCCTGATAGTTGTGTGGTTTCTCCACAGACCCTGATAGTGGCAGGGGACATCACCGAGGCAGCGGTCAGACAAAAACTGGTGGACGCGACGGTTGAAAAGTTTGGACGTCTGGACATTCTGGTCAACAATGCGGGGTTCGGACATTTCTCCTTCATCAAGGACCTGACGGAGGAAGCCTTCGACCACTGCCTCAACGCCCTTCTTAAGGCGCCCGTGTTCCTGTGTCAGGCAGCTCTGCCTCACTTGATCCAGTCGAAAGGTGAAAACATGGTCCAAATACCGAAACACGAATTGTGAAAGGTGAAAACATGGTCCAAATACCGAAACACGAATTGTGAAAGGTGAAAACATGGTCCAAATACCGAAACACGAATTGTGAAAGGTGAAAACATGGTCCAAATACCGAAACACGAATTGTGAAAGGTGAAAACATGGTCCAAATACCGAAACACGAATTGTGAATTTCTGTGGTCTAATTACCGAAACACGAATTGTGATTTTTCTATGGTCTAAATACCAAAAGACGTGTTGTATTCCCGTAGTCTAATAACCGAAACACAAGGTTGTGATTTTATGTGGTCTAGCTACCGAAATAACGGTGATTTTCTGTGGTCAAATTACCGAAACACGCATTGTGATTTTCTGTTATTTAGTTAATGAATTACGTTTAATGAAAGAAATTGTGTTTGGTGCTTTTTAAGTATTAAAGAAAAAAAAGTGTAGGTGTTTTTTTAGACAATTTACCTACCAACTGTTAATTTTCTGTGTGTTGAGAGTGTTCATAAAGTTTTATTTTTTTAAAATACTTATTTTATTTTATTGAATATCTAGCTAAGGTGGGGCATAACTCATTAAGCTTAAAGCGGTATCGTTAGAAGAATACTGTATACATTATTTCCAAACGTTTTATGTGTTATGATCGATGCCGGAAGGATTGTATATGTGCATTAGTGTACCTGGTGTATGAAGTATAATACAGAATCAGTGGTGTGTGTTGAATTGTGATGAGTGTTCAACGAACACGAACTAATGGTTCACTGTTTTTTTCCTCCAGGGAATATTGTCAACGTGAGTTCCGGCCTAACTGTAGCACCGGTAGGTGGCGCCATCTTATGTTGTGTTAATTACTACACTGTATAATGCACCCCCATACTTCATTATAACACTCCAAACCCCATAACATCTCATTACCCATTACTTTCTCGTCATACCAATTAGCTTCATATTATCTCATGACACCCCATAACATCTTTTGATACACCATAGTTCTACAAAGTGAGATGATACAACATAGTTCTACAAAGTGAGGTGATACAATATAGTTCTACAAAGTTAGGTGATACAACATAGTTCTACAAAGTGATGTGATACAACATAGTTCTACAAAGTTAGATGATACAACATAGTTCTACAAAGTTAGATGATACAACATAGTTCTACAAAGTTAGATGATACAACATAGTTCTACAAAGTTAGATGATACAACATAGTTCTACAAAGTTAGGTGATACAACATAGTTCTACAAAGTTAGGTGATACAACATAGTTCTACAAAGTTAGATGATACAACATAGTTCTACAAAGTGAGGTGATACACCATAGTTCTACAAAGTGAGATGATACAACATAGTTCTACAAAGTTAGATGATACAACATAGTTCTACAAAGTTAGGTGATACAACATAGTTCTACAAAGTGAGGGTATACAACATAGTTCTACAAAGTGAGATGATACAACATAGTTCTACAAAGTGAGGTGATATAATATAGTTCTACAAAGTTAGGTGATACAACATAGTTCTACAAAGTGAGATGATACAACATAGTTCTACAAAGTGAGGTGATACAATATAGTTCTACAAAGTTAGGTGATACAACATAGTTCTACAAAGTGATGTGATACAACATAGTTCTACAAAGTTAGGTGATACAACATAGTTCTACAAAGTGATGTGATACAACATAGTTCTACAAAGTTAGGTGATACAACATAGTTCTACAAATTGATGTGATACAATATAGTTCTACAAAGTGAGATGATACAACATAGTTCTACAAAGTTAGATGATACAACATAGTTCTACAAAGTGAGGTGATACACCATTGCTCTACAAAGTGAAGTGATACACCATTGTTCTACAAAGTTAGGTGATACACCATTGTTCTACAAAGTTAGGTGATACACCATTGTTCTACAAATTGATGTGATACAACATAGTTCTACAAAGTGAAGTGATACAACATAGTTCTACAAAGTTAGATGATACAACATAGTTCTACAAAGTGAGGTGATACAATATAGTTCTACAAAGTGAGATGATACAACATAGTTCTACAAAGTTAGATGATACAACATAGTTCTACAAAGTGAGGTGATACACCATTGCTCTACAAAGTGAAGTGATACACCATTGTTCTACAAAGTTAGGTGATACACCATTGTTCTACAAAGTTAGGTGATACACCATTGTTCTACAAATTGATGTGATACAACATAGTTCTACAAAGTGAAGTGATACAACATAGTTCTACAAAGTTAGATGATACAACATAGTTCTACAAAGTGAGGTGATACTATATAGTTCTACAAAGTGAGGTGATACACATAGTTCTACAACGTGAGGTTACACACCATAGTTCCACAAAGTGAGGTGACATATCACAGACCTATATCATCACGTGACCACACAAAACACTACTGCTCTATATTATTACGCGCCACCCCATAATCCTAGAAAATCACGTGACAAACCATTACACCATACCACAACTTGAACACCATAGTAGAGTAAGTTCAACTGACTCCCACCAAAAAAAAAAAAAAAAACGTGTATATACTACTGCAACGTGCCACTATTTACGGGTACCGTTTAACTTATCTCCACAGAGCCCAGGCATGTTTGCATACGCCACTGCCAAGGTTGGGATGGAATATTTCATGAAAGCCGCCTCTTTGGGTGAGCCGGCTTTGTATAAGGGTTCTATTAAGTGCATAACTTTGATTATATATATATATATATATATATATATATATATATATATATATATATATATATATATATATATATATATATATATATATATATATATATATATATATATATATATATATATATAGGTTGGATTTGGCAAAGTTGGCTTTTAAATCTTGAAGCACTTCTAATGAACCAATTTTCTGATACGTTCGTCTGCAGTGACAATGCAAGAATATAATTTTTTTTTACAAATCTGATTACACATTAGCTTAGTCAATAACATTTTATTTAAAAATATGAAGTTCAATACTAACATTGGAGATAAAGAGATTAAATACTAGTGATCACTCTCTCAATTTTGGTCGCAAAAACTATGTAACAGATCTTATGTGCGAACAAAACTTTTATTAAAAAAAAACAAGTTTGTTTTGGTGAATTGAAAGATTACTACTATAAGGTGTTTAATGTTTTTTTTATTTAGTGTACACATATTTTAACACTGCTCACTTTTACTTCACAAAGTAGCTATATAAAGTTGTATGTGTGTGTGTGTGTGTGTGGGTGGTGCTGATATTGCGTGTGATGGAGAAGAAGTGGAAAATGCGAGAATGTACGTTTATCTAGTTGAGTTTATGTTAGACTCTTAAATTCCGGAATTAACTTCATAATTGTTATTTATCCCAATGCAACAGTGAGCGTGTTATTATGGTTATTTACTTGAATTAATTTGAGAATAATTTGTTAAAAAATGTAATAATTGCTGCTGTAGCTCAAAAAAAAAAAAAAAAAAAAAAAAAAAAAAAAAAAAAAACAAACCCACAAACAAAAACAAATGTTTGTAATTAAAATAAAATTTGTATTTTATTTTATATTTGCATCTCACAGAGTTCCATGAAATTGGCATCCGCGTCAACACAGTCACGTATGTACATGCTTAAGTGACTAGCTATGCAACAGTTAAACAAACTTCCATTCGCTAGCTAGCAGCACGCAGGTGGTGTAGAGTTTACCTGTTTCTGTGCCCACGGTGGTCTATGTAGATAGGGGTCATCCATTTATGACGTCCACACGCGGGGGGGGGGGGGGGGGTCCCGAAAAAAACTGACTTTTGTGGACGCATATGGACTTTTATAAGGAAAAAAGTGCATTTTTGTGGACGGGGGGGGGGGGGGCGTCATAAATGGATGACCCCATAAAGGGGCCAATGCGTTGATCATGTCAACTTTTCACAACATTTTCAACATTTGAAAACATGAATTCTATTTTATTTTTGTCGACGTTAGAAACATTTACTTCACCACAGTGAAACCCATAACCCACACACAATACGCCAAAGTGGAAAATGTTACAGAGAATTTCCCAAAGTATTATTATCCAGATGACTTATAGTTTAAAATAAACTATTTTTACAATAGTCACCCACTCGGATTCGGTGATTCATGGGCAGATGAAGTAGAGTTCAATTAAAAATTATAAAAGTTAAAATTAATTTTATACTTTTTGTTGTTTTGTTTTTTTAAATGCAGACCAGGAGTGATTGAGACGCCAATTTTTGACAAATTTTGTCCATCAGAAGAAATGAAAACACAGGTCAGATTATAATGCCACTAAATTACCAAGTTTAAGTTTACTAAGTAGATAAGCAGAAGTATTTCTTGTATTACTGTTTATAGTTGATTTCCGGACGAAGCGATAGGAACAAAAAAAATTGTTCATTTCTCTTCAAGTTTCTTCAAATATTAGTTTTTTATTTTCTTAATTGTTAAAGTATAATTAATTGTTTTACTTTTTTTATTTTGAGTTAAGAGCAACTATTAACTGTGAAAAAAGTTTTGACTATCTGTCTTCAAATTTCTTCAAATATTAATTTTGTTTTTAATTATTAGAGTATAATTAATTGTTTTACTTTTTTATTTTGATTTAAAAGCAACTATTAACTGCTCTATTAACTGCTGTAAAAGTTTTGTTTATTTTTCTTCAAGTTTGTTCAAATTGATTTTCTTCTTAACTGTTACAGTATAGTTGATTTTTTTTATTTACTTTTTTGTTTTGTTTTAGGAGCAACTATTAACTGTGTAAAAGTTTTGACTATTTGTCTTCAAATTTCTTTAAATATTAATTTTGTTTTTAATTATTAAGTATAGTTAATTGTTTTACTTTTTTGTTTTATTTTAAGTGCGACTGTTATTTTAAAAGCATTTATTGTAAAGTAAAGTTAAGATCCCTTTTCAAACCTGACGGTCTATAGGGGCAAGTGAAGTAGAGTACACTTGTTTCTGTGACCTCAGCAATGAAGAGATAGTGTGGTCAGCACTATGCCTAGCCGCCTTTACTTTCCCTAACGTGTGTTAGGTATCCATCAAAGTTGGGTGGACTCAGGGACGGTCTATTGACTTGAACCCGGATTCGAACTCGAGACTTACGGGTTTGCGTTCCAGCTCTCTACCGCTAAACCACTCCGTAAAAGCAATTATTACCTGTGTAAAAAGTCACTATTTATACCCTTATCTTATGTAGCTCCTGAACCAAAACGCTAAACAAACGCTGCTGGGCAGAAATGGACAACCACAGGAAGTGGCCGAGGCTATCGCATTCCTGGCGTCTGACGCGGCAAGTTTCATGACGGCTGCTGACGTCTTCATAGATGGGGGGCGTCGAGCCTTCTACCACAGCGGGGAGAAGGCCCCGATGCCGAATTATGATGACGTAATGTTGAAAACCGGACATTGACGCACGGAAGATGCATGCATCAGTTCAGGTGGGTTTCGGAAGCTGTTTTTTTAGCCCTCGTAAGCCCTAAATTCTACATTCCACTGTCATTTTTCTTTATCCAGGGGTGGGGGGGGGGGGTCCAGTCTATTGCTTGCTTCGCGATGTTGTCCTTTTCTTTTTTCAGGGCTTATGCCCAATTGATATACTTATGTAAGTATAAAATTGACATTTAACCTAACGTCACAACGAAACTAATTATACATTATTTGTTTATGTTGCAGGAAAGAAGACATTGGAAAAACAGCAAACACAATCAAATTTAAATATTTACTGATCTTAAACTGCATCATTTCAATAAAATATTAGTTTCAGTTGCTTTCAGAAATTTTTCTTCTGCAAATGAATTTTGTTACCTGTTGTTAGTATTTTCTGGTGTAAATTTAATAGCCTACAATAATAATCGTATTACTAAATGCATCAAATGAAATTACTCTAATTATACTACTATAATAAGACAATAAAACTTATATTAAAACAACAACAGCGCTAAGCTTGATTTTTAAGTGTATTTTTAAAGATGCTGATTCAACACTCTATTGAATTTTATACTATGATAGATTATACTCATCAAATAAGTAGTATCTTATTTAAACAAGTAATACGGAATTGGAGTTTGCGTATTCCCTCCTTTCTGTGGTTGCTTAATAGCAAGTTTTTTTGGGGTTTTTAAAAATTTTGTTACTAGCTTCTTATAGTGATCTTTTTTTATCGTAGCTCATCGGTAATCGCTACTGCAGTAAATAGATGCAATTATAGTACACACAGTGAACAGGTACCAACATAAAGGGTGGGGGTGTTAAATATTAGTCCTGTAGAAGATTCAAAATAAATCGTGTAAATTAAAAGGGGGAAAGCATTCCACCAGTTGCATAAGTATTTTCCCTTGCCTTCAGAAGAACTCAGCTGATTTATAACCAAGAAAAAACAAAAAAAAAGGATATCTTCCATTAACCATCATAAATCCGTAAAAGATTGTGCAGATGGATATGCCTTATGATAAAGAAACCATTAGTGAATATTACTAGAAAGGCATGTCATGGAATCAACAATAATTAAGAAAGAAGAACCCAAAAAATAACTGGTGTAAAGAAATCATAGAAAAAAACAACAACATGAAAGTAATGGGACAGAACTCGAAAAAATAAAATGGGAGACAATAGCTGAGGACAGAAAAGCACGGAATGAAGTTGTGAATTTCCCGGCTACAGGACATTACCCCCCTGGATATTTCCCCCCCGGACATTTCCCCCCCCCGTATTTACCCCCCCCCCCCCCGGAGCAATTACCCCCCTGTCAATTACCCCCTTGTCAATTACCCCCCGGGGAATTACCCCCCTCCTCTCAAGTTAAAATCCTAACTCTAACTAGAATTTTATCCCAATATACTACTTTAATCCAAACCTTAAGAAAAAGACCAAAACCTAAGCATCCACCTTATCCTAAAACTTCACACAAAACCAAAACCAAAGCTAGACACAACCCTAACCCTAAAACTAACTCTAACCCTAGCCCTAACACTAACCCTAACCTTAACCCTAATCTTAACCCTAACCCTAGCCCTAATCTTAACCCTAACCCTAACCCTAACCCTAACACTAACCTTAACCCTAACCCTATCCCTAACCCTAACCCTAGCCCTAAAACCTAACCCTAACCCTGTCCGGGGGGGTAATGTCCTACTGGGCGGGGGGTAATTGACAGGGGGGTAATTACTCTGGGGGTAATGTCAGGGGGAAATATCCGGGGGGTAATTGACAGGGGGGAAATGCCCTGTTCCCGAATTTCCCATACTCCACTGTGAGTGAGTTGAAGAAAGCGAAGAACAATAACCATTCTCTTCGCATTGGCTTGGTGAAAATTCTCTTCCCACTTTACTTTTCCGGTTTGCTTTTTAAATAATTACATAACTATATTAGAGTTAATTAGAGTAAGCTTTTACACACAAAACTATAATAAGGACCATAACCCTAACCCCTAAGCACTAATGGGCATAAGTTAAGCTATCGCTTTTTTCATAGTTGTGGTTCTATTAACATGGTTTCAATTATACCTATCAGATTTAGTTTCTGTTATATTTTAAAGAAGTAATTAAAACATTTCATTACAAAACTTTATGGAGCCTCTATCTGTATGACACGATAAGATAAGAGAGTAAGTATTTAAAAAGTGTGTTTGCAACAAGACGACGGAGGTCACTATCTTATGTTACTTGACAGCACAATGCAGGCTCGGATCATTTTTCTGGCTATTTGTTTAATAGGTAATTATGTTCTCGTTAAAGATTTATGATAGTAATAGTTTTTATTTTTATTTACAATTTTGTTAACTGTAATTTGTTTTTTGGTAACACAATATTATAAATAAAAATGGATGTCTATGTTATTCCAATATCAATGGCTCACATTCAGGATCTCTACGCATCATACATACATACACACATATTTATATATACGTATATATATATATATATATATATATATATATATATATATATATATATATATATATATATATATATATATATATATATAAATGTGTTTATACATATATAGTATATACGTATAAATAACTATTATATATATATATATATAAATAACTATTATATATATATATATATATATATATATATATATATATATATATATATATATATATATATATATATATATAGGCCTATATATATATAGGCCATACACACATATATATATATATATATATATATATATATATATATATATATATATATATATATATATATATGTAACGAGTCCCCGAGTCTATCCTGCCGACAACGCCAAATGTAACGAGTCTCTGGCTACCCTGGCGACAACGCCAAATGTGACCTTCCCGAGTCTAACCACTCATTCCACACAACATTGACCACAGCATAGATACTCGAAGATGCAGGTTCATTATTGATCCTTTTATTACATGAATCAAAGAATGCTTCACAATAATATAATGAATCAAGAGAGATGTTTCACAATAATAGTCTGAATCAACGGACCCCCAACAGTCCTCACTAGGCTTCATCTAACTGAATACACATGTCTAACGTCCTTCTTAACACAATATAACCAACTTGATACTGCCACACAGACTCACTGAGAGAGAGAGACTGACGGACTGACTGACTGACCGACCGACTGACTGAGAGAGACTTCCTGAGAGACCGACTTTCTGAGAGAGAGAGACTGACGGACTGACTGACTGACCGACCGACTGACTGAGAGAGACTCTCTGAGCTCGGCCGTCGCCTTCCTTATATCCCCTTCATAATCGTACTCATATTCGGTCCTATCATAATCGTAATTGTAATCGATTCTAATCGTTACATCAGACTGTTAATTACGCCGCTTCTGTCGTACAGTCCGATTTTAATAAGCCACCTGCATCCTGTCACATCAAAGTTGACAGACCGTCTTTCGTATCGCTTCCCGAGATACTACGCCTTGGCATCAGCCAACACCTGCACTGTGACGTCAGACTGTAACACGTTATGTCTCTTGGTAACTTCCCCTAGTTACATCCACCCCTGCCTTTTTTTGTGTGTTATCAACCACAAACAACGCTTGGCAGGTGCAGTCCTTCAAAGTCCATCGCACCACCGTAAAAAAAAATCCATTGTTCCACTCACTGTCAATGTCGTCACATTCGTATAAGATTGACAGTTATCCCTATTTCACATATCAAATGTGTCTACATCATCTTCCTCAGACACAAAACAGTTCTAGAATTCACATCCACCTTTTTTCGTTTGGTGCCTTCACCAGTTCATTTGTATGACTTTTTGAACAGTCTGTTTTCATACCAGCGCGACCATGAAAGAATTGATGGTTGCTGACAAAAAATTTCGTATTCTTTCTGTTTCTCAAACTTCTCCGCGGACCACTTATCTGATGGTCTACTGTCTCTCTGCTTTTGGAGGGACCGGGATCCTCCTTGTTGCCGGTATCCTCCCCTTGTGTGTCGCTGTTGTTTTGTTGATGGTGACATGGTTCCGGGATGGGTATGAGAATTTCCGTTATAGTTTCCGGTTCCCTAATTGTCTTGGGTTTCCTTGTGTGTAACTGCTCTCCTTGACTATGACAATATTTCTTTAATTGAGCAATATTCGCCCACCGATCCGGTTTGGTGTGATCGATGGGTCTTATCTTAAAGGGGCCACCTGCTACTTTAGGCATCTCCACGACTTGCCATATCTCCTGTCCCCAGAGATCGTGGATTTTGTTTCTACCTAACGGGTGGCTACGCAGTAATACCCTGTCGTTCAGTTTGAGTGGCGGGTCCTTTGTCTGTACCGGCGGTTCCCTTCGCCGTGCTTCATGTTCTAGTCTTTCCTGTACTACCCTGTACATTTCTCTAATTCGTCTCATATGTTCATTCACATATTCCAGTACAGTGTATGAGCCAGTCATACTCTCCTTTTTTCCTAGGAACAAGTCAAGGGGGAGTCGAGCCTCCCGTCCGAACAGCAACATGTATGGCGAAAAGCCGGTTGTGGCATGGGGTGTGCAGTTGTATAGATATACCAACTCTGGGAGAAAATCAGGCCAACGTTTTTTCTGTTCAGGTTCTAGCGTACGCAGCAAATCATGCATGCTGCGGTTGAACCGCTCGCACTGTCCGTTTCCTTTCGGATTAAATGTGGTTGTTCTAGATTTGTTGATCCCGTAGTGGCTGCACAGTTGGTTAATTACTTCTGACTCAAAGGCCCTTCCTTGGTCAGAGTGTAATTGTCTTGGTATGCCATATTTGATGAACCAATGTTCTATTAAGACCTTTGCCACTGTTTTGGCAGTCTGATCTCGTGTGGGCACCGCCACAGTCCATTTGGTGAAAACATCAGTCATTACCAACACATGTTCCGTCCCATCCGATGATTGCTCCAACGACGTAAAGTCCATAGCCACAATCTCTAGTGGTTTTGTCGCTAATAGGTGTCCCGATGGCTGTCTCATTTTGACAACTGGCATTTTCGCATGCTGACACCTCACACAAGCCTCACAATGGCGTTTGACCTCCATTTCCATATTGGGCCAGTAACACCTTCGTCGTAATATTTTGTGCGTCCTGTCCTGACCCTGGTGTCCTGCCCGGTCATGTGCCAACCTTAGCACTTCTTCTCGTAATTGTCCAGGCACCACCACCTGGTGTATTGTCCCATCAATTTGGTCATGAATTCTCCGCATGAGAACACCATCCTGTATACTGAGACGGTCCCACTGACTCAGTATTTTCTTTGTTTCTCGACCAAATTGTTCTCTTTCCCTTCTTCCTGGGAATTTTTGTTCCTGGACGTGTTTCAACAGCGGCTGTAAGCCACTATCCGTTCTCTGGGCATCTCTTATCTGTTTGTGATTAAAGCAATTAAAATCACTAATGTCCATATGTCCGGGATCTGTGGAAATGTGCTCCACCCCGGTCTGTCCGTTCTGCCTCACTTGCACCCCGTGAGGGATATCTGTTGACGTTCTGACCTCACATATTCCTGTCAGCGTTTCTTCCTCCTCGCCCGGTCTCTCGTAAGGATTCCTTGATAAGGCGTCCGCATTGCCATTGGACCGCCCCGGGCGATATTTTATCTCTAGGTCAAAGAGTGCCAATTCTGCTGCCCATCGCTGTTCGATGGATCCCAACTTTGCTGTCTTTAGGTGACTCAAGGGGTTATTGTCAGTGTATACCACACATTTAGCACCTAATAGATAGTCCCTGAATTTTTCCGTCACAGCCCATTTTAATGTCAAAAGTTCTAGTTTCATGGCGCTGTAATTTGTCATGTTCTTCTCTGATTCCTTCAGAGCTCGACTGGCATAAGCAATAACCCTGAAACCTTGCTTTTGTTGTTGTGATAGCACAGCTCCCAGACCTTTAGAGCTGGCGTCAATTTCTAGCCGAAATGGTTTGTCAAAGTCTGCGTATCCCAATATCGGCGCCTCTGTCAAAGCCTTTTTCAGTAGCTTAAACGAGTTCAGGCATTCCTCAGTCCATAATTCACCTATCAGTTGTGTTTTACCTTTCTTTTTCTCCTTACTGTGTTTCTTTGTCATTTTGTTTACCAAGTCATGCAATGGTGCGGCAATTTTTGCAAAACCAGGCACAAATTTTCTATAATAGGAAGCAAAGCCCAAGAATGATCTGACCTCTACCGTAGTTGTTGGCTGTTTCCATTCTTTAACAGCTGCAATTTTATCTGGGTCAGTGGCGATGCCATTCGACGAAATCACATAACCCAAAAAATGTACCGATTTCAGACCGAAGCAGCATTTGTCTGGGTTCAGCTTTACTCCTATCTCCCTAAGACGGAGAAACACTTGTTCTAATCTTTCTAGATGGTCCTCCCAAGTTTTTGAGTAAACCAGTATATCATCCAAGTACACCAACATTATTTGAAATAGAAAGTCACTCATAGCACTCTGCATTACTCGCTGGAATGTAGCAGGTGCATTAGTTAGACCAAACGGCATACGGGTCCACTCGTACAGTCCCAGTGGAGAAATAAATGCAGTTTTATGTTGATCGTTGGGGTGCATGGCCACTTGGTGGTAGCCACTAGCCAAATCCAAGGTAGAAAAAAATCTTGCTCCCCCCAACGCATCAAGACATTCATCAATACGAGGCAAGGGGAATGCATCCCTTCTTGTGATATTGTTCAATTTCCGGTAATCACAACACAGTCTTATCTCCCCTGACTTCTTTTTTACCACTACTATCGGTGCCGCATACGGGCTAGTGCTGGTTGTAATAATTCCCTTTTTTAGTAGATCGTTCAGGTGTGCCTTCACCGCAGAGTAGTGACTCGGTGGTAATCTTCGATAAGGTTGCGCCACCGGCTTGTCTTGTAGTAAGGGTATCTGGTGTTTTATTACTTCCGTGTAACCCAAATCACCCTCGTACGAGGCAAATATATCCCTGTACTTATTCAACAATTCATTTAGTTTTGGGTCCTCAGTTTCCGGGAATGTATATGATCGGCCATCCTCTTTCTTCACCTCGGCCGTCACATTGACCGACCTAATTGTTACTTCATTACTGCTGGTATTGCTCAGTTCGATGCACTGTGCCGACCTTTGTACCTCGACGTTCTGTGGTACTCCTACCAGAGTATTAGGCGGTATAAAAATTTCCTCATCCAAAACATTTGCCACTAATCCTTGAACTAGTCCATTTTCCGCTGATGTGTATGTCCGCAGTAACACGACGCCTGCCCTCAGTGCGGCGCCACATGGTTCTATCATCACATCACCATTCACGCTTCTATCACCAATTTGTAATGTGATTGCCTTGACCGTGTTTGCCGGGACTGATATCCTTCCTCTGGTCTTGGCAAACCTGGCCAATTTGGATCCCCGACCTGGTGTGGTCGATCCGACAATATTTGTAAGAAATTCCGGCAACTGGCCAAGAATATTCATGCCCAACAGGCAAGGTATATTTGACACATTTGTCTCTAGGTTGTGTTTCGTAACGAACACCCCAACCTGCTTCAACCTATGTCCCGCCACCACGACATCCGCCAGAAAATAACCACAGTATGGAATGGTTAGTCCATTAGCTGCCGTCAGGCGCATGCATGTGTCAGACCTCAACCTATGGTCTTTTCCTTTCATCCATTTGGTGTAAAAATTTTCCGTGATTGTCGTCACCTGGGAGCCTGTATCCACAATTGCCTTCACCGCGATGTCCCCAATCGTAATCACCATTTCGGGACAGACTCCCATCATTTTGCTTCTTGGGCCATAACCTCGCCCCTCTGTAGCCTGGCCCTGCCTTACAGAGGACGACCGTTTCCCTGGCAGTACCGTGCCATATGTCCGGGTTGTGAACAGGACAAGCAAATTGGTCGACCGTCGGCCGACCACCGGAGTGATGGACCGGCGGGTCGCGGCCGTCCAACCTGTCTCTGTTTTGTCCCGTTCTTTTCCTGATTCTCAGCTGTTGACCTGCTTTCTAACCTCTCCAATCTTTGGTTAACCTTATCCAGGTGGGCCAACAGTTGAGCCATCATGGTTTCCACCGTGCCGGTCCCCGTGGGTGGGGATTGTTTCTGTTCCGGCACAGAGACTTTGTCCACCGAACAGTTCGATTGGTCCTCATCCTCGGACCTGCGGATCGCTGAGTTCCTGACCTGAAGGAAGGTCAACTGCGGGTCTTTGTGGACCTCCTCTTTCAACTCTCTCCTTAAGATCGGGGTTGCTAGCCCCTCGATGAACTGGTCCCTCAGTAGGCGTACATCAATGTCAGGTGTTTTGCCCTTTACCGAATCAAAGGCCCTGTTTATTCGGTGTGAATACTCCATCACACTCTCCGCCATTCTCTGCTTTACGCCTACGAACCCCGATAGCAGTTGCGATCCCGACCGTCTCTCCCCAAAGGTCTCCATAATTAGATCCAGCACCTTATCTGGATCTGATTGGACGGTTTTATCGTGGCATTTGACCTCTGCCCTAACCGTCTCTCCTATACTGCCCATCAGCAGTCTTAATCTTTCCTCTGGTGACATGTTTCTCGAGGCCCAGGCCGCTTTGACCTCCTCACTGAACCTGTTGGTTAAAGTTGGATCACCGTCCCCGTAAAATTTGTTAATGTGGGACTCTCTGGGCAGGACCACAATATGGGTCTGCTTCTCGTCCAGAGTAGACATTTTATTCCTTTAGTAAAAAAAAAGAGTTCTTTCTTACCGTGTGTGTATGAAAAAATTTTCCTCGTTCCTCAATTTTCACTGTTCCTGAATGTCCGAATTCACACACACACTAAACACAGTTATGAACTAGGTTGACTATGGGTGCCTAACGCGGCAAGTCTCGTTGAATTCATCCTGTCCGACGACGCCAATTGTTACCTAGGCAAGTTGCATACCCTGCTCGCAGCGCCAAATGTAACGAGTCCCCGAGTCTATCCTGCCGACAACGCCAAATGTAACGAGTCTCTGGCTACCCTGGCGACAACGCCAAATGTGACCTTCCCGAGTCTAACCACTCATTCCACACAACATTGACCACAGCATAGATACTCGAAGATGCAGGTTCATTATTGATCCTTTTATTACATGAATCAAAGAATGCTTCACAATAATATAATGAATCAAGAGAGATGTTTCACAATAATAGTCTGAATCAACGGACCCCCAACAGTCCTCACTAGGCTTCATCTAACTGAATACACATGTCTAACGTCCTTCTTAACACAATATAACCAACTTGATACTGCCACACAGACTCACTGAGAGAGAGAGACTGACGGACTGACTGACTGACCGACCGACTGACTGAGAGAGACTTCCTGAGAGACCGACTTTCTGAGAGAGAGAGACTGACGGACTGACTGACTGACCGACCGACTGACTGAGAGAGACTCTCTGAGCTCGGCCGTCGCCTTCCTTATATCCCCTTCATAATCGTACTCATATTCGGTCCTATCATAATCGTAATTGTAATCGATTCTAATCGTTACATCAGACTGTTAATTACGCCGCTTCTGTCGTACAGTCCGATTTTAATAAGCCACCTGCATCCTGTCACATCAAAGTTGACAGACCGTCTTTCGTATCGCTTCCCGAGATACTACGCCTTGGCATCAGCCAACACCTGCACTGTGACGTCAGACTGTAACACGTTATGTCTCTTGGTAACTTCCCCTAGTTACATATATATATATATATATATATATATATATATATATATATTTATTTATTTTTTTATTTATTTATAATTATATACATCATTTACCCAGAGCCAGAAAGTTCTTTGAATTTTAAAATGTGTCATCCCCGTTTTATTTGCTTTGTATAGCCCCATCGGCTCTGTCTGCACCATCAAAACGAGGCTTTTGTCTGTCGCTATGTGACTGGCAAAACAACTACACCTGCCCATCTGGTTATGAGTGCCGATCTAACGGCTGTGGTCATCAGTGCTACAGGACAACCTTCGTGCAGCCCCCAGGTGCCTGTATTAATTTACCTCGACTAGAATCTATATTTACACTATAGCGTCACGTGTTAGGTGGGAGGGTAGTAAAGTAAAAGATTCCTCTTCAGACTTAGCGATCAATATATGGTAGATGAAACAGAGTTTATATATTTCTTGACTCCGGTATATGAAAGGGATATAATGCGGTCAGCCTTTTGCCCAGCCACCTTTACTTTCCATAAAGAGAGTTGGGTACTCATCAGAGCTGGGTGGACTCGGCAGAGGCGTAGCGACCCTTCCCGGCGCCCGGGGACAAACTTTTCAATTTGCACCCCCCCCCCTCAAGATTTCCATTTGCACCCCCCTCAAACTTTCGATTTGCACCCCCCTCAACCTTTCAATTTATTTTTCCAACCCATTTTGGCGCCCCCTAAGGTCGGCGCCCGGGGACATATGTTCCCCCCCCCCCGCCTCCCCCCCCCCCCCCTCGCTACGCTACTGGGACTCGGGGACGTTACACTGAACCCAGCACAAGATAGATGATACTATTGGGTGTGGTTTACATCAAACTGTCAATAATTTTAGTACATAACTAGATTGATTTTTGTAAGTACTTTACACTGACTCCTTCGGTGGGCAATCTCTGACTTAGTGACGCCACTGTTTGTATCTTTTCTACCATTATTTTTACATCCTGAAAACAATTTGGTGAGGTGAAAACCATAAGTATTTTAATCAGCAGAAATATGCCTAATATATTGATATTATTAATCTAATTTGTATGAATACATTGGGTACCTTTATACAAATTATGTTTGCTTTATTTCTACTTACGCCAGGTTGCAGACCTCCAAAAAATTAAAATTATGGTGTTATCTGTTTGTAGAAAATTGCTACTGACTATGACATTAAATAAAGTAGACTAACCATTACCCGGATTTTATTTTAACAACAACGTGCGCTCATTATTTGGAGGATACAATTTTCGGAGAGTGGTTGGAAAAATTAGATTTGAATCTAGAGGTCTTCTAGTGAAGATGCCTTGCATACTTTGCCGACCCCTACCCTACCCACTATCAGCAACCATAGTCACAAAAAACCAAATCCCCTGCCCATCAGAGGCGTAGCGACCCTTCACGGCGCCCGGGGACAAACTTTCGATTTGCACCCCCCTCAAACTTTTCATTTCCACCCCCCTCAAACCTTCGATTACTTTTTCCAACCCATTTTGGCGCCCCCTAAGATCGGCGCCCGGGGACAAGCAAGCTATATTTTGATTTCTGTGGGAAATATTTTCAAATGTAATGTATGTTTTCCTAGGTTGCCCGGAAGTCACATGTGACTACGTCTGCCCTATGGGATATGTTCGAGACGAGCAAGGATGTGAATCGTGTTCATGTATCTTAGGCGCTAACGGTAACCCCCTTTTTTTTTTTTTTTTTTTTACAAAGGGAGATAAATGAAGATTGCTTTTTTAAAAGTGTCACAATATTTTTGACATAACGACTTTACATTTTCAGATATATAATCTCAACGCATAAACTAATTAAATTTTGCCAACAAATACTTTGTTGAAAGTCTAAAACAATGATCAATGTAATATGTAATAATCAATGTAATATTTATAAAATCTTTTTTTCTCTCCTCCTTTGTAGCAATTATAGGAAGTTGAGAATTGCCTACATCCGTGAAAGCTGAATCTACCGAGAATGTGATTGCCTAAAATACCACGAAATAAAAAAAAAAAAAAAAAAAAAAACTTCGGCAGCTGTTAGATTGGGTTTAATGTGGAAATCCACAATTTTTTGAAAAAAAATAAAACTTTGTGAACCGAATCTGTCTGTTTATATTGTACATTCATGCATACATTCAATTTCATTATAATCACTAATATTCTATTTTCTATACTCAAAACTAATTTGACCGTTAGGCTTTGTTCGTAAATAATATTACGCTTGTTTTGTTCAAACCTCTGGAATGTAAATTTATCTTTTCATTTTAAAATCACTTTTCTAACAGGCCATCCCAACTCAATTCCTTTGTCATAATCTCACATTCCACTTCTTACACCACAACTAATGTTCTATTCTTAAAACTCTGACGTAATTTAACTTTAGCAAAAAAAAAAAAAAAAAAAAAAAAAAAGGAACGCTGCGCATTCTAAAACAAACTTTAGGCCAATGGTAGTCGAACAGTTTGTCATATTGTAAAAGGGATTCAGAGCCAACAACATTCTCTAAAAAAATAAACCGACCGTATTTGATACTTTTATATCACATTATTGTTGGGTGTAACACGAACCTTAGGTCCCAGTATAGTGGCGTTACTTACTGGATGTGACTACTAGCCTTCCCACTTTAGACAAATGATATATGATAAACACAAATAGGGTTTCTTTCAGGGGGGGGGGGGGGGTATGTGAGGTGAGGGGGGATTTTGAAACTTCGGGTAGGGGATTGGGTGGCACGTAAAACTTTGGGAGCTGGACAGTGGCGGAACTAGAAATCAAAGGCTCCCCCGCAAAGAAAAAACTAGGGCCCCCTATATATATATATATATATATATATATATATATATATATATATATATATATATATATATATATATATATATATATATATATATATATATATATATATATATATATATATATATATATATATATATATATATATATATATATATATATATATATATATATATATATATATATATATATATATATATATATATATATATATATATATATATATATATATATATATATATATATATATATATATATATATATATATATATATATATATATATATATATATATATATATATATATATAAAATCTATATCCTAAGTGAGTAATTTAGTCTACTTCATTGCAATATAATCAATATATAACCATTCTGAGTGAACAAAACAGAATTATTTAGCCATCACTCAGTTTGAGTTAGAAAAGTATCATAATCATGCTGGTCAAAAATATATAAAGACGTTAGCTTGACTCGTGAATGGTTTCTCGCGTTATGTTTATTTTTTTCATTTTAGGCTTTTATAATATCAATTTTGAAAACATTGATTTTTATAGCCATACTATTGTATAGTACGTCTTATTTAAATAACAATTCAGAGAATCAATTGCTTTTTAATATACATAGTACAAAACTATTTAAATGAGCTTCGTGGGCATCCCTATTTTAAAGAAGGGCAGTAAGGCTTGGAAGTAGTGTGAATGTTTAACTACCTTTCAAACTATAGCTCTTGTAGATTTTAAAATATTTTTCTACGCAACAATCTCTGCTATAGTAGACCTGTTTTTTTTTTTTTTACAAAAACACTTTCAAGATGCATCAAAAACATACTTTTTGAAAAAATAAATGCATTGTGTTTTGGTCGGAACTGGGCCCCTAAGCGTCCTGGCCCCCCCCCCCCCCCCCCGCATTGCGAGGTCTGGCGGTATGGTAGTTCCGCCCCTGGAGCTGGAGCGGATACTGGTTAAAGAATGTATTTTCCGGTTGCGGAGTGTGATCTGCGTTGAGGGGCACCCATCGGAAAAAGCACGAAGTAGATTATAAGATGTATTATAATAAGTACCTTATTCGTGACACAAACATATAATAGTGAAATCGTCTACAATTGAACATAAGGGCCAACACTTTAAGCATGAGAGGGCGGGGGGGGGGGGGGGTCATAATGTAAGCGATCATTAGTTTTACGTTCTGAGGTGTGTCAGACAGATAATTTTATAAATCTTTTAAAATGTTTTGCTACAATGCTCTAAAACAACCATCAATTTTTTCACAGGAAATAAGTTCTATCACAAGGACACGATTAGATAAGAAACTAAACACTTTTAAAGGCTGTCCTTTATCTAGGCTTACGCTAGTCTTTTCATGTTTTAGCGTCCATCTTCAACACAATGCATTCACGGATTATTTTCGCTGCTTTTTGTTTGATTGGTAATTTTTTTGTCTGATGAGATTTTATTTGACAGCAGATTATAGTTTCGTGAAAGCGAATAGTTTTAATTTGTTTTTAGATTTAATAATTTGAATTTTATTTTTTTAAATTGTTAGTGCTACTTTAAACATGCTATAATTGAGACCACCATGTAGATTATTAAATAATGGGAAACGGTATGATTTATCAACACATCTCGCTTTCAAACCATTTTAACGCACTAGTCACGAGATCTGTACTCTTTGTTGTAACAGTGTCCCCAGCTCCCCCTCCCCCATTGTTTCTTTCAGAATATATTCTCGGGGGGGGGGGGGGGCTAAATTTTTCCGGGAGAATAGCACACTGGTAAAAGTATATATTTTCTATATAAATTCTATTTCGTTTGTGGGTGGGGGCGGTGGACGTGCTTCGGGAAAGAGATAACTGTGAGAAACACTGCCCCTTGCCCTCTTAAATAAAAAAAAATACCCCCAAGTAAGACGATTTCTACGACACCCCTACCCCCACCAGCCGGACCACATTCCCTCAACTTGAGCAGTAGCTGCTGATGTTAAAACCTAGTTCTATGAAGATACTAACGGATGACAAGCTGTATCTATTAAGTAACTTCATGTTTGCAGCTTGAAAAATTAAGCATTAAAATAAGTCACATGAATGACAGTGAAAATACACAGATTTCCAATTAATAAAACTAAAATTCTAGCATTATTTTAACATGTGTTCCCCATTATTTTTCCCTCTCCTTAACCCCAGAGGTTCTGTCTGCGCCTTCAAAACGAGTCCATTGTTTTTCCTTATGTGACTGGCTCGACAACTACACCTGCCCATCAGGTTATGAGTGTCGATCTAACGGCTGCGGTTTTCAGTGTTACAGGACAACCTTTGTCCAACCCCCATTAAGTTATCTCATCGATCTATTATAATTTTACTCTTTAGTTCTCGTTTGCATACTGAAATAATAAGTGGTGTGGTAGAAAGCAGGCCTATCCCTATATTAGTCAATATCAGTGGTGTAGCGAGGTCGGGTGTCATCCGGTGCGGCACTTAATGGTGTCACCCCCCAGAGGCGTAGCGACCTTTCCCGGGGACAAACTTTCAAGTTTCCGATTTGCACCCCCCCTCAAACTTTCAATTTGCACCCCCCCCTCAAGTTTTCGATTTGCACCCCACCCTCAAGTTTTTCTCTATATATTTTGCTATTTTTTGCCTTGGTGTCACCCCCCTAAATGGTGTCACCCGGTGCGGTCCGCACCTGCGTCCCCCCCCCTCGCTACGCCCCTGGTCAATATATATATATATATATATATATATATATATATATATATATATATATATATATATATATATATATAGCTTGAATGAACAAACCGTCCATTAAAAACTCGCATTTATAATTTTATTTCTAGGTACATTTCCTAAGGGTATATTTTGTTCTGGCTTTGATGGATACAGCCTATGGTTAAAAAAAAATCAAAGGGAATAAATCGGACGTTATACTTATTGTATAGAGCTGGTACTAAGCAGCCTAGATCTAAACCTGATATTAGATTAACGTACTAACTTCTCCCCTCGTCCCATTTTAAACGTCCAAAAAATACTCTAAAATTTACCATAATTCTAACGAAAATCACAATGTTTGGTCTTTGCAAAACATACTGTCACCTTCCAAAAGAGGAGCACATCGTCACAGAAATCTCAACTCACTTGGTGTAAGACTTGACTTATTCATCGACAAACTTTCTCACCAACTATGCAAAAAGTATTTTATCTTCATTAAATTTTTCAAAACTGACATAATGGGAGAGACTTTTAAGATGTAAAAATAATGTAGTGCATGTTTTCATAGGTTGCCCGTTAGTTAGCTGTACCAGCGAATGCCCTCTTGGCTTCGAAAGAGACGAGCATGGGTGTGAATCGTGTTCGTGCATCTTGGGCGCTAACGGTAACTCTTGTCTTTAAAGGGAAATAACTGTTTAAATAACTGTTATTGACGTAACGCTTATTTTACATTTTCAGACACAATTTTGAAATAATTTTCTCAACGAATAAACATTCTTAAGATGGAACTCCTGATATAGCAATTAATACAATTTAACCTACTTCTAAAACAAGTTATCATTTTCAATAATCAAAATAATACTCACAATAACTATTTTCTCTGTATCTTTATATAGCTATCATAGGAGAGTGAGGAATTCTACTGACATTGAAGCGGTAGCACGAGTTTCCTTGAAATAAAAATTGAGCATTAACTTTTTTACTTTCTCGTATATACGAAGTATAGAGAAAGTCTTGTAATCGTGCAGAAAAAAAATCGAGATTTTACAAATCTCGACGTTTTACACCTTACTGATACGGAAAAACATAATTTTACAATCTTGTCCGTATGCCTGTGTGTGTGTGTGTGTGTGTGTGTGTGTGTGTGTGTAAACACGATAACTTGAGTCAGAGTTTCTTCCAGGCATCTCTCCCCCCCGAAAATTTTTTACCGCCCCCCGAACGAAATGAAATTTATATAATTTATATAGAAAATATATACTTTTAGCAGTGTCCGCCCCCCCGAAGAAAGTTTACCGCCCCCCCCCCCCGAAGATTTCAAGTGCCCCCCCGGAGAAAAAAGTCTGGAAGAAACACTGACTTGAGTACCGTTATAGCTAGGTTGATGAAATTTCATATATAAGTATTTTATCAAAATCGTAGATCCGTATCAATTTTTGAGCGATTTCCGATAACCGGAAGTGGTACTTTTTCTACTTTGAATTTTTTAAAAGCCTATAACTTGAGTACTATTTTAGATAGACAAATGCAATTTCACATGTAAGTAAAAGATCTAATTCTCTGCCTTCTTTCAGATTTTGAGTAATTTCCGTTGACCGGAAGTAGTAATTTACGCCATTTCCGATTTCTCAAAAAAAAAAGCATGTAAATTTATAAAGTACTAATAATATTCCGCTCTATTATGCACATTTTGTTTTGGCGTTCGCTTGGTGCGCAATTCTTTTTTTCTACGAGATTCTATTCTATTTTTAAAAGTTTAAGTAATTAAAAATCATGTCTATATTCCGAGTTATATAAGAATATTCGAGAAAGTTTAGGGGAGATCACTCCTGGTTTATTATATGTTGTATGCACTTTCACTTATCAGTTTGTTTGGTTTAATATGGAAAAAATTGTCATAAGACGTTAGAATTCTAGAAATATTAAGTATTCAGAAATAAACGTGTTTGAGTATGATTATTGGAAAACTGTAAAACACAATTTTCATCTTCCTATAATCAGGGGCGTAACGAGGGGGGGCGGGGGGTGCGGACCGCACCGGGTGACACCATTTAGGGGGGTGACACCAAGGCAAAAAATAGCAAAATATATAGAGAAAAACTTGAGGGGGGGGGTGTAAATCGAAAGTTGGAGGGAGGGGGTGCAAATCAAAAACTTGAGGTGGGGTGCAAATCAAAAATTTGAAAGTTTGTCCCCGGGAAGGGTCGCTACGCCTCTGGGGGAGGGGGGTGGGTGACACCATTAAGTGCCGCACCGGGTGACACCCGACCTCGCTACGCCACTGCCTATAATTCAGACTGATGATCTGACTTTGCTAGCTATAGCCATCAGAAGTCATATTGGCAGTGTATACGGAATTGATAAGCCTAAAGATTGACACATGTCCTGATAAAATTAACTTATGGCGCAGTTGGTTATTTCCTCTAGACGTGAAAGGCATAAGCCTACATTTCGTAAGTGTAAAGGCGGTGTAAAAAGGGTTAACGGAGGGGGCTGCTGGCGCACCAGGTGTCACCCAATCAAGTGACACCACTTAATGGTGTTGGGTGATAACAAATCGACCGAAATGCGTGACGTTGCATATTTTATGGTGAGACCCCCTTAGATCTATATAACAATAAGCCAAGACCCACCGTGGAGCTGTACAGCAAATCAAAAACCTTCATCTATTTATCTCAACAACAAAAAAAAAAACCCTGTCGCTAGGGTTTTTGTTATCGGAGTGGGGGTTGAATTTGAATATTCCCCCCCCCCCCCCCAATTTGTATTGTGTAAAATTTCGGTTTTCTGACTTACAAGTTTTAATTGAAAGGTTGATAATGATATATGTCAATAGTTAAGGGTCATCCATAAATGACGTCAAGCTTTTTTTGACGATTTTACCTCCCCCTCCCTCCCCTCCGTCACACATCGTCACAAAAAACCAGACCCTCCCCCTAAAATGATTTCACACCTCAGCCTACAGCCACCCCCCCCCCCCCTCAAAATTGCAGTTGAATTAATCTTCTTAAAATACGATAGAGTATTTTAATAAATTCCTATTACAATATATTAAAACGGTTTTCTAAAATGCGAAATAACGGCTACAATTCGTTTTCTAACATTGCTTTTTTATAATGCAAAAGTTTAGCTTCACACCATCTGAACTCCCCACCCCCCTCACAACAAACCGTCACAAAATTAAGCACCCCCTCTTCCCCCCCCCCCCCCTTACGAGTCTGACGTCATTTATGGACGACCCCTTATAACATAATGTCATTTTGGGGGTTAATCAATGACTCATGAGGGGGCATTTCTCCCAAAGACCCACATGCTTACTCGTCTACCCTCCCATTCGTTGTTTTTTGAGTATCATTATAAAAAAATCCCTATATTATTGATGAGTTTATTAAAATTATTCAATATTAGGCCCTATTTATTTTTAATTATGTTTTAAAAAATAATTTTAAGCGATATAAACTTTTCAGCAAAATTTTCTAGAAAATATAAATGATAAATCAATCCGGAAGCTGCAGTACAAAGTGTACATAAATTTCATCTGTAAACAGTTCTTAGTTGTGTATAAAAAAAAAAAGTAAAAAAAAAAAAAAGTGATGAATAAATATTATAAATAGATTCTAGATCTAGATTCTAGAATGCTTGCAGTTAAAATGAAAGTAGCTAACTAAACCAGAAAATAGAAAATACGATTGATAAGATTATTAGGTTAGTTTACAACAGTCCAATTTAAAAAAAAAATTGATTTTGCCTTCTTTTGCTGGGACAGTTTCTTGAAATCTTCAGTGAAATTCAGTCAGTTGTTAAAAAGCACTGCATTACCTAAAGTCTTCACTGAAACGGTGTAACCTAAGTGTAAAGTTATAAATGTTATTCACCTGTGGACGGCAAATCAAAATTAATGCTTCATGTAAGATTTTATTCTGTTTTAATTAGGGTTATGAGTAGCTGGGCTCATTTGTTTTTTATTATTAGGGCCAAAATTAATAGGCCGTGCTATTTTAAACAATTTATCTGAAAATTCCCATTTCAGACTAAACAATCCATCCATAGGGCAGATGAAGTAGAGTTTGAATTTTTTTTTACGTCAACACTTTGCCCAGCTGCCTTTACTTTCCCTAACGTGAGTCAGAGCTGGGTGGACTTAGTGATGTCCTACAGTCACAAGTCCAGACTGAGATCCAAACTTGTGGTTTTAGGGCCAGCAGTCAAGTATGTGACCATGCTGTCCCATGTAATTTAGCTGGCCTATTCTAGATTCTAGGCTGTTTGGTACACAACATCGGGGGACATTAGTAGATCTAGAAGCACATTACTAAAAAGGGGACAGATTTATTTTCATTAAGTTTGATGGTACAGTGTCATCAGACAGAAAAGCCCTGAGTTCAAACCCCCTGGCTCATAGTTTGGGAAATAAAGCAACCTATCTACTAGGAGAGAAAACTCCAAAATTAAACAACTGCTGTCTTGTAGTTTGTTCAACATTTCAATTAAGAATGAAGAAGAAGTTCTTGGCAGCTAATACACTAAAATAAAAGTTAAAACCTAAGCTACAACTAATGGTTTCATGGCAGGCCTAATCTGTAAATTTTAGTAACCAAAATAGGTTGTGCATATTTTAGGTTCATCAATCAAGTATTGTTTGATCGTATTTTGACCTAATTATTTTGTTTATTTGTTGGCGAATGACACTTTCTAAAAATTCTTAGTTTTAAATCAAAGAAATTCTAACCCAAATGTAAATTTTTAGAATGGTTTCCATAATCAGCAGCCGATACTTTATGCATACCATCACTTAAAAAATAAAAATTAAGTTGGTTTAGTAAATTTGTTTGCACAAGATATTTTTTTCTTGAAATAAAACACTTGTAAAGCAAGATTGACTTGTAATTTTTGTAATTTAATGCTTGAAATTTGATCTAAAAGAAACAAGATTATGATCACATCAAATCCACCTAATTCTTAAATAATTGAATCAACAATAAATTTGAAGCGCTTCATAAACTCATTATTTTTAACACTTTTAACCTGCTTGTACTTAGAGGAAAATGCTCATCCAAAGTGATGTGGATATAATATACAAGTGAACCCTGAGGCTTTTAATTAACCTATGTGTGTAATTCTAAAATTAGCTAGAGTTAATTTACCAAAAAAAAAAAAGTAAAGTATTTTTTTTAACCTTACGTTCCATGGGGCATATGAAGTAGATATATGATATTTTTTGCATATTGATTATATTAATTTAATGTTTTATATAGTAATAACCTGTATTGTATTTTTTCCCTATTTCAGAACTTTATTCATTCAGTGCAGTCTGTAATTCATTAAATGAGGTACACTTTTTTTGTTTCAAACTTGAGTAACTAAGTAAACATTTATTTTCTGACTTATCAAATAAGTTATTTGTATAATTTCGACCATTACAAATAATACAGGAGCATTTCTACTAAACCAGTTACTCTTACCTGTCTTACTAGATACTCCTATTACTGACCAGCTGATCATAAACACTACCCTAAACCTAACCCAACCATAATTTTTCAACAAATTTAATATCATTTTCAACCAAGTTTCATCTGTAATAGTGAACTAGTACCCTTAACCTTAATTAACTTTAAATCTGATTTAAACGTAATCCTAAAATTATTGTGCAAAATGTAAATTTATCAACTGACAATAACTGGAATCAAATGCTGTTTTCTGGCTAACCTTCCATAATTTTGTTACTCTGTATTTAAAAGAAATCTTCACCCACCATCATCTTTTTGTTTTAATTTTAAAGTACGACTATTTATTGTACACAGGTCAAATGTTGATTTCACTGCTGACTCTAAGGCTTGAGCTTCCAAGCGATGCCCCAGATTTAAAGTTTTTCAAAACTTATTCAGGTATTTAGGTCTTCTAAGCTTAGAAAATTTCATGTGTATTTTTTTTTGTTTTAAATTCTTTTAAGAGAATATTTATATAAGTTTGAACGCAATCATGGTCTGTATCTAATCCAAGTTTTTTTTGCGCATTGTACTGTTGTAATCCTCCCTCTGCTCTTAACGGTGATGCAGGCAGAAAAAAATACACTTTTTTAGATACTGTATTCCAGGGCCATTGAACATAAAATTAATTGTTATATAAAATTCTTAATTTAATTAAAACTTAAAATTAGACATCAAAATCTAATTATTTAAAAAAATTTCAATACATCTTACTGACTTACAAAGATAACATTAATTTAAGTATGTTTTATTACTTTTGAAAATGTAGCTAAAGCAAGAGGCCAGAACCAGTTTACCAAACTAGAAACCAAAACATAATGTGCATCATTTTAAATTCTTCATTTAATTAAAACTTAAAATTTGACATCAAAATCTAATTGTGTTTATTAAATTTCAATACTGGCTTACAAAGATAACACTATTTTAACTGTATTTTATTACTTTTGAAAATTTAGCTAAAGCTAGAGGCCAGAACCAGTTCACCAAGCTAGAAACCAAAACTTATGCATCGGTTGCCAGGGGCTTATCAACAGCTGTAGATCACCAGCCACCACACAAGACCATCCAAGCAGAAACCAGTAAAAGGGACAAAACCCACCCCCACCTCACTCTGTCAGAAAGGCGCGAGAGACATTCTAGTTCCAGTGACAGCCCATTCCAGATTTCTTCACTGGAATCAGAGTTATCTTCAGAAAGTTCCGCTCTCACTGTTGGCTGCTCGGATGTGACAGAGAAAACACCTGCGGATAATTTAACTTGCAGAGGGAGGCGTGTGTTTAGAGAGATTCACATAGAGCTCATAGAAGAGAAAGGTATTGAAAAAACTTAATTGAGATTAACCATCTAATACCTAGTGGCTCTTTTCTTTTAAACTTGTATATCAAATAACATAGTAAATTGATTTAAGAGAGAATTAATAATATTGACTAAACCCCTAGCACACAGATAATATAAAGTGCTTTTATTTGAGCTTTTAAATTAAGTAACAAAGAAGTGATTGAAAAGAAATGTATTGAAAAATGGTGCTTAATACTCTAGAGTAAGATTTGTTTCATAGATTCAAATATAAAAAAAGAGCATTTAACTCATTCATTCAGTTCCAGTTAGAATCTTCATTTTTTTACTGTTTAAAGAAATTATATTGAAACTTAAATGAGATGTCTTTCAATTTGCAATGGTTTTATTCAACTTTTTTTTTTTTTTAAATAAGAACTTGAAGCCTTGATCATGTCGGAAGATTCAGATGTGTCTTTAGTCAATATACTTGAGCAGGAGCCATCAACTAGTCGAGGAGAAAAGAGGCATAGTGCTAGTGGAGATGATGATGTAGAGGTATGTGGCACAAGGGTTGTTTTGTTTCTATTGTCACTTAGTAATTATATATATGGTAGATGTACAAATATTATTCTAATTTTTGGTCATTGGATCTGAATTTTTTATGTGGTAACTGTATAAGGACATATGTTCACTAAATTAGTACTAAGCAAAGTTCCTCATAGACCTAGGGATCCATTAGGCAGATGAAGTAGAGTTCATGTGTTTCTTGATCTCTGTGTTTACTTTCCCCAAAGTAACTCAGGTATCCATCAGAACTGGGTGGACTCAGGGACGTCCAGCAGTCCCAAGTCCAAACTGAGATCCTAACTTGAGACCTTCAGTCTAGCAGCCAAAAGCTCCTCTATTTGATTATGCCATCCCAATAATTATTAGTACTTGTAACACTTTTTGATTAGGCAATAAATTAATAAATTTAAAAAAAATTATTCATTGCAATTATAATAAGACTTTTTTTGTTGTTTTTTAATGTATTAAAATGTAGAATGGCATGAACAATTCTTTTTATTGTAAAATTTTTAAAGTCTTATTATTCACAGCATATTTATTTTTAATTTTTTTTCTGGAGGATGGAGAAGAAAAGTTTCAAGTTGCTCATCGTGAGAGAAAGACCAAGTCTGAGTCAGAGGACAGGTCATCGGGCTCGCATATCACAGGTCACCGTCCCAAAAGCCACAGTCCCACCAACAAAATGCTGGGCACTGTGCGCTTCTACAGCGGCAACCCTTCAGTGGAGTTGACCAATGGGATACTTCACATATACAAGGACAGGTGTGTCTTTGTTTTGTTGTTGTAAAAGTGGGTGTGTCTTTGAAAGAGCTAAGACTTGATTTAAGATAGATTTAATTTTCTGTTTAGGGACCTTTTGTTTCAGAGTAGTTTGAGTCGCATGTGTTAATTAAATGCGGTGTATTTTTTAAAATGAAAATGTTTGAATATGTTAGAGGTAAATTTTATATATATATATATATATATAAATATATATATATATATATATATACATATATATATATGTGTGTTTGTGTGTGTATGTATATATATATATATTTATACATAAAATTTACACTAGCTGCATCTTTAAACCTTCCACAGCCAAATGACAACTTTAGACAAGGATGTCACCCGTAGTGAAATGCTGTGCATGATGGGAGTGCCAGCTTCATACACCATTCATGATCTGATCAAGTTTATTGCCCCAATGGGGTGAGTTTTGTTTGACCTCAGGCTGCCTGCCTTGTCTCACATGTATACATCAGGAAAAATTCAACCAGCATTCTGACCTACTTGATGATTAATTACTGTATTAAACTATGTATCCTTAGAATCAAAACACACTACATAACATCCATTTTCGCTGTGTTCCATATGTTTAATTCCCGCGCTGGAGTTTTTTTAATCAAGTCGAAGAAGTAGATGCATTAAACTTCATCTGCTCTTTGAGGGGTCGGCGTGGTTGAGTCGGTAAAAGCTCATGGTTGCTAAACCGAAAAGTCTCGTGTTCGAACCCTCAGGCAGATGAGGCTCGTTAGCTGGGGACAGCCACTCTTTTAGGAGAGACAACTCCAAAATCAAACAACTGCTGCTTTGTAGTTTGTTCTTGGTTGGACAAAGGCTATGGAAGCAAATCCAAAAAGAAAAGCAGGCTGAAATCGGAGTCAATGGCCTCAATGGCGCATAACCAGTTGACACGTAATCCTTAATTGTGATGGAAGCATGGTCGAGTCGGCAAAAGCTCATGGTTGATAAATTCGAAAAAAGTCTCGAGTTAAAAACCCTCTGGCAGATAAGGCTCGATCCCTTCCAACACTAAAAATTAAGAACGAAGAAGAAGAAGATCTGCTCTTTGGACCAATCTTTGCTAATAGATGTGAAGAAAGCACACTTTAAACATGCAATCCCCAACCCATACACAGTATTGATAAACATGAAACAAGCACACTTTAAACATTTTATATTCTCTGTTCCATCAGGGACTGTGTGAACTACATGCAGGTGCTGAGGGATGCCATCCCCAACCAGTACATGCTGTTGATAAAGTTCAAAGATCAGGTACTTTCTCCTTTCTCCCTATACTCAGTTATAAGCTAAACATTTACCAGAACATAACATTATTATTACAGACTGACAATACACATAAACCCTGAATACTATGTAATTACAACATGAGAAGACTAAGAATAAAGAGTTAAAATACAAGAATATCAAAAGGCTTAAAAAATAAGATCTTAATAATGCCAAAGCCAAAAGTAATTGAACTTAATACCAATATAAAAGCATGAATATTTAAAGTAAGAACACTCAATGCTAATATAACTTTAAAATACTGAAAATTGATCCTTCAGTGTTTTACCATAAGGGAGTTTTTATAATGTATCCAACCCATTTTTTTTTCTTTTTATAAAGACATCAGCAGATAACTTCTACACATACTTCAACAACCGGCCCTTCAACTCTATAGAGCCTGATATCTGTCATCTGGTGTATGTGGCAAAAATTGAAGTCGTCAATGAAACTGAGGTTAGTTGTGCTTTGTCTAAATAATCACTAATTAATTTTGTGGCCATCTACTTTATAAAATATGTGGGCTTTACAAGATTATTGTTTCTGTGACCTCGGCATATGAAGAGATAGTGTGGTCAGCACTATGCCCAGTCGCCTTTACTTTCCCTAACTTGAGTTGGGTGGACTCAGGGACGGTCTACTGACTTGAACCGGGATTCGAACTCGATACTTACGGTTAGCAGTCCAGCTCTCTACTGCTAGACCACTCCGTCCCTTGTAAAGAAACAAGTTAACTCTACTTCACTTGCCCCATAGACCGTTAGGTTTGAAAAGGGAACTTTACTTTACAAGATTATTAAAAAAAGAACTCACTTATGTTTAAGATTTTTCATAGATGCTAAGTTAGTGACTGAAACCTTGAGTAATTTATTTGAATATTATTGTAGTTATACTTAAATTCAGTTGTAAATATATCTTCCAATATTATTGTACTTTCATGTACAGCGGTGTTTTCATTTAATTAAAATCAGAGTTGAATTGTTTAATCTTCTGATCTATTTTAATAAAATAACCATTAATTGAATTATCATTTAGGGAGGAAGCTTACCTCTCTTGGATATGACAGAGTTACCCAACTGTCCAGTTTGTCTAGAAAGAATGGTAAGAAACTTTTTTTTAGTTGATATTTAGCTAAGGCTTGAATCTAGCAGCTAATATCTTTATTTTACAAGACAATAGAACCATAGACTTATTCAGGTTTCTGCAAATGAAGTTGATTTATAAAATATCCAATTAAATTTTTTTAAATCTCTAGGAAAGTAATTAATGTTTTGAATTCTTGATTTCATCAGAATAAACAAGATAATATATTTTAATTTAAAATCATTTTATTCCTCATACATATTTTTTAATGGAAAAAATATATGTTGTAAATGTAAACCTCCCACTGTGAATAAGCTGAAATAGTTCAATATTACATTTTTTTTAAAAATACCACAAACAGGAAGAATCTGTAGATGGAATCCTCACAGTATTATGTAATCATGCGTTCCACACACATTGTCTAGCACAGTGGGGAGATACTAGGTAAGTTGTTTTATTACCTGTTAAAACGACACTACTTGCAAAAGTATCTAAATGACCTTTTTTTTTAAGAATCAAAACAGTATTTGATTACCCCCCCCCCCCACACACATACACACTCACCTAATGACAGCATTATTTTTTATCTGTCCCAGCTGTCCTGTGTGTAGATACTGTCAAACCCCAGAGGCTGTAGCTGACCAGCGCTGCATGCAGTGTGGTTCTCATGAGGTATGTTAGTGGTTTCATTCTACTTGACCCCTTGGGTGATGAACGAGAAACAGCTTTTATTTGTAAATCCTTTTGTATAAATATCTTTAAGAAAATAGAAAGGAAGATGAAGTAGGAAATGTTTGTGTGGTAACCAAGTACATATAACTATGCTTTGACAAGATTCATGGCTCTCTGGATTATTATCAGTTGTAAAAGGTGCTTAGACTGATCTTCTATAGACTCATGCCCAAATTTCTGAATATTACCAGGACTCAAACCAGGGTCCATTGTAGCTTTAATCTTGCACTTTACCAGTGTACCAAACTGAGCAGTATATTCTGATTTTCTAGTTATTTTCTTAAATACATCATGTGATAGTAGTGTGGTTTATAATTGTGTCCTGAAAAAGTGCTTGATAACATTTAGTATTAAGAGCTTGTTTTTAAAAAATTGTAAACATAAGCATGCATTAAAATAATTATTCTCCTCATGACCAGGCTTTGCATATTCCTAGTGTAAAACTTGACTGTAAAAGTTGACTGTAAAAGTTGACTGTAAAAGTTAACTGTAAAACTTGACTGTAAAACTTGACTGTAAAACTTGACTGTAAAACTTGACTAAAACTTGACTGTAAAAGTTGATTGTAAAAGTTGATTGTAAAAGTTTACTGTAAATTTGTTCTTGTTTCAGAGCTTGTGGATCTGTCTCATATGTGGCAATGTGGGCTGTGGTCGATATGTGGATCAGCACGCCTACAAGTAAGTGCATTTGTCTTATTACATTGTGATAGCCTCCCACATATCAACACTTAATGTAAAGGAACATGGGTTAAAGTAAACTTGAGTCAGAGAAATGTAACTTTCTTTTATGTCGCAAGGCATTTAATTTGTAAGTATTCCTCAAGTTTTTAATTTTCTATCCTTAAAGAGTTGTATTTTATTACATCCACCATTCAATATCAATTCTTCAATCTCATTTAAATTTTTAAAAATTTTCCTTGGGATTTTTTTCAGGGGAGGATTAGCCTCACAAAATATATTTTAGCTCATATATTTTTTCTAATTAAAAAAAATTAGAATGTTCAGGAATGCAAAAAATTTTTTATAATGATCCAAATTTACAGATGAAAATGTAATAAATACCCCAGTGAATGAAAATTGGATAAACTCTTTGCTGTGTCGTCTGCACGAAAATTTAACTAATACTACAATTTGGTGCACATGAAAATCTAAGAAAGTGACAGTCTTTTTTGTTAATTAAACCAAAAATTAAATCTATTAATTTATAAATTTTACCAGGCATTTCCAAGACACAAACCACACGTACGCTATGCAGCTGGGAACCAACCGTGTTTGGGATTACGCTGGGGATAATTACGTGCATCGTCTTGCCCAGAACAAGTCTGATGGGAAGCTGGTTGAAGTTGATGAAGGTGGTAACGAGATCCAGGAGGAGAAACTAGACTCAATCACACTTGAGGTCAGGCATTGTTTTCATTTTCATTCTAAATAAATCATAATTATATGAACTTTATAAAGAAATAAGTCAACACTATTTAGATCCTACCAGCTATACTGTTATACTTTTAGTACACTTATTTCTTTACTGGTTTAATTTTCATACACTTATTTCTTTACTGTTATACTTTCTGTTCATTTATTTCTTTACTGTCATACTTTTAGTACAGTTATTTCTTTACCTACAATGCATCTATGTTATATCTTTACTGTACACCTTTCAGTACACCTACCTGTTATAACTTTACTGTTATACTTTCAGTACACATGTTATAACTTTACTGTTATACTTTCAGTACACATGTTATAACTTTACTGTTATACTTTCAGTACACATGTTTTAACTTTACTGTTATACTCTCAGTACACATGTTATAACTCTACTGTTATACTTTCAGTACACCTATCTGCTCACCACCCAGTTAGAGTCACAGAGACTGTATTTCATGGAGCAAATACAGGAGGCTGTAAAAGATGTGGAGACTAAGGTAAATACTGACTCAAGTCGCAGTTAAAATAACTACTTGATGGCCTGAATCTCTCAGCAAGGATGCAGTATTTTAAAGGGGGTGTGAGGCAAGAAAAAGAAAAGAAAGATAATTTTTCTGGCAAAAGGTCTTAATTGAATCTGTTATTTAATACTAAGGCCGTTTTAGTTTACAACCTAGTTAGAACACAATCTTTTAATAATGTTCACGAAATTTTTACCTAATCCAGCAAGAGAAATTTAAAAATACGGCAAATTGTCTGTTGTAATTTCAGCTGAAAGAGTCAACTGATCGGTTAGAGAAAGAGAGACTGGAGAGAGAGAAAACTGAATGTAAATTATCTGAAGTCAGCAAAGAGAAATTTAGCTTGGAGAAGAAAGTGGCACAGGTGCGTCATTATGTGTTCAATCTTTATCTTGTTTTTCATTCTTAATTGTATTGTAACATTTGATGGTGGGGGGGATCAAACAACATATCTAACATTGTTGTTTGATTAAATATTACTTGTCAAGTACTGCATGTTATGTGAACTTTGACCCATTGATTCACACTTCAGTCTCCATGTCGTTCTGGATGTTTTCATATCTACTCTTCATCCAAGAATGTTTGATAGGCAGTAGACTATTTTTATTTAAACCTTTTTAAATTTACCACACAAAAATCTTCTGTTTTTAAACTCTCCGGGTAGATTGTAGTGTGCTTGCCTTACTCTCAGATGGTCAAAGTAAAAGGTTTAAAAGTAAGGGTGAAAACTAAAGATTGAACTGGAGTTAATAAATAAAATATGGTAGTAGTAAAGAAGATTACATTAAAGAAGAAGAGTTTTAAAACCCAATTCTTATTACTTTCTGACTACATTGACCAACATGATGCTCTTGATGAACACTGTAATGACCCATGTGACCAGAACTTTGAATTTTTTTTATTGCAATGACTTTGGACGCAAAGTCAAAACAACTTTCATTTATAAATTGAACCCTAAATATATATAAAATATCTGTTCAGAAATAATTGAATCTCATTTTGTAATTTAATTTTTTTTTGTCTATTATATTTTGAATTTAAAAATATTGTTTAGTTTGATGATGTTAACTAAAAAAATTATTACAGTTAACAGCTCGTACGTCTAAAGTGGCATCTGATTTACAAGATGAACGTCAGATGAACAAAAGTCTCCTAGAGAATCAGCAGGTCTGGCAGGGGAAGATAACCATGCTGGAAGAACGGCTAAAGCAGATTTCTGACAAGAAAGATCAGGTATGATATTTAAAAATTTTATTATTTTATTTTCATTTTTGTGGTCATGTGATATCTTTAAACACTGCTAGCTAATTATGTTAAGCTTTTGCCAATATCTGAAGTACCACAATGCATCACACAGGAAATAGCAGAGTTGCAGGAACAGCTTAGGGATGTGATGTTTTTCTTGGACGCCCAGCAAAAGTTTGCCAACAGCCCAGGCATCACCCAAGACGAGCTCCAGGGAGCGCAGGTCATTGTGGGGGAGTCGGCTGCCACACCAGGGAACCGAGGGAAGAAAAGTAGAAAGAAAAGATAAACCTGTCCTGTGTATTTTAAAAAACGAACATTTTTCTTCCTATTTTTGAAAAAAAAAAGTTGTTTGCCATGAAGGGAAAAAGTAAAAACTGGAGTTCAGATACCCTGATTTTTAAAAATTTGACAAATGGTTGTGCAACACAGTTCTTGAGTTAATTATCCAGAAGGTTGGAGAATTGTTTCTCTCTTTGGTAAATTATATGCGTTGTAGTATAAAGTTAAGCAGTTTAGAATTGAACATAACATTTAAGCAAATTAATTTCAATGAATAAATATTGTGATTAATGATTGTAAGTCTTAAGTTTTTTATTTTTAATTAGGGGATTTATAAATTCAAATTTTTACACATTTGAATAATTTATTTGATTTATTTCCTTTTTTTATTATTTAAAGCAAATGAAACTGATTCAGATTTTTAAACATTCCTTCCATAATGTTCTTACATTACACATAATTAGAAATTTTATTAATAGAAGCATAAGTAAATTTACCTTTTTTCAGTGGCAGAGCTCTATTAGGGAAGTTAAAATTACAAATTAAATGCATTCCATGGTCTCAAATTGTTTTATTCTACTGTTTTCTTTTTCTGTTTCATCAATTTTAAATTTTGTCAGATCAAGCAAAATACTGTACAAATTTTAGATAAATATAAGAACATATATCCTATTTTGGCCATTGGTTTTTACCAAATAAAACCAAAACAGGAAAAAAGTCTTATTTAAATTTAAACGTTTTGAATACTTCCAATTATTTAACTGCTGCTTATTTCCCTTGAGCAGACCAAGTGTGACCAAGGCAGTTATGTAATAAGACTTTTAGTTAAATTCAGCATTTACTGTTTGTTTTTGGCTTTTCTCATTCTGTTCATACATTTTACCTACTATGATAAAACCTATTGCTTTGCACCTTGAGCTATTTTAAGCTTAAATTGAAGATTTGAATGGGTCTATGTTATAGATGTCTTAATTTTAGTAATATCAAATTCTTTTTTTTAGATTTTGTAGCATTTAAATCTTTTTTTTTTAATTTTTAAGCCAGTATAACTTAGTTTAAAAAATCTAGAAAGTAAATTTGAAATTTCTCATTCACTGATTTTGGACTGTTAATAGTAAAACTATCGTTACTCAGTGCCAATTAATCTGATTCCTAAAGTATTTTCAACATTGAAATCAGCATCAAAATTGCTTGAACACCCATTGAACAACTTATAATCGGCCGTGGATGCTAAACAACTCCTACCATTGCGGAGGGTCACATTTCAAAAATAGTTTGTGTCTTCACACATTTATGAGGTAATTTTGAATTAATAACTTTCTGGCCTCACGTTTTATAACTCAAGTGCAACATTTTTGACATACAAATGTATATGTACTATGATTTATATAAAAGTAAAATTCACATTTAATTGGAAATTAAAAATTTTGTTATAAAGATGCTAAATTGCTGTATGTGTGTACTTGTTACCTTGAAGTAATTACAGCTTTACCATATGAGGTACTAAGTCCAACTGCCGCAAATGATTTAACTAGTCATCACCATCTACTGCCACTGATGCTGGAGTATCGGCTACCAGTTACATCTCCCCTGAGTTCTCTGTCCTTGGCCACATTCTCTAGTTTTCTGCAAGGGGCCACCCTCTTGATGTGAGTTCTCTGTCTTTGGGCACAGTCTAAAGAGCTTTTTGACTCAGGCCAACCTAACAATAGTCTCCAGAGTTTGACATGGCCCACCTTGATTAGAGTTCTCTGTACTGAGCCACATTCTCCAGAATTCTGTAAAGGTGACTCTCCAGTGTTCTCTTACTTTGGCCACTCTCTCCAGTTATCTGCTTAGGGTCGCCCTTTCCATTAGGTTCTACTTGTGACCCATCTCAATAACATCTGCCTTATGTTCTAGTTGCAAGATGTTTTTGGGATGTGTCTATTACGCTTGACTCATGGGTTCCTAAAGATAAAATAAAATACACTATTTTATACTTTCAAAATATCATTTTAACTCTTCCATTTAGCAGTAATATTCATTATGGTACAACTGTTCTGTATTTATTGCCATAATTTTTATTTTATTTTAAAAAGTGGTCATATTTCTTTTGATTCTGTAGTAATATTTATATTGTGAAATTTAATTACAAGAACTTGGTGGTATTAGTTTAGTTAAATGTTTAATATTTTATATTTGTGAAAACAAAATGCAACTGGGTACTTACAAGATCGCTGCTATCTCTTGTACTGTGCAAACTTTCTGATTACATTTTTAAAAATTTTTCTTCCTATGTTCATAAACAATTTGCTTTTCCCTAAGGGAAATCCGTAAAGCGTTTTTTTTTTTTTGCATTTGAATGTGTTGTAACTAAATCCTGCAATTCATTATTAATATTAATGTGTAAGTATTATAATAATTGTGTTGTAAATAAGTGCATATTTGATTTGCTACGTTGTCTATATTATTTTAATATAAGTATTTAGGATTCTAAAAATGTGTCTTTTTTAAATTTACACTTTTAATTATTTCACTCAGAAAATTCAAAATTGTTTTGAATACATGGAATTCATTTTCATGCCTGTGATGTAAAAATAATTATTTTTTGTACCTTGGTACAACCTAATTATGTAATATTTAACAAACTGAGTCACCATGATAATTTAATATAAGATAAAAAAATTAGTCATATGTTTTTGAATGATTTGAAAATTAGCACCTTGTCTCTTATCCTAAAAATCTTATTAGTATATTGAGTTGAGCTGACAGGATCTTCCAAATATTATTTTTAATCAGCCCTCTGATGTAAAATTAAACTCAAACCGAGCTCTAAAAACTACACAATCCTGTTTTTAAACTAGTGGCTGATCGAGGAAAAACTATTTATTTGACTGTGATGTTAATATTGTTGTAAATACAAGTGATAAACTATGACATTTTGTAGATGCGCTTCTAAATATGTTATATTTAAGCTCACTTAAAATTTCAAACATAAATCTTTTTTTTTTAAATAATAGTTTGGAATGCTTTTTTTTATTAAATAGAGGTTTAAAAACTTTTTCAAATAGTTGCGTCATAAATGTAACCTAATCTGTCATTTACCATTTCCATCTTAACTCATTTACTATTTTTCTATCCTTTTTTTACATCTACCATTCATTAATTCCCTCCCCTTATTTCATGTCATTAAGTAATTCCCTCCCTTTACCATACATTGTTTATTTATAGTCAGGTCTGCCCCATCAGCTTGTGGTAGTCATTTGTCTTTTAGCTAAGTGAGCTTAAATATTTTTTCATACAGCTTTCTCTGTGTACATCCAATAATAATTTCAAACAGTTCAAGAAAATTGGCTTTACACAAATAAATGAGATTAAAAAAATAAGATTAATTATATAGTTGGAATTATTTTGGCAGTCAGAACATTGTATTGAATAAAGTAAAAAAAAACGATGAATATCAATTGACAAGATTTTTTAATTGTTTTTTTGTTGTTGTTGTTGGTTGAATATGAGTTCAGAAAATAATTAAAAATTATATTCATTTATATTTTATTATAATTTAGAAGAATAACTTATATTATTGATATGTTGATGAACCAGGAGTACTCTCTAATTATTTAAAAACATATTTCTCTATGATAATTTTTTTATTTTTAAATGCCTATCTGGCAAGTCTGATATTTTACTAAGTAGATACGTTTTTAAAAATTATAAAAAATGTTGCCAAATGTTAAATAGTCTGTGCAATTTCTGGGTGTTGATCTTTGAGAAGTATTTTGATTTAAAATGCAAGACTGAGGATGAAAAACCCCAGGTGTTACTGCTGTCCTCACTTACAGACTCTAAATCTACTATTAACTTTGCACCTGTCTTTGATTACACCCCATCCATGTATCTTTACTACCTAGTGTCATAAACACCAGAAGCCCAGCTACACACAAGGTTGAACTCCTGATTTAACTTTTCATCAATACACACTATCACTGTTGCACATGATCTTTACTATCTCTTCCTACTTGATTTTAATAGGAACATGTAAAGCAACATTTCCCAGTTCAATAATAGTAACTCTAAAACAAATTATATTTTCCAGCTGACTGATCTTCCCTTGTTTAATTTACTTGCTGTATTGTTTCATGTCTCTCAAACTGTTGCAATCCACATTTTTAAACATTTAGGACCTTTGAAAAATAAAATTCCTAATTATTTAATATTGCTTATTCTTATCTAGGACAAAAATTCTAGCTTTTAACTAAAATGCTTAATAATTAAGCCTAATTCATTTTAAAACATTAAATCTAATAATGCAAACTATAATCTCGATGTAGATATTTAGAAACAGTTTTATTTTAATTTAAGGGAAAAAGTGTCATAAGTTTGAAAATAATAATCATATAATTAAATTAAACATATGATTCTAGATACTTTCAGAACTCTGGTTATCTTTACTGTTAAAAATGTGATACTGTTGTGAAAGGACCATATTTGTTTGGTATAAATTGTGTTAAGTATATCAGTGCTTTTGCCACACTTGCATTTTTAAACAATGTTTTTTTTTTGTTATAGTTTTAATTACTAAGACCCTAACAAGAAATGTTATGTTGTTTCATGCAGTTGTCATGTTTTTCAATTGATTTCCTTACTTCATAATTGTTGTTTCAGTTGCATATTATATGCTTTAGGTAGAAAGCAATGAAGAATCTCAAAATTTAATCCCCACATGTATATATTGACATTTTTCAGACCTTTCAAAATAACAACCTTGACTTTCGAGATCTTAAATGAATATCTTGACATTTTATATCTTACGTCATAATACCTGACTTTGAGACCATACAAGTCTATCTTGACAAATAAGATATTGCGAGAGTATTTTGACTTCGTAATCCATGCATAAATATCATGAAATTACATACCTTTTCAGAATATCTTTACATTTGAGAACTGAAAAGAATATCATGATAAAATGAAAAGCACTTAAATGCTTTAATTTGTATTAAGATGTAGATATCCAGAATTTACATTCAAATTGTGTGTTACCTGTATATATTAAGTTGTAATCGTTCATATATGTACAGGTTCAACCTTTCTTGCTGGATTTTTACATCAACAAGGTCAAAACAATGTCTATATTTGTACAAAAAAATGTGGAAAAGAAAATAAACAACTTTCTGTGTTTTAGTTTAGTGGTAATCAATTTTTTATAAGCAGGATTAGAAAGTAGGCTTAATTATTGTATGTTGTCATTCTAATGGTCAACATTCATAAATAAATTCAACAAATTAAAAAGAAATGTATGGACATGAATATTTTTATTTATTGTGGCAGTTTAATTATTTGTTTAGGCTACACAAACATGTTTTTAATGTTTTAGTGATTGTATAAGCTGTATTTTATAAAATAGAACAAATAATTGTATAAATTACAAAATACATTTTAATAAGACATAAAATTTGGTATGGGTCACTCTTAATCAAAATCTTACTTCTAGATTGAGGGGGGTGGGGGGGGGGGGGGTTGGACTTGGGAACAGGGGGAAAGGGCTCCATCACACTGCTACATTTAAAATGTACTTTCTAAACTGAACTTTTGGAATTTTCTTTACATTAAGGGAAACTACTCAATTAATATATTCGACCAATTCTCATCAGCATGTTTATTTCCCATTCACAAACAAAGCGAAAAATAAGTAAAGGGGAGGTAAAAAGAATATTTACAATAATACCTTATTTTCTAGCACCCAGAACTTGAAAGTGTTTTTGCGTCCTAGGGGCTATTTAGTTTAAACTTCTTTTGTTTTGTGAATAACAGATTGGCAGGAATCAAACCAAATAAAAACGCACTATCTGTGTTATACCAGTCAATGCTGATAAAATTCATTTGCTTGCCACCTTGCGAATGTTTCCACTATCAGCAGAGGCGTATCGAGGGGGAGGGGGGCGGGGGATGCGGACCGCACCGAGTGACACCTATAGGGGGGGGGGGGGGTGACACCAAGGCAAAAAATAGAAAAATATATAGAGAAAAACTTGGGGGGGGGGGGGGTGGAAATCGAAACTTTGAGGGGGAGGGGGTGCAAATCGAAAATTTGAAAGTTTGTCCCCGGGAAAGGTCGCTACGCATCTGGGGGGGGGGGGGGTGTGTGACATCATTAAGTGCCGCACCGGGTGACACCCGACCTCGCTACGCCACTGACTATCAGCACCATAATCACAAACAAGAAGCTACACATAGTTAAAAGTTTGAAATATCTAGGTTCAATAGTCTCGGGAGTCCGGACTTAAATTGCTCGACAGAATTGCGCAGACCAAAGCAGCACTTGAGGCACAGGATTACATCAAAACGGACAGATAGAAACATTCACCTCAGTCCTCATCACAAAAAATTAGAACGATCCCTTCCTTAATCATAAGCGATGTCACTCCTCGAAAAGGTGTGTGTGTGGGGGGGGGGGGGGGGATTTTGGATCTTTGTGACGATGTGTGACAAGGGAGATGTTTGGTGTCATACCCCCCCCCCCCTTTGCTATTTTTGGTCATCTTGATGAAGTACTTGCAAATATTCATTATCTAAATGTTCACGTTTCCAATATTTCTGGATGCCTTACAACGGAGACAACGTTCAGTAGTCAGGATTGAACATCTCACCCATCTAATGGAATCTCAAAGAGAGTCAACATACTATAGTATACTAACAAATGGAACCCACAAAAAGTCCAAAATAATGCTGAATAAGAGGAGGGTGCAACAGTAACACTGATAGGCACTCGCCTATTTCTGTGACTTCAACATGTGGGAATATGAAATCACGTGCATTGCGTATAAACAGCATGTTATAAAAATAACAATTAATTATTTTAAAAAAAAAGATCTACCTTCTTGCCCCCAAGTAAAATTTAAAATTATACTTTTTAAAAATATATTTTTAAAGGATCCTCAAGCGTAGATTTATCATTAAAAGAAAGAGGTTAGTTTGTTGAGGATGAATCTCATATATCGTGGTATTAAGCGCAAATGAATTATCTCCCATTTGAAAACTAGTCAAGGGATGTAACGCAGAGTTGAATAGCTAAACTAACAAAAATAAACAAAGACACCTATAAAAAAATATAATACAGCAGCGTAAATGCAGTTGAACTATTTATTCAATTAATGAAATATGTGGATTATCGAAATTTATAAAAATCATATTATTAAATTAATGACTACTAAAACAATATAAAATTTATAAGCTTAAACATATTAGCGTTATTTTTAGACATAGTAATACAAATATAATCCATTCCATTAAAATGTATATTTTTTTTATTTAGGATTGATTAATTTTGGCTCCCCTTAAAGGGGGAAATTATTGAAGGGATAGGCCAGGGGTCGGCAACCTTTTGAAGCGGAAGAGCCAAAAGTTACATTTTTCAAAATTTCCCTGGTTTTAACGAGCCACTAACATATTTTAATTTCAAATATTTTTTTTTTTTATTAAGATTATTAGTATTTGTGCAAGGAGCTGGAGAGCCGCATCTTGATATCAAAAGAATTGCATGCGGCTCGCGAGCCGCAGGTTGCCGACCCCTGACCTAACTGAAACAGTACATACATAGGTATTTTAGAAATCGAATTAGAGAAAAGTAACACTTTCGGATATTGGAGCTATAGGTCCCTCAAAAATTAAAAGTAATATGTCAGTTTTATACTTAGGGGTCATCCATAAATGACGTCACACTCGTAGGGGGGAGGGGGGGTCCGTAATTTTGTGACGATGTGTGATGAGGGGGAGGGGGGGGGGGTCAGATGTTGCGACGTCACATTTTTGCATTATAAAAAAGCAATGTTAGAAAACGAATTTTAGACGTTATTTCGCGTTTTAGATAACTGTTTTAATAAATTGTAATAGTTTAGACAAGATTTTGGAAAAATATCGATGTTTTTAAAAAATTCAACTGCAATTTTGAGGGGGGTTGTAGGTTGAGGTGTGACGTCATTTTAGGGGGTGGTCTGGCTTTTTGTGACGACGTGTGACGGAGGGGAGGGGGGGAGGTAAAAATCGTCAAAAAAAGCGTGACGTCATTTATGGATGACCCCTTACATCGGAAATCTCATCTACTTCACTGAACCATTACTTATCGTTTTTCGGCAAAAATAAAGTACCATTTTATGTCACGCGTTAAAAAAACACGATAGAAACCTACGCATACAATCTAATACTAGATCTAGATCTAAATGTGAAATTTCATCCACCTAACTGGAAAGTTAAAGTTATTGGCTTTCGAGGAAACGAACGTAGAGTAAGTAAAACTTCCGGTTACCGATAATTGCTTCATTGAGTCTTTCATAGAAAATAGTGTTTGATCGGCTGGCTGTACATACAGAAAAGATTGCAAAACTAATTTCTCCGACTCAGGAGTCTGGATTTTGTAAAACAACGAGATTTATAAATATTTTTTTGAACAAGAATACGTCCTCTAGGCTACTCTCCGAATACGAGAAAGTAAAAAGGCTATGTTGTCTCTTTTTGACAGTTTTTGTTATTTAGAACTAACTTTGTAAAGTCGCATGTGTTTGTTGACATCGGAAACTTAAACTTACTGTTTCTGATAGTGGCTGTAAGTGTAAAATAAATCTACATCTAGAATCTAGGATCCAGTAGTTTATACTTTATAATATCACATTATATCAATAGCGTTGTGTGAAAAGCAAATTTAAAAGATGCCAAAGAGGAAACTTCACCAGAGGTATTACGTTTTTTAAGTGAGGTATTGGGATATTGAATCGGGTGAAACCGTCCATTAAAATTTTTTTTTAGGATGTTGGAAATTGTGACTAGTCTACTAAAATAACTAAAAATGTGTCAATTAGAATAATTAGAATTGTAATGACATAGCTTCTTCTTCTTTCTTCTTCTTCGTTCTTAATTATTAGTGTTGAAGGGGATCGAGATTTATCTGCCAGTGGGTTTTGAACTCGAGACTTTGTTCGAATTTATCAACCATGAGCTTTTTGCCGACTCGACCTCGCCTCCAACACAATTAAGCGTTATGTGTCAACTGGTTATGCGCCATTGAGGCCATTGACTCCGATTTCAGCCTGCTTTTCTTTTTGGATTTGCTTCCATAGCCTTTGTCCAACCAAGAACAAACTACAAGGCAGCAGTTGTTTAATTTTGGAGTTGTCTCTCCTAGAAGAGTGGCTGTCCCCAGCTAACGAGCCTCATCTGCCCGAGGGTTCGAACTCGAGACTTTTCGGTTTAGCAACCATGAGCTTTACCGACTCGACCACGCCGACCCCCTATGACATAGCTAAACTTTAGCATTTCACCATGTATGTCATTAACTAGTAACTACAGTAGGCCTAATGAACAATTCTAATTGTCATTGACACATTTTATGATTTTAGTTATTCTAAAGTAATCTAAAGTAAAGGCAAGTTGTTGAAGTACTTTTCATAAAGTAGGCCAACAAGAATTAAAATAATTATTATGCTGATTCTAGCTGGAAATAGATACTCATGCGCAATGGAGAAAAACTACCACCTGATCTGACCTTCATTCACAGCGATGTTTTCGATGATATTGCACATGCGTGTGTTTATAAACAAACTGCAGAACCCTAACCCTGTAAACTGGCCCTAACCCTAGCGCAGCTAGAATTTATTGGGTCAATGCACATGCACATAACTGAGTTTCATATTTTTTGCTAAAACATCTTTAATATATTTATTCTATCTGTTATTGTATTAAGGCCTCTCTGTAACTGTAGGCCTAATAAAGTTAATCTTATTAATTAAATTATTTTTGTTAGATAGGCTTAAGGGTCTAATAGATGAGTCTAAGTGGTGAGTTAAGACTTAGGCCTACTCAAAATTCTTGCATTTTTCACATTCTATCTTCAATCTTGATTATCATTTCACATTTTACCAAACACAAATAGCCAAACTAAAACCAACTATTCTAATAATTCATATCATATTTTTTTTTTCTTTCAGTGAAGTTAAAAAGGAAACTGCCAACTTAGAAGAGAAAAGAGTGCAATGCGTGTTCAAATCTGAAAGTGGTGAAACAGATGGCTCACCATTTGAGTTGCCTACAGATATCACCAAAGATAAACTTCAGTTAATCTGTGATGCAGTTATTGCAAATGTAATAGTTTATTATTACTTCTATGACTAAGTGCTGTTTGTTAAAGTTACTTTTTGCTGGTATCTCTGTCATACCCTTTATTAAATAGCCAAAGATTTTATGTAAAATATATTTTGTGCCAAAAAAATCAATTATTGTTTATGAGCACCCACATATAAGCTTGAACTACACTCCCATTTCAACCTGTTTCCTAAAGGGTACAAAATAATTTTTTGAAGTCAAATTTACAGGTCTTTTTCTTTTAAGACAGTATAATCCACCAATCAGTAGCTGATGGAATGCTATAAAGTCAAATCATACACTATTTTAACATTAAAAGTATTACTTTTACACACACACACATAACAAAGCCATCAACATCTGCAAAAACAAGGGTCAATTTAAAACAAAATATAACCAGATTCTGAAAATATACTATTCAAAGACCAATGGTCAGTTGTTTACTTTCACACATTGGGGTTGTCTATTATATGAAAACCAACCATTACAGCGCAACATCAAAGTTTTTAAAGTTATATTTAATTTTGGATTAACAATGACTGCTCAATGAAGACATTTTTCTCAAAAGTGGACAACTGTAGTTTTATCTGCTGTTGTCAATTCTTATTCTCTTTGTAAAAGCAACACATTTAAAAATTAACTTAGTTTTTAATGCAATTATCTTGTCAAAAAATGAACTTAGTTTTTAATCCAATTGTCTTGTCAAAAAATTAACTTAGTTTTTAATGCAATTATCTTGTCAAAAAATTAACTTAATTTATAATGCAATTATCTTGTCAAAAAATTAACTTTGTTTTTAATGCAATTATCTTGTCTTCTAGGAGGACAAAGTTCCGTACGCTTTTTTCGTCAATGGTGTCGAGATAACAGAGACGCTGCTGAAAGCTGTGGGGGAGGATGTGATCACCAAGACAGAGTCGGCGCTAGAGATTGTCTACCAGCCACAGGCCGTGTTTAAGGTCAGGGCCGTCACACGATGCACCAGCTCCCTCGAGGGCCATGCTGATGCTGTTTTATTTGTAGCATTCAGTCCGGATGGAAGGTAATATAGATCGCCTTTTGTATTCTATGTCGGTATATATTTTAAACCCAGCTTTATTATTGGAAAGTACTTTTTAGCGCAATTTCCATTCTGGAGAATTGCGTTTATTAACCCGTCATTTCTGGATGTATGAATGGATGGATGGATGGATGTATGTGTGTCCGCAGCTTTAAGTCGTATCTCCTCCTCAACGAAGCAATATCGATGACTAGTTCCAAAAGCAATTATGTTAAGCAAGTTACGAGGATGAACATAGGCCATAAAAATTAAGGGTTTCTTTCATGGATTTCCCGGAAAAGTCAAAAACCTCAAAAAAAGCAGTTTTTGGCCCATATCTCGGCAACCAGACCACTTAGCGACTTGAAACATGTACCAATCGATTCCTGCCATAATTTAGAACAATATTGCCGAAGAAAGTTTTCAAAAATATCCTTTCGTTCGGTCACAAAAAATTTTTTGAATTAATTAAAATTTGGACAGAATTAGTAAGCATATTTATCCAACCACACCACACGCGTCATCACGTTCAATAGCTGCCCCATCACGTTCAATGGCTGCGTCATCACATTCAGTAGGCGCGCAATGGTTTTTAGTCATGTAACTCTATTGTAAATAAAACATGTAAAATACTGGAAAAAAATTAATAAAAAACGTTTTAATAACTAACCAATGGTTTTACTAACCCTGCTCTTGATTTACGCTACGACAGAGCTATTTTTAGATAACATAAGGAAATTGCGCTTAAATGTCACTAGACTTTTTAATTAACTTGTTTAATTTAACTGTTGATAATTCAGTAACATGTTCTGGCTCAATAGATTTTTAATCTAAATTTAATAGGTTTATTTGTAAATTAATAATACATTTCTAAGTTCATAAAAGATTTGAATGGTATTTTAATTAAAAATGTAATTAACACACATTACCTGTAGGCTGTGAATATGGTTTTCTTTGAATAATTTTTTACATATATTTTTTATGATTTCTATATTTGTAAGTACATGTAGGATGTGATTGTGATATTTTTGGTATGTGTAAATGTTAAAACAAAAAAAAACTTACTTTCTTTTAGGCATTTAGCCAGTGGTTCAGGTGATACAACAGTTAGATTCTGGGATATAAACACAGAGACACCAGAACACAGATGTAAAGGTATTCTAAAATTTCCTTCTGTTTTGGTACATGTTTCTATTCTGTTAAATAGTTAACCCTTCCATTGTGTAGCTTTTTCAGTTTTTACTTCATTTTGTTATTATTCAAAACAATTACATTTAATTAAGTGTTTGATAACTTTGCATACATTAGATAATATTGATATTAAAATAATTAAACAATTAATTACAGGTCACCAACATTGGGTCTTATGTCTTGCCTGGTCTCCAGATGGTAGAAAACTAGCTTCTGGCTGTAAAGGTGGTAAGGTATGTTGGTTAAATAAAAAAGAAACATTCCCTTTCAAACCTGACGGTCTACGGGGCAAGTGAAGTAGAGTTCATTTGTTTCTTTGACCTTGGCATATGAAGGGATAGTGTGGTCAGCACTATGCCCAGCCGACTTTACTTACTCTAACTTGAGTTAGGTACCCTTCAGAGCTGGGTGGACTCAGGGACAGTCTACTGACTTGAACCTGGATTCGAACTTGAGACTAAACGGTTAGCAGTCCAGCTCTCTACGGCTAGGCCACTTCATCCCATGATTAAATAAAAAGCTTAATTTAAAATTCCTTTAGTCTAGTATAAAGCTCTTGAAACTAATCACACTTCCCACTAATTTGAACTTCAGGTGTGCTTGTGGAACCCACAGACAGGTAAACAGATATCTCGAGCTCTGACTGGCCACTCAGATTACATTTCTACATTAGCATGGAAACCATTACATTTGTGAGTTGTTTTTCCTTAAACAAATTTTAAACTAATAGATCTACAAGTACATGCTACTAGATCTATATAATTGCTTTAAATTTAAAATAAATATTAAAAATAGTAGTAGTATTATCAAAATAGTATTTTATACTGTATTTTAATTGTTTAAGGTTTTAAGTAACAGTTAGTGTACTTGGTGGTTTGATTTATTCTGTTGGCTAAATAAGAAATATAAATGCGTTTATATAATATATAAAAATATAAAACGCAAACCATATAATATGGTTTTTATTATTAATTTTTGTTTTTATATGTGTTTAAAATTAAATTAAATTTTTTTTTATGTCTCAGAGATGCTGAATGTAGGTTCCTAGCAAGTTCCTCAAAAGTAAGTTTTTTTCTTCCATTTTAACAGTTATGTTTTACTTTTGTTGAACACTTTTGTCAACTCTACACGTAAGGACACCTTTGAACCCTTACTCTAGCTTTGAGAGTGGAAGTGTGACCTTTGACCATCCACACCAGACAACTCTGTACACAACATGAGAGTTGCTGGCCACAAGCATGTAGTTGCTTTAAAGTTTCACATGCTCTCAGGAAACTTACCAATAATACTACTGACAAGATGCAAAAGTCTCTTTGACTGCCTGTGTCAGTTATAAATATAACGTTGACTTGATCCATATTGATTAACTATTTGTTTTTAGGATTTTTGTTGTTTCTTTAATTACTAGACTAGAAATGTAGCCTTTCAAAACTTTGCTTTTCCTGTATATTCAAATATATACAGTTTATCTTAAATTTATTAAGTGCTGCCCCCAAATTACTACCAGTTATCACCTATTCTTTCCCTGATCAAGAATCATCTTCATTTTACAAAACAGCCTAATTTCTAACAATCATAAGCATGAAATAGGAAATGAACTGCTGCTGACAATTATTAGAAGCAAACTAGTTTAAATTTGTTTTTAAAGAGTCATTTAGACTAAGTTTTAAAAAAATGTAATCACTACAGGATCGGACAGTCAGAATTTGGGATGTGATGACATTTAAAACACATTTGATTATATCAGGACACAGTGCACATATATCATATGTCAAATGGGGAGGGTCTGATTTATTGTATACAGCCTCACATGATAGGACGATAAAAGTATGGCGAGCCACTGATGTAAGTTTTTAAATTTTATTCAGATAAATGTTTACAACTTTTTTAAAGCTTTGTATTTAGGCATATAATGCGTTAATCAGTCATATTTATACTTTTATATTATATAGTAAAATAGTCTTGTTGTAAAGTAAAATTTAGGCAAGTGTTATGTTTCTTTAAATAATTAAATGAAACTAATTTCCCCTTTATGATGTGAACTGTAGGGTGTTTTCTGTCGGAATCTTGAAGGTCATGGTCATTGGGTAAACACACTAGCACTGAGCACAGATTATGTGATGAGGACGGGAGCATTTGATCCTGCCAATGCCAAGATAGTTCATGAACAGAACACAGACTCTGGTAGGTTCTAAAACACTTTAGGTTAACACAGGGTAATTGTTCATGTTTTCTTTAGTGTCGATATTTGAAATAAGATAATAAATCCTATTTATTTTTTTATAATATTGAATTATAGAAATCTGTTTTTAATTAATATGTATGAAATTTAAAACAGTTACACCAAATTGAAAAAAAAAGTTATAGTTATAACTCTCTGATAAGAAATATTTTTTTTTTCAAATGAGACATCTTTAATTAATTTTTATCATTCAATTTTAATGGATATTTTTCAGCTGAAGAGCTCTCTAAAAAAGCTAAAGATAGGTACACAGCAACACTAGCCATTGGTGGTACACAGGTAATATTGTGTTGTTTGACTGTTGCCTTATACTACTCTCTCATGTTAAAATAGACTTGTAAATTTGATCATGCCACAAGTTTGATGTGACAGCTTGTCCTGTCCCCAGGGAGGTGCGGAGAGGCTAGTATCAGGCTCCGATGACTCCACCATGTACCTGTGGAAACCAGAGGACAGCAAAAAGCCTGTGGCCAGGATGACTGGACACCAGAAGCCAATCAATGAGGTCAAATTTTCACCAGACTCTAGACTGATAGCCTCGGCATCTTTTGACAAATTTGTTAAACTTTGGGACGGCTTTACAGGAGCGTGAGTTATTTTAAAAAAATATTTTGATTTCTCTTTTTTTTCATATATTGTGTGCTTTGTTATTAAAACCATGGGTTATATACAGACGACTGGTGGGAGGTGGGTTATAAACAGATGGCCGGTGGGGGTGGATCATAAAAACTGGTCAGGGGTGGGTTTTGACTTTATTGACTTAGCAGTGTGCCAGTTCACATGGTTTAAATATTCAATATTCAAGTACGCTTTTTTTTTAAATGTACAAATTGGGTTTCTTTTTTGTTTTTAAAATCTCCTTGAATTTTTTTTAAACTCCTGGAAAACTCCTGGAATTTTATTTGAACTTTTGAGCATGAAACCTGATATTGTTTAAAAATATTTTCACTTCTGCTTGTAAATTTATACTTAGTTAAGTTGTTAATAATTTTTTTCTGTGTATCCATATTTTGTAATTAACTTTATACTAGCTGTGATTTTAAAAATTGTCAGGTTTGTTGCAACATTAAGAGGCCACGTCAATATGGTGTACCAAGTGTCATGGTCAGCTGATAGCCGTCTCTTGGTCAGTGGGAGCAAAGACTCAACGCTCAAAGTGTGGAAAGTTCAAGACAGAAGCATTCTTTTAGATCTGCCAGGGCATGCTGATGAGGTGAGAGCTTTTAGTTTTTCAGAAAAAAAAAATTAAATGAAAAGAACTTTCAAGGGCACTGGTGGCCGAATATAAGTAAAATTATTTTTAAAATTATAATTTAGTTTTCCCAAACAAATGAGTAATGTTGTTTAAAAACTGGAATGTAGATAATTTATTAAACATTGAATAAAAAATTATTCATTTTTGAACAAAGTCCATACATTTCCAAGAAAATGTTATCAAAACAAGTAGCAAGCTAATTAAGTTTTAAACTTTTTGTCATTGTTAGTTAACACCACAAGGGAGTTAATACATGGGGTAGACAATTTTGACCTGTATAGTTCTAGTTGTGCCTAAATAACACAATGTTTTCTGTAAGTATTGATTAGTATGTTTTTGAAGTTTGTGTGTTTGTTGTTTTCTTAGGTCTTTGCAGTTGATTGGAGTCCAGATGGTCAGCGTGTGGTCAGTGGGGGCAAAGATAAAGTTTTAAAGATGTAAGTCTTCATTTCTAATTTCTTATATTGTTGTAAGTCTTCATTTCTCATTTCTTCCATTGTTGAATGTCTTCATTTCTCATTTCTTCCATTGTTGAATGTCTTCATTTCTAATTTCTTATATTGTTGTAAGTCTTCATTTCTCATTTCTTCCATTGTTGAATGTCTTCATTTCTCATTTCTTCCATTGTTGTAAGTCTTCATTTCTCATTGCTTACATTGTTGTAAGTCTTCATTTCTCATTTCTTACATTGTTGTAAGTCTTCATTTCTCATTTCTAACATTGTTGTAAGTCTTCATTTCTCATTTCTTACATTGTTGTAAGTCTTCATTTCTCATTTCTTACATTGTTGTAAGTCTTCATTTCTCATTTCTTACATTGTTGTAAGTCTTCATTTCTCATTTCTTACATTGTTGTAAGTCTTCATTTCTCATTTCTTACATTGTTGTAAGTGTTCATTTCTCATTGCTTACATTGTTGTAAGTCTTCATTTCTCATTTCTTACATTGTTTGTGCACATGCACAATATTTCTTTGATACTGTTTATAATGAAATGCATTTTTGTTTGTGATATAGTAATACCTTTCATTAGCACTTCATAGTGAAAATTTTCTTTTGGTTTCTTTAAACAGATGGCGAGCTTAATGAAATGTAAAAATAGATTTTGGTTCCTGTAAAAAATAAAATTTAAAAAATAAATTTTTTTTAATGCAACTTGTCTTTTTATTTTAGCAACATAATTGTGTTCTTGTTTCATCTAGTAAAATAGTAAAGTTTTCCTTTCAAACCTGATGGTCTATGAGGCAAGTGAAGTAGAGTTCACTTGTTTCTGTGACCTGGGCATATGAAGCACTATGCCCAGCCGCCTGTACTTTCCCTAACGTGAGTTAGGTACCCATCAAAGTTGGGTGGACTCAGGGACAGTCTACTGACTTGAACCCGGATTTGAACTCGAGACTTACAGGTTAGCAATCCAGCTGTCTACCGCTAGGCCACTCCGTCCCATCTTGTTTCATCTACTCATGGTTTAAATCATTTTTTGCTTGCTATCTTCTTTTCTTCTTCTTCGTTCTTAATTATAAGTGTTGAAGGGGATCGAGATTTATCTGCCAGTGGGTTTGGACTCGAGACTTTGTTCGAATTCATCAACCATGAGCTTTTTGCCGACTCGACCACGCCTCCAACACAATTAAGCGTTACGTGTCAACTGGTTATGCGCCATTGAGGCCATTGACTCCGATTTCAGCCTGCTTTTCTTTTTGGATTTGCTTCCATAGCCTTTGTCCAACCAAGAACAAACTACAAGGCAGCAGTTGTTTAATTTTGGAGTTGTCTCTCCTAGAAGAGTGGCTGTCCCCAGCTAACGAGCCTCATCTGCCCGAGGGTTCGGACTCGACCACGCCGACCCCGCTTACTATCTAATTTTGATGACCTCCAGTGGTTTACATTTTTTCTCATAATATAAAAAAATAAAGTAAAAAAGTTCGGGATCTAATAACATAATTTAATAGTCACTGCATTTAAAAACATAATAATTAATGTTAAAAGCTGAAGTGGAAAGGAGGATTATTGCTAACAGAGAAGAAAACAATCACAAGATACTTTGAAAGAACAATGGCCAAACATTCCATTAGCAAATACATAATAGATCTGTTCAGTGTAACAAACTGTGCACCGACAAAAAGGCCCCGTCACGAAACGGCCCCGTCAGTATGAGGTGGTTTCGCCGGGAACCTTAGTCTCAAAGAAAATCGTATTGACAAATCCCTTTTGACGGGAGCCTGTTTGTCGCGAGTCTAAATGACGGGAGCCTATATGACGGGGTCCATTTGTCGCTGGTCCTTTGACGGGGCTCTTATGTCGGGGCCGTTTTGATGCCGAACGAACACAAATGCATGTCTTCAGCTGCATAGGAAACGTGCTTTAGGACGCTATACAAAACAATGTAAAAATCAATAGCAATATGACCTCACTTTCTGGAGACAGCCTGAATAAAACAATTGTGCGGATACAACACTGAATCTAAGTAAAGATTCCTCTTTGGACCTAACGATTCATTGAGTTCATGTTTCTTGACCTCCGTATAGCAAGGGACAGTGTGGGCAACACTATGCTCAGCCGCCTTTACTTTCCCTAACGTGAGTTAGGTACCTACTAGAGTTGAGTGGACCCAGGGACGTTCTACTGACTTGAACTTGAGCCCGCATTTGAACTCAAGACTTTCGGATTATCAGTCTAGCTCTCTACAGCTAGGTCTCACCCTGTATCTAAATAGTTTATGTTAATCCTCGGGAAATTCTTCTTACTCAAAACAGTATAGCACATCAACCAATCTAGTGTGAAAAGTGCGAACAGGATAAAGTCTATGTTCGTCCTTAGGATAGAATTACCAACTCTGGTTTCCTTTTGGCCACTCCTGTGACACAGCATATGCCAAGTTGTGTAGGTAACGCCAGTGGCGTAGCGAGGTCGGGTGTCACCCGGTGCGGTACTTAATGGTGTCACCCCCAGGGGACAAACTTTCAAAGTTCCGATTTGCACCCCCCCCCTCAAAGTTTCGATTTACACACCCCCCGCTCAAAGTTTTGATTTGCACCCCCCCCCCCCCCTCAAATTTTTCTCTATATATTTTGCTATTTTTTGCCTTGGTGTCATCCCCCTAAATGGTGTCACCCGGTGCGATCCGCACCCCCGCCTCCCTCGCTACGCCTCTGGGTAACGCCTCTTTGTTAAGTATATCAGCTATGCCTGATACGTGAGGTAAATCTGTCTCTTCTCAATTTCCTGCAATATCCCTGCACCTTGTTTTCCAAGGTGCAATAAATATTTAATCTATAAGAAAAAGGAGCCGTTTTTTACGACAAAGCAGCGGAAATGGGGGAAAAAACTACAAACGTAAAATAGAAATACATTTAAAAGTTATTTTTCGACTGCAAGACACTGTTGAAGTGGATTCTTGGAAACTGTTTTTTCCCAGACATTTTTCTCCGGGGGAGTAGGGAACACTAAGTATATAGTTTTTATTTTATTAATTTTTTTCCCGTTAGGAGCAAGGAGTGGCAGTGGTCGTGCTTCTGAAAGAAAATGCTTGGAATTCTGATTTGACGAGTCAGAAATCACTCCTTGAGAGCAACTAAAACGAACAAAATATGCCTTGTATGGTCATCGATTTGTCAAGAACTGGGCCAGTACTTCCAGTAGGAATACAATTTCGCCAACCCATCTTCCATACTCGTTTCACATCCGTCATATCTATACCATCGTTTTTGTAGAATCTGAGTTGGCCTTGACTCCGTACAAGATGCGCGTCTTCTGAGATGCTATTTTCACGATAGTAGTGTAATACAATGGAGGAGAAGTCTTTTGCATCTTCCACACATTCGGCGTACTTCTCTATAGCCGTACACGTGTTGTTTTGTAAAATTTTTACGTTCACGTAAATCTCACCAATTAACTTTCTACTATCCGCATGTCGGTATTCAAATTTCAAATAAATTGTTTTCAGATTAAAGCTGGTACTCAAAAACTCACACGAAGAATTCACAGCATACGTGATTCTGTTTTCGTTTAAAGTATAACATCCCGACAGGCTCAATGAACTATAGTTGTCCTTGAATTTACTTGCCCATACCGCAATTGTTAACTGTCCTGTTTTACTTCTGTCAATGTCTAACCGAAACAGCTTTTCTTTACTATAATCGACGTCTATTAGACTGAACACACGGACCCAGTGCAATGCCTGACCTGAGCTGCGGGGGGTAACTTCCAGCTCTGGAATGTACATAAACACACTAACATTCCTGAAATGCGTTTCCTCGAAAAATGTTTCATTAGCAAGGGTAGAAGGTAGACGGAAATAAATCTCTCCTTTTTCGTCTTTCGCCATGTAATTCAAAGTGAAAAGTATAGTAGAAAGTAAAACTGGCACTATATTTCCGATAATTATAAAAATTCTAATTTTCAAATGATGTCTGTCCAGCTTGCCATTTTCTTTTTTGTGGAAATATCTCGTCCCGATGATAACCGTTCGAATTGACATATTGAGGATTATAGCAACGGCCTTGCTGAACTGAAAAGCGCTGATCGGTCCTTCCCGGCATAGCGCGACAGTTAGACTGACCACCCAATGAGGAATTTTCATAACGAAAACACAAAACACGGACAGATAATCCGAATCTATCACCTCGTGGTGGTACCACATTTCTATAAACATAAGCACGAATTCAAAGGCGGTAAACACAGTCAGTGAGATAGCGAGTGTTAACGAGGCGGCTATGAGATCGTTCCTGATAGGCCCGTACACAATACCTTTCTCCGTGTTTCGTAAACCGAGGTAGAAGAACCAATCCGTGATCACATCCGCCAAGAATGAAAACATCAGAAATACCGTGGCGGATAGGTGGAGTTTGTTCAGGCTCATTCTAGATGTGTCAGACCTAATAGAGTTCTGTTTAAAAAAAAAGTGTACAGGGTTTTGAATTATCTCTTTCTAGAAGTGCATCCTTTATCTCCCACCAGCAAATATAGACAACAGTTTATACCGTTAGTGAACATCAGTGTTTTTTCCAGACTTTTTTCTCCGGGGGGGGGGTGGAGCGCGGTAGACTTTCTTCGGGGGGGGGTGGACACTGTTTAAAGTATATATTTTCTATATAAATTTCATTTCGTTCGGGGGGGGGGGTAGGTAGACTTCCATCCCGAAGAGATGCCTGGAAGAAACTCTGGTGAACATGTCGTAAACAATGTTATCCATCATTTCCCATCAGTGTTTCTTCCAGACTTTTTTCTCCGGGGGGGGGGGGCACTTGAAATTTCCGGGAGGGGGGGGGGGCGGTCAACATTTTTCGGGAGGGCAGACACTAGTAAAAGTGTATGTTTACTATATAAAATCCATCTCGTTCGGGAGGGGGGGGGGGGGGGGTTAGACTTTCTTCGGGGGGGGGGGGGGGGGTGGAAGAGATGCCTGGAAGAAACTCTGTTTCCCACCACCCTCGATCTGTTCCTAGGGACAGCCCTACTTCTCGGCATATATATATATATATATATATATATATATATATATATATATTATTATATATATATATATATATATATATATATATATATATATATATATATATATATATATATATATATATATATATGTTAAAAAAATTGTTAAAACACATTACACTGATTAATTTTGTGAAACGAAACTGGATACATTTTAATATCAGTAGAGCAAATAAAATTAATTAATTATCACAATTAAAACTACAACTGGATACATTTTAATATCAGTAGAGCAAATAAAATTAATTAATTATCACAATTTTTTTTTGGTGTTATTTCAAGGGATGTTAAATTAGATTTAAGTGATGAATAAAAGTAATGAAATACAAAATTCTTAATTACTTATGACAGGGGATATTAAAAAAAATTCCTGTGCTATATTATATATTTACCTGTGAGATTGTTTAATTAAATATAAGAGAGGTTTATGATTAACGCAACGACCGGAGTTACGGTTTTCGTGGCTGTATCAGCATGGAAAACACACCAATTAGATTATGCAGTGATGTAAAGGCGATATTGCTTTAATATCGCGTTAGGTAAACCTAAATGCACTAAACGCGGTATTGATTATAACTGTTGCTATAATACGGTGTAGTTTACAGATGTGCTTCAATCTCTTAAATACACGTCTCGAGTTAACCGGATAACTTTAGGGTGTT